ATCTGAACTATTGAAATTCGTTATTAACACAATGTGAAATCATTAGTGAAGGCAGTCTACAAATAATATATTGTTTCTTTTGCATTTATCATTGGGTGTTTATTAGTCTACTCTCACTAAACGATTGCATAACATGTCAAAAGCATCTACTTCTTCTCGAAACAATCCTGTACATGTTTGAATTCTTAAAGTCTAAGGTAAGAAAGTAATCGAAGTTGAAAGATTTTCCAGCAAAACTATAAATTTCTGGATGAACTCAATCAGATTTTCAATAGAAGGTTTTGCTTTTAGAGCGAAATTCATTCATTCATTGATTAAATACCATTTCGGCTCCTAAATTCTCACACTAACCTATAACCCTCATTGAACCATAGTGAGATGGATGTTTCCATGTCATTTCAGTATTACTCAAAGTCGTAGATAAATTGTAGTCTCAGTGACTTTACATATTGATTCTGATGACACAATAACATTATTTCCAGGAGATTCAATAAATTCAAATGGGGTAATAGCATAGTGTTGATATAAACATGACTGAATCAAGACTAAAGACAGAAAAAAAATAGTGAACCTTGAAGGATGTATTGTACTTTAAAATTAGAATAGGGCTGTAGGATAAGCAGTCAGTAGTTCATAATTTATATTTGCTTCAAGTTTGGTAACTATTTTACAGTACATTACCTTATAATTTGTTTCATTAACTTTTAATGTACGAAAAATGATCAGATACTTAGTCACCTTGACAACTGATTGATCACTGGGTGGTGATCAATGTCATGTGTGTCAAGTCCTTATTATTAGTGCAGATCGAATGCTATCGACCATGCTGCAATGTGGCCACCAGTCTAGGTGAATCGACATTGCGGGCATTATATATTGAGAATTAACTTAGTCACCTTGTCTCAACAATATTTAGTGTTCTAATTAGCGTAAAGTAGGTTCCCGAAATAATCTTTCATCTTTTAATTATGTTATTATCATGTAATTAACAACCATCTTATAGATATTCGACGTTTCTGTTTCAGTTGTCCACTTCGATCTTGAAACGACGTTCTTAATCCTGATCGATTCATTTTATGCTTTAGCTTAATCAATTTGTATGGTGTTGATAAGTTGAAATTTAGGACCATCTATGTTGAAATTCAAATCTTTATTAGTTCCACCTTTTGTCTAGTTGTACAAGCAAATCTTGGATAGCGTCCAGTGAGTAGATGAAAACCTTCAAGTGTTAAATGCTTTCTGAAAATTAATTCTGTGATAAAAACTAGTTTCATGTAACAAGCGGGGTCTTTGTAGTTTGTTAACTAAGTTCAGTTGAGAATAGGCATTTACACTATTCCAAAATTAAATCGGTAAACGGTACTTAATTAATGTCGAGTGGATGGAGGAAATCGATAGAAAATTCCAGAACTAAGGTGAAATATTTATTGCTATTTGTGGGATTCGAAGAAAGGTCATCGAGCTTCACATTCTAAGACATTACTATTGGTACGGCTTCTGAGAACTACCATGGAGCCTCTAGAAGCTCTAAAGAAGCCTAAGAGTTTCCGTCTAATCAGAACATGATGGATCTTTCTAGAATATCAATGTGACATGCTACTATTGGACAGTAGCATGGTTTTCTGTGCACCACCGATCTATTAAGACTACCACGACTAATACATTAAAGAAGTGGGATACTTATAATTGATTGGTCATTCAGTGGTGACCAATGTTACCAAGGAGAATACAGACTACTTATTCAACTCACAATATTTTTGTTCATCTATCAAAATTATGGTAGAACAAGGCATAACTGTTACAACATTCATGGATGTCACGTCATATACAAACATCTTAAAATACCTTATTTACAACTTGTGTTAGTTGACTAAAACTTTATGAATTTTTTGACATTAAAAACAAGTAATTGATGGTCAGGGTTATAGTGCCACAATTGGTATATCTTAAATTGGTTTTGTAAGAAAGAATGAAGATTAACTTAGTGATCTATTCTGCAACATATGGTCGATAAAGCATGAACGACCTCAAATCCGTCTATTTACATCATTGATGTTTGAGGACACCCAAAACCTTCCTCGAGAAAAGCTTAAAGGGGTCCTGGGAACACTAGAAACATTTTATCCAATCAGCATTGAATAGAAGTTTCGCAAAAACATCTAGAAAATAAAGAGTAACACCTATCCTATTGTTATGTTTAATAGGATTCTAGAACCTTCCGAAAGCTCAAGTCTATTTGAAATGTTATAAATGCCCTGAAATTTCTTTACATAAACTAACCTTCGAGTCAAGCGTTCCTCTCATATCTCTCACCTTTTCTCTCATGTTGAAGTTGTCGTGTAGATGTAGCCTGAGGTTACTAGAAGAGCTTAAGAAACCAGTTCAAGAGTTCAGTGAGATTTATCAATTTGTATTATCTACTTAGAGATTCTGAAAGGTTTTCGTCTGCATGATCCAAACTTTAGTCACACAGAATTGTCATTCACACCAAAACTATATATTAAATCCATTGTCTTTACCATGATCGTAAATTTAACACACTTCGTACTTACGTATTGTTTAGAATAAAACTTTTCTGTCTGGTTATTATCTTACTAATTTACTAGTTTAAATGCGTGATCATGATTCATATTTTGATGGAGGTTTGTTCACTAAACAGCTGGTCAGTTTGATCGTGAAGCTTTGATTGTTCTGACTGAAATCGACCAGCACAATCTTCAGGTAGAAGTTTCCTATTCCGAACACTCCGTATGTGACTGACAACTTGTATTAATAACCTGGGTCTTGATTGACTTTTGCTGACATTTACTCTGTCAATGTCTGTACATTTATTTTGATTGGCTTTACCTTTGACCTGATTTCATATATTTTTTCATGATTTTTCTGATTGATTGATAAATTGAGCTGGTTTCGTGGATTGGTTGAGGTTAGACATTAACACCATCGGATGCTGGCTCGATGATCTAGAGGTTAAACGTTCGCGCGTGAAACCCAAGGTCCTGGGTTTGAATCCTGCAGCAGGATCGTAAATGCGTACGGTTGAGGAGTCCCACCCAGTGCTTCCAGGTTTTCAATGGTGGTCTAACGCTAATCAAGTTATGATCTCAATAAAAACTTAATATTCTCCACAACTTCATACTGATGGTTTTGATGTGCTTACTGATCGCTGAGTGAGCTGAGTATCAAGTTATAAAGATTCTTTAGTTTTCTAGCTGAAATTTCAGCATTTTCTCAATTGAGTCTGTATTCACGATTGTTTATATGGATTGATACAATTCATTAACGTGATTTATATCATAATTCACTCACATCACTTGATTAATTTTCTGTTCTATAACTACTGACTTGAGGTCGGTCGCGGCCCGGATAGTTCAGTGGTAACGTTTCTGATTGTGAAGCTGGGTGACACGGACCGAACCTGCCTTGAGCACCAGTTCCCTCAAGAGTACAGGTACACCTTGCTGACGAGTGCCAAGTAGCACGAAACCCGGGTCCAGGTTTCCTCTCGACTACCTCCAACCACCATCTAATCTCGAAATCCTGTTTTATACATTAAAAAAGGGTTGGAGAAGTTTATTTGTAACATTAAACAGTTTTCAGTGGTTTGTATAATAAGTCTTATTTACGGGGATTTTTTTGACATCATTTTTTGACTGGAAACTTGGTAAATCATCTTGAATTTAGTTGATAACGACTGTAATTTAATCATATTGGCACTTAGAAAGTTATTCATCAATAGTATCCCTTTTGTCTGTCATGTTTTTATCGTGAATTTGATGGACTGATCAATTGCAGTTCTAAACATCATTTGGAAGATTCAAGTAAACAATACCAAGTGAAATCAGCCACAAGGAGGTGGCTATTAGGAATCAGTGGCTAAGTGGATAACGTGATGACGTTTGAAGCAAACGTTGCTGGGTTCAAGTCCTGGTGTGAACATCAACTCTGAGATTCAGGTACATATAACTGACGAGTCCCTATAGGACGAAACACGCATCCTAGATCCCACTGCTAGTCACTATCCATCTTTGCTTAAAAAAGCTTGTGACCTAAGGCAATATCGAGGCAGTCCGCATAAGATTCACATATGCCTGCAAGAGACTGAACAATTGCAGTCCTAAATAACAATAAGAAGATTCAAGTAAACAAAACCAAGTGAATTAACAAATTCAGAAATGTTCTCTGAAAATGTTCAGTCCTTCTTATGACATATTCATTATCGTTTGCTATTAAAAGAGACAGTTATAAAATGCACTCTGATTTAATCTATAATGAAGGTTTATAAACAATTGGCTAGAGATGAAGAATCCTTGACTGGATGATCCTTCATTGCTAAAAACGAATTGAAATGAAGACATTTGTAGAATATGAAGTTTGACAAGGTGAATTTCAATTATCGATACCACCTGGTTTCTTTCTTCATTTAAACGGCTATCCTGATAGATTAACATGAATCGGTGTTGTTAACATACGGGAAGAAATGAATAGGTATTGAATCAAAAAGTATTCACTAACGAAACTATATTAGATTTGGAATAGAAGACTATCTGTGTTATAACGCTCAGTTTTTCTCGTCTACACTAATGGAACGCTAATTTGCTTTAGACGAATATCTACACTAGGTACTCTCTGGGTGTTTATGTAACAGGACTTCAACACAACTTACATCAAGAACACGTGACTAGTCTGACTAGGGCGTAAGTATATTTCCACACTAAAAACCGACGATAATAATAATAATAACAGGGGTAGGAGAATAAATAATTCATCTAACGCCTATCAGACTATACACAAGTCTGACTTAGCAAACAACTAATCACCTTTACACATCAATATATTAACCTGGATTTTCACCGCCTTTGATAATATTCAACTAGTCTTATTGTGAACTTGAAGACATAGATCAGTTTTCAAGAATGTTAATAGTCAATTACGTAACAAACGTTTTTCTCATTGTGTCATTATTCAATAAGTAATTGAGATTTATCTCTATTAAACAGATTCATCAAAACCCAATCGATTGAACTTAATGCGACAAACATCTGATCCACTAAGTCATCCAGTAATACGTGGTCGTAGTCCACAAAGTTCTAGTCAATGGATAAATATTCAAGATGCTTCACATACTACAAATCAAATACCTTTATATCAACAAGCATTACTTAGTCCTCGAGTAAAAGTTCCACAAAATAATAATTTACTAACTAAAGGTTTAATTCAATCAGATTATACTGCAAACATGTACTCTGATATACCACAATATCAACAACAATCTCAACAACAAACTCAACTTACACATAATCAATCGTCAAGTGGGCAAATTTCAATGAATCGATCAAATTTGGCACAATTACAAAGTTTATATCAACAATTACTTCAACAGCATCAACAACTTTTACAACAACAACAACGTCAACAACTCCATCCACAACAACAACAACAACAACAAACTTTGGATTATACAGCTGGTAATAAAGATTACGTAATTTTATAATCTCATGATTAATGCATTTTTGTGTTTATTAATGATATGGGGGAGGGAGTTTAGATACTATTGGTATTGTTTATGGATTCCATCACAAATTGATGAGACAACTATTAGATTAATTTATGATTTGTAACTTTTCATAGGGCAGAGGACACCAACCAGCATGCTCTTAAACTATTCTGTCCTCAACTTTACTTTCTAATTGTTGCTATTCATTCTTTTTTGATGTTTGTCCTTAATTCCTTGCAAAAATGTTTCCTTCGGTTTATCTATTCTCTTTTTACCTTGATGCTTCTGAGTTGGGGCTTGCCTCATGACTCAGTTTGATGATTTATACAATATTTGTTCTATCCACTTACACCACCTTCTAATTTCTTCGTCAGCCGGAAGCTGGTTTGTCGCCTTCCACAGTAGATTGTCCCAGATGATATCCGGCCAATGGACATTGAGTGTCTTGCTGAGGCAATGGTTTATAAATACTTGTACCTTTTTGATGATATGTTCGATAGTCCTCACAGTCTCAGCATCGTACAACAGAACTGTCTTTATGTCTGCAATGAAAATTACGACTTTGCTGACAGTTGTTTTGAGTTCCAGATGTCCTTTAATTGTAGGAGAGCTATTATTGAGTTGCAGATCCGTTCCTTTACATTCTCATCAGATTCCCCATGTTTATTAGTGATGTTGCTCAGATATATAAAGCTTCCACCTCTTTCAGAACTTCTTCACCAAGTGTGTTATGGTTTGTGCTCGCTGAGTTGTATTTCTTGATTTTGCTTTTTACCATGTTAAAGTTGAGATATACTACTGCACGATCTCCTGCCACTATGTTTGGCTTCATTTGAATTTATTGTTGTGTATAGGTCGGAAAGTACAGGTCATCTGCAAAGTCCAAATCATCTTGTTGCATCCATGCTGTTCGCTGTTTTCTGTGCATCATCTAAGATGTGGAGGTTTTCATTATCCAATCAATCATCTGAATAAAGAGAAAAGGAGACAGTAGGTATTTTTGTTTGATACCGGTTCTATTTGGAACACATCTGTGAGGTGGGTAACTATTGAAAACTAGAAAATATCATGTAGCTGTTTCAGGCTTGAAAAATTTAAGACTATTCGTTCATAGGGCATATTTTCAATGTGAAGGTACATTGCTAAGAATTTCCATATAGGAACGGAACAGCTATCAAGTGCTTTTCTACAGTTGTCTAAATAAGGTTAGCTCAATGAGTAAACCTCTGTGTTTAATTAAGAGAATACTAAGGGTTGATCTCTTATATGTAAGTTAAAGATAATTTTTCAATCAACAACTGATATCATGGAAAAACTAGGGGTCACTGCATATCTGTGTACATCCCGTTTACGGACTCCTCAACAGCACAAACAATTCGACCTTGATTAGAGGACATTTTGACAGTATATCTGCGTAAGTTGTCATGACATTGTCAATAATAGGATGATATTGAATCAATTAAGCAGGGAGATATTCGTAACATGTTACCTGACACTAAAGTGCTCATTTTCGAAGTTAGTTAGTTGGCGATAATTGACAAGAAACTCTGTGATGACCTGTGTTTTGCACTAGTTAGTGTAATAAGTACCATGGTGTTTAATATTAGTCTTAGGTGAATTCAATCAATCGAATCTATGATTCATTTCTGTATTGTGTGCTTAAATCTCCCCGTCGATGTTTAGAACTGAAATAGATCAATCTCTTATTGACATATGCGCATCTTGTGAAGAATGCACTCAGCTACAAGCATCAACTTTGGGATGTAGGTTGACCCAACTGACGAGTCCCAATAGGACGAAATACGCATTCTGTCATCCATTGCTACCCATTACCATCTCTGCTTACAAATCTAGTCTTATTCATTTATTTTATCATGTTGATTTGTTACATGGTAATTAGTTGAAAGCAATTGATAATAAAACTCCTGATATTAGTTTTATGTGAGTTCCAAGTCATTAGGACATGTGTACCTAAAACATTTAGAGGAACTAATCATCTTCATGGTGGTGAACAGATTCGACTAACAGACAGACTAATTCCAGGAATTCATTGTAATTATTACCTATCGATTGAGATGATATATTTATTTCTTAGAATGTATTTACCTATTTACCTATTTGTTTATAATATACATACATGTATTTTTCACATTTAAGGTCAACAAATAGATAGTAGTCTTTATGCAACTGTACAACGTCCATCCGCTACTATTCCTAGTTCATTGGTTACAAGTTTACAACGTGTAATTTTACAGCAACAGCAGCAGCAGCAACAACAACAACACCAAACTCCAATGCAACAACAATTACAGATTCCTCAGACACAACCGTCAATCATCCCCAGTGTGAGTATGTATCCACAGGTAGGTTATTTAACCAATATTGGTATCTAAGTGGATTTCTTCTCATACATTGATTAATTTGGTGAGAGTAAAATTCAAAGATTGCTGAAGAATAATATAAAACCATTTCATTTCACTAGGTTCTCATTAGCTTCTTATAATTTAGATAATATTACATCATCAAAATTATCATGGAAGTTGACATTACGAATGTGTACATCATGATGTAGAAAAGATTCTATGAAAGTCAGTAAGACCAATAGCATAATCTCTTCAGAATCTCTTATTTACCATTTGATCTATTACTAATTGATATAGTTCCCTACTCCATTCTTCATACTTCATCGATTTCCTCTCGCTGTACTGACGTATTATCTGATTACCTAAACAAGACTTATATTTTTAAGCAAAGATGGATATTGGCTAGCAATGGAATCGAGGAAGAGAGTTTCGTCCTATTTGTGACTCATCAGTTATATGTACCTGGATCTCAGAGTTGATGTTCACTCTGGAACTGAAACCCAGTACAGTTCGCTTAGTAGTTACGATTATTTTCTCTATCAGAGCGTAATGATGTAAACGTAGGAAACTGTTCATTTGAATCCCAGTCACCGAACATTCTACAGTGTAATTGAGGTAATAATAAATATCATGTGGATTGTGTAAATAGAATAGTCACCAAAATTACAGATAGTCTTTAATTTTCCTAGCATATCACTTATTTCTATTAATTTAAACACATGAACATTAGAACAAGGAGGCATCAAATATGTATGCGTGACACTTCATCATTCGATTAGTGTGGCGGTTGAGATACTGCCCAGACGCCTAAACTGAAGCAAATGGTTTTCTCACTAGGCCACTTTTCAAGCTTGTGATCTAAAGCTCTAGTCCATAAGTCAGTAGAGCAACGTTGAGAGATGCAGTCCCATGATAGCTGTGACCAACAATAGGTTCGTACGCCATTTATTCCTTATGGATCGTAGAGCCCACGTTCACCAACGGGTTTTCCAACTCTCCTACACAGATCCTCCATATCGACCAACCCGGTTAAAGCGTCGAACATTTGCTTTTTTTCCTCCGAGTTTCGTATACAACAGTAATGCCGTGAAAAGTCAGTGATTGAGACTTCTCTGGAAGTGTCTGTATACGTGAGGCCGTGTGAGAGGAAGAGCAGACTCTCTCCACCAAACTTGCAAGCTATTCAGAGATGCTTTCAAAAAGTTAAGTAGAGACAACCGTTTGAGTATTAACATTACAAAGCTAAAATGCATAATTACAAAAGTGATTAGAAATGAACTTGTATATTGTCATCACAATCATATTAACATTCTTACAATCTTCATTACATCATGATGTACATAGTCATCTCTAATCTCCACCGTAAAGTTATCGTATATCAATTTCTATGATGATTTTGTTGATGTAATATTGAGATGGTGGAGAAGATTTGTAGCTCAGGTGGATGATTTTGATTGAGTTATGTTCTCTGAGCTGGATGGTTTGGTCGTGGAGCTTTCATTGTTCTTCTGAACGACATCATCAGCACAAACTTCAGATAGAAGACTTCACTTCTATATGACGTTTGTGCTGATGATTTCGTCCATAAGAACGTTAAAGCTCCACAACCAAACCATCCAGCTCAGAGAACAAAACTTTATCAAGACTATGTAAGGACGACCGGCGGGCGAACTTAAGGAAGTTCTAAGAAACTCAGAAAGAGTCGAAGATATTTCATCCAACCATCTTTCGGAAGAATATTCCAGAATTTCGGCGTGTAGCTTCCCTGTTGGATAAATGCTAAAACTCTCTGTATGCGGATTGAATGACTATAATGATGATTTTGTTTTCATTAAAAAAACTATAAATACCTGACAGATTGTACCATATTTGACACTATTTGGAATAACATTCCTTTCACTTGTGTTCTGTATTCTCATTTACGATGTGGAGGATTAAAGTGTTCAAGTGCTCTAGTTGTACGCGGTATATTAGGAATCTAAACTCTAGATATAACACTTACGATGATGAGTAATATAACACGTAAAGAATTATTTTGCATGTTATAATCTCTATTCCACTGTATTTTCATTTCTCTATTGTTAATAGTTATATAACTAGGAAGTGTTTCCTGATAGGTTAGCATGTCGTTCAAGGTAGTCAGTATAGTACGCCTTTGTTGAAATATAATTAAGAGTTTAGGGGTTGTGGAGATTAAGTTTTTTTTATTGAGATCATGAATCGACTGATGTTAGACCACTATTGAAAACTTGGAAGCAATGAACGGCCGTTTCGTCCTATTGTGGGACTCCTCAGCAGTGAACACCCACAATTCCGCTCGAGGGATTCCAACCCAGGCCCTTCAGTCTCACGCGCGAACACTTAACCTACTGGACCACTGAGCCGGCATCCAATGGTGTTAATGTCTAGCCTCAATCAATCCACGAAGTTGTGCGACCATCTTCCACTGTACTGAAGTAGACATCTGTCTCTACCCGACACGGATTAGCTTCACTGGTCACGGCTTCTCACCAGAACTCCGAGAATTTTCTCACGAAGCTAGTCACTAGTGGCCGTCCAGTGCTTCCAGGTTGACAATGGTGGTCTAACATCAATCGGTTCATGATCTCAATCAAAAAATATATAATTATCTTTTTGAAAGAATACCAAAACATGATGTGCTGAAAAATATAGTTTAAATAAGAAGCCTTATATATAATGAACCCATTGAATAAGTCGTTTAGCTATTAGCTATTACTTTGTGGATAATGCGTATTTGTTTGAAGTGATCAGTGTTGAAATTAGGTCTTAGTATGTGAAATATGAAGACTGATATCCAAATGACTTCAGTCATAGCATATCAAATGGAATGGAACGTATACCATGGAATTGACAGTTTCCTACTTACTGACTTATAGTCAATAAGAAGTTGTTACTTTCAAACATATCAAGAATTCCATTGAAGGACCTAGAATGATAACATTATTTCTGACTATTAAAAGGATCCAGATAGAAGTCTCAAATGAATGAGATTATGTAGCGAGATGTATTCAATCTGCAGATTAAGAGATTAGCACTTGACCTTCTAAAACTAGTAACCTTTCTAAAATCACTATGTAGTTACAGGTTTCGTTATTTTCCTAATGAAATACGCTTGATTATTACAGATTTCCTAGAAGATAGTTTCAAATCACAGATCTTTTGTTAGCATCTCAACAATGTTGTTACATGCATAATTAGCCTTGATCAAGTTAAATGCTGATGTAGTATGGTATGGGTTACTTATATCCATATAAGTACTATATAAAACGGTGGTCAGGCATAGAATGTATTTCACTAGAAGATCGGAAGGAAAGAACGGAGACGGAATGCAACTGGTATGAAAATGCATGAACAATGAAATCTGAGACAATAGACTGATATTTCCAAAGGAACAGTCAAATTTGAGACGATGGATTGATATTTTGCAAATTAGCTACGTTTACTGAATAAGTTAACCGTGGAATAAATGCTCCCTCTCAATTGATTTACAGTTCCAGTGTAAAATATGATTTCATTCTAAATACTTTAACAATAAATTTTCATTTTATTTCTATGAACAGGTCACACCAGCTATACAACCCTTAACAACACTTAGTCTTTCTGGTTTATCTACATCATCTGCTTTCAATAATCTTGCACGCGCTTTACTTCCTACATCAGTTGCTTATAATACTGGAGAATCATTGACTGCACCACCATCATTGTCTGGTGCTCCACCTCCAACACTATTTCATAGTCCTAATTTAATGCCAAATTCTAATCTACTTCTTTCAAATTTAAGACCACCAATGTTTCCCCAACAACAACAACAGCACTTGTTACAGAATTTTCAAATTCCTTCAGCTATGGAACCATCTTATCTTTCATCACAAAATAGATTAGCTGGTCCATCAAATATGGGTAAGTAACATGATTGAAGATGTTTAAAATATGCGTTTAGAAATCTATCAAGTACTAGAACATTTTTGAAGTTATGGAAATTGTAGGTAACGTTGAGATGTGCATTGCATAGTACTTACTTACTTACTTACGCCAGTTACTCCTAATGGAGCATAGGCCGCCGACCAGCATTCTCCAACCCACTCTGTCCTGGGCCTATTTTTCTAATTCCATCCAATTCTCGTTCATTTTTCTCATGTCGATCTCCATTTCCCGGCGTAATGTGTTCTTTGGTCTTCCTCTCCTCCTTCGGCCTTGAGGATTCCATGTGAGGGCTTGTCCTGTGACGCAGTTGGGTGCTTTCCTCAATGTGTGTCCTATCCGCATTGCATATGCTTAATCATAATCTAGTTTAATACGATATGGAATGGATATCAATCAATGTACGCTTGAAGAATGTAACTTGTAATCTAACCAAAGTATGGAATTATTTCATCATAGTGTTACTGAATTATGAACTTCTGGATTTAATTCAGCTCGATATTTGTTATCTACTCACCAATGAGTTAAGCTGATATTGATGGAGGTTTCAGTGTTGTTTTAAATAGTTTATTCTTTCATCATCATTCTCCAAGGAACCGCCATTTTATTTAAATATCGTACATTCATAAGTAGTTAAGCTTAAGATGGAATTCATGACGTTCCAGTGAGTTATCATGATTGATTTAGTTAGTCGAACCAGGAGTCAGGTTATAGCTCACCGACGATAAACAGTAAGTGTTACATTTCATCGTTAGCGAATAAACTTAGATTGGAAGTTTAGATTTTTTGTATTCACATTCTATGGTCTGAATTATTTATGTTCATCATAGGAAATGAATGTATTCATCGTCGATAAACTAACTATCTTTCTGCTACATGGTATTAATTACTTCTTCAGAAAATGCTGAAACTAATTACAAATGTCACTTGGTATTGTTTACTTGAATCTTCCTATTGATGTTTTGGGACTGTAATTGATCAGTCAATATCGAGGCAATAAGCACAGTATGCACATATGCCAATAACAGATTGATCAATTGCAGTCCTGAACATCAATCGGAAGATTCAAATAAACCATATCAAGTGAATTTAAAACTTCACCCGATTGTACAAGCAGGTGGCTGTTATTACTCATTAGCTAAGTGGATACGCGATGTCGTTTGGGTTCGAGTCCCATAGTGAACAACAACTCTGAGATGCAGGTACATCCAGCTGACGAGTCCCAAATAGGATGAAACGTGCGTCATGGATTCCACTGCTAATCAGAAAACGTTTACTATTGAAGATCGCGAGTGACTTTAAATTCATCTTTTGAAACTAGTCAATAAGGTTATGTCTTGAAACCCTCCAAACAATATTACGTGTTAAGTCAACAGTCCGACTCCTAATTCTAATTCGGTCTATTTCCCATTGAATATTTTCTTAAAGTTTTATGTCTCTCACTTGATCAATTACACTCCCTACCAACACTATTAACCCAGAGCCGACAGCTAGGCCCTTATTGATTTACTATACACAAGCTCCTTTCTATGCCTCTGACTTGAGTCCAGGAGTAGTAACCAGCCTCTACTTCAATCAGAAATTCTTAATATACAAACACAGTGGACCACATTACATCATATATAGATTGATTTCATCATGATAAAGTTAATTGATACATTGAGTGATTAGTCAACAAAATATTTGGATTCTTAGGCACGCCAATTCGGTTAGCAGAAATCGAGGTCTCTTCTTACTGTAACAGCCGACTGGACCCATGTATCGGAACTTAGTGTATCCGTATTGGATCGGACACTACATAACACAACATGAATCATCATCTCATACTGATTGTCGTGCTAAAACCATGAGGAGCTACTTTAGGTCAGTAAAGCCTATTTCCGCCAATTCTTTTTCTAAAATGTCAGCTTTTTGTTCGAAACTATCTTTACCCCCCTAACACTAAAAATGTTTGTTTTTTATATACTCAACATTTTAGGATTAATTGGTGATATTGCACAAACTGATTTATTGAATGATCCATCTTGGCAAGCTGAACAAAGACGAAGAATTGATCTACAAAGAACACGTTCATTGTTGAATGAACAAGAAAGGAAATTATTTGAAGAATTGAAAAATATTCGTAATCGACGAGCTGGTCTTTCAAAATTAGAACAATTTGGACGTTCTACGACTGGTAGTGGTGGCAGTGCTGTTGGTACTTCTGGATTAACACCTCTAGAAAGTTATCGTCGAGTTACTAAACGTATATCAACTAGTGAAGATGCACGTCTTAGAAATCGTAATAGACCTTTATATGCAATTGGTCGATCTGGGTCAGGTTAGTTATGATTTGCGGTTATAACGCAGGAATTATTATATTTTCCTCTCTTGTATGAGATACTACATATACTACGATAATAATTCTAGTGACAGAGTTTATACGTCATACACAGATTGGATCACGTCATATCCGATGCTCGATTCATGATCAAAGATTTAGAATAAACCCTAGAAACTAATCAATTTCACACAATTACATGCAGCCACATTCAGTGAATTCAGAGTAGCAATAAATAAAGGAAAAGGAAATCATACATTTAATAATTAGCAAGCTAAATGTCTGTTTTTTCACGCTCCCAAATGCCTTGGTACCTCCGAGAGTGGGAAGAGTCAGCCCTTCCTCTCCAAATACTCTCACATCGCCATGTGCACACAACCACTGTCAGAGAAGTCCTACTCACTGCCTTCTCGTGGCAGGGGTGTTGGTTACGCAGTTGAGATGACGAAAAGTGACTGTTCGATGCTTAAACCGGGTGGGTGGATATGGAGAGTCTATCTAAGGGAGTTGAAAAACCCTCATTCCAAAGCAGTTGTGCACATGTGCTTCAGGATCCTGAGGGAACCAATGGCTTCTGAACCTAGTATTGGCCACCGGCTACCACGAGACTGCATCTCTGAACTCTGCTCCACTGTCTTATGGATTAGACGTTTGGGTCAAAGGCTCCCGCCGTTGCCCCTAAGAAAACCACTTGCTACGGTCTGGGTGTCCAAGCAGTATTCCAACTGTCAAACAAATCTTTTTGAGGATCCATCACTTCTCTTTGTCAAAAACCTATTGAGAAACAAGATAGAATGACCTACATCATTTTCGAACATGAAAACTATGGAAATATTGGCATGTATTAACTAATGTAAAATGTCAATTAAGTTAACATTCTCATCATAAATGACCAAAGTGTCGTCATGTTATTATCTTATTACTGTAGTGATTCAAGGTATTACAAATCAAATTAATGAACATTTATGTCATCTCTAGTTTTAATTGTTAAACCTTTCTTCTTCACATTTTTCTAGCTGATACAGCAAGAGTACCACTTGGCAGTGGTGGTCATTATCCGTATGGTGATGCTTATGGATCAGATCTTGGTACGTTCATGATTTATTAATCTTTACAATAGTTATATCATTATTAATAATTCATTATTAGATACAGTTCTGTATACCTTCAGATGAAGGTACACTTTTAATGTAAGAGATTCTGATATACTATCCGATTGTTTAAACCGAAATAGATTGTCTTTGGTAATTTGATGTGATTCCAGAATAATAAATAAGAACTTTCGTCTAAATTTGATCGAATAGTTTTACTGTATTTGGGCGCCAAGTTAATGTGAGACAAGGAAATATCATCCTTGAAAAAGCTTGAACTAGATTGCCAGGCGAAACGTTGGATTTACTTCAAATTCATTCGTTGAAATTTCACAAATACCTTCTTCCTTTTAACGAAGCTGTTTGTATTAGTGTCAGAAGGGGTTTATGTGGAGATCGTATTGGTTTCAATAGTTGAAATTATGAGTCAATTGAAGGTAGACCACTATGGAAAACGTGGAAGCACCAGATGCACACTGTTGAGGAGTCCAACAATTGGACGAAACGGCCATCCGGTGCTTTCAGGTTTTCCATGGTAGTCTAGCTTCAATTGACTCATGATCTCAACTATTGAGATTGTGTTAGCTTTGATGGTGAAACTTAACAAATTAAAGTTGATCGTTCCAAGTATTAATCCACCGCTTAGCATATTAATTTTTAAATACATATTAGTTGATCATTTTTTAAATATGAATTTCCACCTCGAGTTGACTATTGAAACTCAACTAGATCGAGAGGTTGCGACATATTAATTTAGAGTTTCAACTGGCAGCCTAATTGAATCACTGAGATACCTACTCATGTCATCTAGACACTTCAACAAGCTATATGTTATTATGTTTGTTTTAACACATTATTATGTCTATTCATCACATAACCCATTTCGGATGCGTTTGTGAAAAGTTTAAGACCTTCCGGCGTACAAGTTACGAAAGAGCCCAATGAGAGACATCATGATGACGTCGATATGTATCGAAATGAATGAACATTATTCAGATTTCTATTCCTGAACTGTTAACATCTAACTGCTAATCACTTATTGGCAAGATGGATTATCTTTGATTCCTACTAAGTTTAAACATGTATCGTAATGATGTTATCATCACAATTCAACAATCCTGGTTGAATGATTTACAAGACAATTGCTCAGTATCACTACAAGATTTCAGCATGTGTCGTCAGAATCGATCATGAAATAAGAAACGGTAACTTGGTGACATACTTTGACCTGGGAATTCTACCTTGTACCAGAAATATAATATTGAATAAAGACATTAATAATATTAATATCTCACAGATAGCATAAGATACTACTGATAATACGATATATTGTGGTTTAATTGAATATAACGATACTAAACTTAGGTCGCATAAGTTTCGTACATGATAAACATCAGGGGGATAGGTACTTGATTTTTCAACTAGATTTAACTCCCTCATACAATGTGAATCTAATCTGATCAATGAGAATCAAGTGACCAATCATACATCGGAATCTTTGAATTGTAATCCAGTGAGACTTTGCTCTTCTATCGCATACACACAAGTAAATGTAGGTGAAGATAGTCGGTGTAGCAGTAGCCCAGCACAGTAAGCCTCAACATGCACAACGGAAAAAGCAACATCCTCAAATACAACATGAAGAATACCAACATACTTACACTTAATGAAAAACTCTGGAAGTGGTGGAAACATTCACGTATCTGGACAGCATCATCGATGAACAAGGAGGATCTGATGGGCATGTAAAGGCAGGGATTGGCAAACTATATGCAGCGTTCCTACGGTTGAAAAACATATGCAACTCAAAACAACTGTCAGAAAAACATTAAAGTCACAATCTTGAATACAAAGGTCAAGACATTACCGAGCTGAAACGTAGAGAACTACTACAACCATCATCAAAAAGGTACAAGTATTTATAAACAATTGTCTACACAAAATAGTCAATGTCCATTGACCGGATACCATCTGGGACAATCTACTGTGCAAGAAAACAAACCAGCTTCCAGTCGAAAAAAAACTAGGAAAAGACGATGGAAGTAGATAGGACATATATCAAACTGCATCACAAAGCAGGCGCTAACTTGGAATGCTGAATGCAAACGGAAAAGAGAAAGGCCATAGAACACACTGTGTCGAGAATTGGAATCAGACATCAAAATAATGAATAACAACTAGATAGAATTGCCCGGACAAAGTTGGTTGGATAATACTGGTACATGACCTATTCTCCTCCACATGGTGTAACAGGCGTAATTAAGTAGATTAAAAAATATCATGTTCTCTGTGAGATCTAAAGTTTTGGCATCAATCTTTGGTTGCTATGTGAATATAAGCGTGAATTGAAAATTCGAAAATAAAAAAGACATTCGATGAGCACATGGAACTTGACAGCAATAACAAGTCTATAAAAGATATCTTTGTTTGCTTATGGGTTAGAAGCTAACTGAATAGATCACTGATAATGTATCCGATTGTGACACTTGTCGATGCTGATTAAAATGTTCAGGGAAGCAAAAGTTGGAGGAATACATTACGTTGATAACGTGTACGAACTAGTATGTAACTTTCATCTTTTGATTTCCCTCCACTTGCATTCAATGTCTAATCACTTATCTTAGTAACTAATATTGTAAGCGTTTACTTAATTACAATTATTTTTTGAATAGATTTATATTTTGAAATGGAATTTCGGATTTTTTTTCAACCTACAGATGAAGATTCAGCTCTATTGGCTATTTTAGAACAAAGATTATCTAGAAAACCGGAAAGTCGAAGAATCTACTCGGATTCTGAGATGGGATTACAAGATGCAGGTGATATTCCATTACGTATTGTTGGACAACAACAACGTTCTGGTCATGTGGTTGACGGGTCTAGTCAAGCTTTCACTGGTCCCACTATACCAGGTAACAGTATTATTATTATTATTATATTATTATTATTATTATTATTATTATTGTACCTGAAAGTCCTCGGAAGATGGACTCTTCAACCGCTTTGATGTTTTATGTCTTCTTGTCTCTACATAATCCTTAAGTTTGTCAACATAAGGATAACAATTTTGTATTTTTAGGATAAAATAAATTTCGAGAATTTAAGTCTGGGAGGTGATATTGCATTAATATAATCAGCGATATGGGTAACAGTCCTGATTATGAAGAAATTAAAAGATTCACTGATCAGTAATTTAATATAGATCAACATAGAACTATACAAACATGACATTATTAATACAGGGTTATGGAAATCTAAGACCAACTACCCCGTGCGGGATCGTGGATGCGCACTGATGAAGAGCATCACTATAGGACGAAACGACTGTTCAGTGCTCCTCGGTTCATGATTTCAGTGAAACATGGCATTGTTCGCTATCCACTGACCAGTCAATCGTACATTTGATTTATTCACTACAAAATCGATGTATCAGTCAAAGTCACGCGTTTAAAAAGCTTCTCAATCAGAACAACATAAAGGTCAGATAATTGATCGAGAGGAAATACCGTACACCTAAGTTTGCAACTGTTTAGAATATATCAGCAAGGCATACCTGTAATTGAACAGAACTGGTATTTAATGAGGGAATCGAACATAGACTCTCACTACAAAAAACATGTACAAATTAGTTCTGCAAACACAAATTTACTAAATCTGATCATCACTTACCTGACAGGTTCAGCGACATAAAAACACTAACAGCCAGTGCGCTTCACAGACACAAAGTGTTACATAATTATTTACTATATAGTGTTATTCACCAAATGCGGTATTACTGTTGTTTACGAAATTGAAAGGACAAAAAGCGAACGTCCGAAGCTTTAGTCAGGTTGGTTGGCACGGAGGATCCACGTAGGGGATTTAGGGAACCATGATTTCAAATCAATAGTGAACATGGACTCCAAGATCCTGAGGAGACAAATAGCGTATGAATCAATTATTAGTCACCTGCTACTATGGGACTGTATATCTTAACGTTGCTTCACTGCCTTGTGAATCAGACCTTTAGGTAGAAGGCTCGGATTGTGGCCGCCTAAGAAAACCACCTGCTTCGGTTTGAATATCCTGGTAGTATTCTAACCCTCACATAAATCAAGTGACTTGTGTAACACATATGCATTCGGTGCTCCTTTGAACCAATATTTATGTGTTCAAATAAAATATGATATACAATTTCGTGGATTATTTGATGTTAGACATTAACACCGTTGGATGCCGGCCAGCTCAGTGGTCTAGTGGTTAAGTGCTCGCGCGCGAAACCAGTAGATCCTGGGTTCGAATCTCGAAGGGCCGAAGTCGTGGATGCGCACTGCTAAGGAGTCCCACAGCAGAGCGAAACAGCCGTCCAGTCCTTCCAGGTTTTCCATAGTGGTCTAACTTCAATTGACTCATGATCTTAACCATTGAAATATACAATATATGCTTAAGTGTCGCTTGAATTACATGCTATACAACTTGGTTGACTGTTATCGGTTGTATTTCTATATTAATTAAGTTGAACACTATTTCATTCGATTATTACTGATTGATCACTTCTCGATACAAGTTTAAATATGTAAATAATAAAAACTTATTTTACAGTTTCACCAATGAATTTACCATTTCCATATATGGATCTCGAATTGAAAACAACTCTTCCCCCAACTCCACCTCCTCGTTCTCGTATTCATGAATTTGATTATTCTTTACAATCCACATACTATCCATATCATTCTGTCTTACATCCTTATGAACATGATAATTTATATCGAGATATTAGTCCATTATCTGATATTATTATGTCATACGGTAAGATTGAGTCCGTATGTCTATGTATATGTGTATAGATGAAATGGTTTGATTCTAAGCATGACTGTCTTGCTCAATTGATATGCATGCAAACTTTATTGAAACGTATTATTCGCCCAAATCAAGTAAAGCCTGATAGAATATCATACTCTAGTAAACAATACGAACATTAAAAAAACATCTTTATTCTCTTTTGTATTACTATAATCTAGGTGAACAAAATGAAGACTCGGAATTATTTCCAAGACGGGTAGGTTCTTTTTCGGGGAAAAGTAATTCGTAATCATTTTGCATAAACAGAATGAAGTTGATATAAGTATTAGATAGCTTCTCTGATGAGATATTGATAATTAGGGCATAGTAGATAAAGAGATGTTTTCTTCTAATGTAAAACTTCTAATCAGTGTTTCAGCAGTTTACCTTTAGATCAGTTAGTTGAGATGCAACGTTTCATATGTCTACTGTGGGGCCCTTTATTTCGTCGTCGTTTAGATCAAACAATGTTGTTGAAAGGGCTTTTCACTTTAATGGCCCGTGGATCTGACTCCAATTAGATCGTATGAATTTTGTTATCGCCTATCCTCGTATATAATCATCTGCTTAAATCGCGTTAGTCAATGACGGAATCAAATAAGTCGAATAATGAGAATGGACTTGTGAATACATATATTTTGTGTATGGAGCGAATAGAATAGAGAGAAGAGAAACGACTCGGAGTGGAGATGGTGGGCAAGCCAACTCCCCTCTAACCAAACTTTAATCAATACTTATAGTTACACAATGTATGTTACAGACATGTGATGAGTAAAGGGATAAGAAGTGTGCACACACCTACGCGCTCATATAAAAACAGTCAAGATTGATAAGAGAATAAATAACAAGGTCAGAAATGTGACTCAAGTAGATTGAATGAAATGGTCTGTCCGAAACCTAGAGTAAGGTATATGGGCTTAACATAATAACCGACATTACACTACCTTGAGTCGATTCTCTACATATACAATGTGACAATTACACTCTACTGTTAGTGAATAACAGTTCCAATCAGTAATGAATTAGTTAACCAAATGCTGCTACATAGAACCTGGCACAAATATGCATTGATTCTAGCTGTCAGACTAGATTATTGCATTAAAATATATTGGCTGTAGAAAAAACGTTTTAGCATAGAAAGGAGAAAATCGTATGAGAAGATATCGGAACTCAAAATCTAAGGGAAAACAAAGAGTGAATGGGACTTCTCATTTTAGAATGTTTCTTTGGCATATTATGCAATAGCTCCATTCATTGGTTAAGATAATCCCTTGAATAACAATCAACTATTGTTCACCTGTCTACATAGTTTAGTTCAATTATCAATAATATCATTGGCTAATGCCACATCTTATGTTGGGCGTCCTTGTCTTTTTTTACTATACTCCTACGCTAAATAACATTCTCCGTCGAAGTAGTTGGTGGTCGAGAGTGTACCTTAACCACCTCAGTCGATGAAAACTCACTGATTCATCCACCGAACTGTAATCCTTTCCCTGTGGTTAACCTCAGTAGTATACACTCGATAGTTTTAAAATACGCGAATAATTCATTAAAGACACTCATGATCATTTGCTCATTCAACTCTCAGATGATTTATCTTAGGTCATATTGGTCATCTTTGAAATATGTATTTATCATTAATAAGAACCTCATATGGTTTTTAAATAAAGTTCCAATAATCGTACAATGTTATTGATACTTCACGGATAGTAAGAGTAATATAATAATTCTCATTTTACAAAAAAAATCGAATAAAGTTACATCAACTGCTTTAATTCTCGTTCACATATCCACTATTGAACGATCTTGAAACTTTGAGTTGTTTTCTTTAATGGAAAGGCGCGAGATCTGACGTCACATCAATTCAAAACTTTTCTAGGTTGACAATATGTTCTTCACCGTTATAGTTTGAGCTTATGATCAGAGTTCAGGCTTAGGGCTCAGGGTTAGTTTATATGAATCACAACTTCTAACACTAACCATAAATATCACTTTAGGGGTTGTGGAGATTGTTAAGTTTTTGATTGAGATCATGAACCGATTGATGTTAGACTACTGTTGAAGACCTGGAAGCACTGGACGGCCGTTTCGTCCTATTGTGGGACACCTCAGCAGTGCGCATCCACGATCCCGCTCGCGGGATTCGAGCCCAGGGTGTTTGCGCGCGAGTCCAGTGCTTCCAGGTTTTCAATGGTGGTCTAACATCAATCAGTTCATGATTCAATCAAGAACTTAACAATCTCCACAACCCTATACTGATAATTATCAAATGCTCACTAGTGACTAGCTTCGTGAGAAAATTCTCGGAGTTCTAATGAGAATCCGAGACTAGTGGAGCTAATCTGTGTCGGGTAGAAACAGGTCTCTACTTCGGTACATTGGAAGATGGTCGCACAACTTCGTGGATTGGTTGAGGTTAGACAATAACACCATTGGATGCCGGCTCAGTGGTCCAGTAGGTTAAGTGTTCGCGCGCGAGAACGAAGGCCCTGGGTTGGAATCCCGCGAGCGGGATCGTGGTTGCGCACTGCTGAGGAGTCACACGATAAGACGAAACGGCCGTCCAATGCTTCCAAGTTCTCGATCATGGTCTAGCATCAATCGGTTCATGATCTTTATCAAAAGCTAACCATAAACTCTACTCTTAACTATATCCCTGAATATGACTTAATCCCAATCCTGACCCTATTTCGACTTTCAAATCTACCCTCAAACCAAGATTGCGATCAAATACCACTCCATCATGTATAGAATCACAATAGTTTCATTCTTATATTTACTAATGAATGTTTTTCAACAACTTAATGCCTTGTACGTACTAAATGATGTTTCATTCAATAAAACTAACCATAATAAGATTGATAAAGAACAGGCCAGTTTTCTATTTGAGGCATGTCCTTGGAAATTAGTCTCTCGATAGTGATTGATTCATCTGTATGTTTTAGGTTTTATTACCACAACTAAAGGAAACATGAGTTTTTTTATAAATTTTTTTTCGAGTTCCGGTGTAATGAATGAGAACACCAGTGGTGACAACCAAATGTATCTTAAAATCTGTCAACCACACAGTAAATACTTCATTTGTAACATATCCATCATTTGTCTCCGACTTCATTGTTGTTCCTCGTTTCCATACCAATCACTCTCTTCTCTTCTCTTTTCTCAAACTTCTGCTTCTAGGCATTCCACTTATAGCTATCAACATTAATAGCACACACTACACTAGTACTACTCCAGTTAACACTAGTCGAAACGATCAAACCTATAAATGAGGTTGCCTTTCTGTAAATCTTCATCCAGAAAACTATTGTGAAAAATTTTCACGACAAAGCAGATGAATGAAACACATACACAAAAGGATAATACTGTGAATGGTTACATAATAAATTTGCTTAGTGTTGTTTTTCTTGTATCTTCTCATTGTTATTTAGGACTGCCATTGATCAGTCTCTTATTGGCATATGTGCATCCTGTGCGGATTGTCTTGACATTGCCTTAATTCACAAAATTTATAAGCAAAGATGGATGGTGTCTAGCAGTGGAATCCAGGTCGCACATTTCGTCTTGTCTGGTACACGTTAGCTGGATGTACATGAATCCCAGAGTTGATGTCCACTTCGGGACTTGAACCCAGCTCTGTTCACTTCAAGCGCCATCGCGTTATCCAGGATGATCATATGCCAATAAGAGACTGATCAATCGCAGTCCTTTACATCAATGAGAAGATTTAAATAAACAATACCAAGTGAGTTTAAAACTCCAACCCATTGCTAAAATAAGTGGCTATCAGGACTCAGTAGCTAAGTGAATAATGCGTTGTCGTTTGAAGCGAACGGTACTGGGTTCGAGTCCCAGAGTGAACATCAACTCGCTGAGATGCAGGTACATCCAGCTTACAAGTGCCAAATAATATGAAATGCGAGTCAAACTGGATTCCATTGCTAGCCACTATCCATCTTTGCTTAAACGCTTACATAATAGCTATCAAAATTAAGTCTGAATATGTTCACTATTCCTATGCAATATAGTTATTAATGATTACTTAATTAACTTCGAGATGGTGGAGAATATTTGTAGCTCAGATGGATGATTTTGGTGTCGTTCAGAAGAACGATGAAAGCTCCACGACCAAACCATCCAACTCAGAGAACAAAACTCCACCAAAAAGTAATTAAGTTCATTCAGTGATATTATGAACTAATCTATTTTGTTCATTTTCATTATTTCATTTAAACGACTTTGTCTTTTCAATGAATCACTTTAAAATTACAAATGAAACTGTTTTACTTGAATTTAATAGCCAAGGATACAAGTTGTACATTCTCCTGTTGAAGCATCCAATCAAATAACAAGTAAGTCGTTAAATACTCGTTTAAAAATTCGGTTTTTGTTTTGGTGAAGTTCTTTATCCCTCACCTGGATGATTTAATGGTGAAGTCTTCATAGTCCTGTTAGACAATATTAAGTAGGGGTTTGGTGGAGATTTTAAAAATTTCACTGATTGAAATCACGAGTCAATTGGAATTTCTAAAATCTCCACAAAACCCTTTCTGATAATAATCATCTGCACACTAGTGACTTACTTCAAGGGATCCTCCTGGAGTTCTAGTGAGAAGCCGTTACCAGCGGAGTTCAACCAGGTCTGTTGTGAGAAATCAACTCACTGAAGACAATGATATACAGTGGCGCAACTTCGTGGATTGGTTGAAGTTAGACATTAACACCGTTGGATGCCGGCTCAGTGATCTAGTTGGTTAGGCACATGGCGCGAGGCCGATAGACCCTGGGTTCGAATCTCACGGGGTGCGGGATCGTGGACGCACACTACTGAGGAGTCTCGTACTAGGGCGAAATGGCCGTCCAGTGCTTCTAGGTTCCCCATGGTGGTCTAGCTTCAATTGACTCATGATTTCACTCAGTGAAATATTAAGTGGCATAAATTTAAAATAGAAGGCTATTAGAATTTTTCACCTTTTGACTGATAGTTTGTCTTGTCGATACATTAATCTTGTTTGGTTATTGTTGTCATTGTTTGCATGGTTAGCTTGACTGACGATGTTGTTCAAGAGGACAACAAGACGTTTGTAACTGAAACATTTACGAAAATCATCCATCTGATCTACAAGTTTACTCCATTATACTTCATGTCGATGATGTCACTACTGAATATAAATTGTTTCAAATTATAAACTAACTGTATAAATGATCTAGCGGTCTGATCCACAAGACAGTGGAACAACGTTAGGAGATGCAGTCCCATGACAGCTGGTGACCGACAATAGATTCGTACGCCATTTGTTCCCTCAGGATCCTGGAGCCCATGTACACTATTGGTTTGGAATCAGGTTTTCTAACTCCCCTAGATAGATCCTCCATACCAACCAACCCGGTTAAAGCGCTGGACAGTCACTTTTCTTCCCCTCAGTTTTGTATATAACAGTAATGCCGTGAGAAGTCTGTGATTGGAACTTCACTGGAAGTGTCTGTATATAAGAAGCCATATGAGAACATTTGAAGAGAAAGAACTGACTGTCTTCATTCTCGGCCATACCAGGGCATTTTGAGGCGATTAGACTAATGTTCATTTCTTTGACTGATAACCCCAATGACTATGAATACTGACTGAAAAATTTAAAGCCTCTTGGTTTAGAAGCTCTTTCAATTCTCAACGACCAATCAGAAAATGTGGACAGTAAACAGAATACGTCCCGTTATTATCCTTCTTCTGATTCAAAAACTCACAGATTTGTAGATATCAATGAAACTATATCTAAGAAGTTACGATATATACATAATGGGATCATACGACGAAAAACTAAACTAATATATACGGTGAGTCAAGAGCTTCACTATCTTCATAGCATTACTTACAGTACATAGATTTACTTATAATTTTTGCCCCCATTGTTTATCACCATTTTTCCATGAATACATTAATAGGTGGACCAACTAGAGGCAGAGCATTTTCTGGATCTCCGACAATTTATCAAACTCAAGGACCATATACAAAATCAAGATTAACTTATATGTCCCCTGCTAAAGATCGTAAGTCAACCTCGGATGCACCTATCGCATCATGTTGTTTTTCTATTTTACCATGTGATATTTCAATTGAATTATGTTAAAACAGGTTGTAGTTACTCTGGTAACCATCTCCACATTCTCTCCATATGATAAAAAAACATATACTTGTTTGATAGCGGCTACTTAATTTGGGGGAGGGTAGTTTCAAGAGGTCTGATGAAGTAGCCATGACTAGTAGAGTTCGATCATATCGATTATGAGACAGTTACCTATTAATGGATATAGAAAGAGCAATCACTTTGTTTAGTGTATAAACCAATAAGCCGAACATCCTATCTTATATAAATGTCATATCAGAAATGAAAACGAGATTATTGATACTGTTTGGAGTCAATCTTATGCAAACAAAAGATGAATTGACAAAAAGAAAAACTGAACATCATCTACTAAATTAACTGTTCCAATTACGAGAAATACTACAAGCTATAAACGTTCTACATCTTCATGTGAATGAACACTAACTGGCTGTCAAATGCCATGACATACCTTCGCTTATATCATCCAATTCATGTAGATAACTGTGAACACATATTCTATTAGGAAATTGTTAAACTATCCGCCAGATGATATATGAAGAAGATCAGTGAATTGGTAGATCGCTCAATCAGTAATCAATGAACAAGTCAAAATTGACTCAATTCGTCAACTAACTGAAAACATCATGGACAATTAGAAGATAAAGAACCAGGTCAGAATGAGTGATACAGACAATGAAGATCAATCGTAACTGATCAAAATGAAAGTCGACAGGACTATATGAAGAAATTCGAACAACTTCCTTTTACCTGAAGAATATACTGATGGTGTTGTTTACGAAGACGATGAGAGTTTCACAATCGAACTAACCATCACTAAAAACGAAACTCCATTTGAACTATTTACTAGATCTACAAATTTTCCTCATTATCTCAGCTTTTCATGCTACCCTGATGATTATTGATCATAGAGGATTACAAAAATTTGTTATCGTTTACTAAGTGGACTTGACCATTATCTACACTTTGTCCGATCAGGTTGTCAAGATCTGTGTATGATTTTCTCAACTTTTACTCTTTATAATAAAGAATTATGTACTTCTATTGAATTTAAGATAAATCACTACTCTTCATCGGTACATGGATTGTTGTAGTATTCGGTTGAACTAGCCATCTGATATGGGCATCTTGAATTTGTTTTCCTTTTTCCTCATCGCCACTGTTATATTTCTCTCTTATTACAACCCAGTCATTCATGTTGCTTAGTATTCTTGGACACCAATTCACTCAACAAGTCCCCAAATCAGAACACGGTTGAACAGGAAAGAGATTATATTCCAAATAACAAGGTTAGATGGAAGTAAGAAGCACACTAAGAAAAACATTATAGTTTTTATATGAGAAGACTAGGGTGTTCTTCAGGTGTCGGTTAGCGCTGATTGGTTAAGAATTGGCCAATCAGCGTGCAGCGACACAATTGTTCTTGGAACGTGCTTTAATCCAATCTATGTTCCACTAACAATTGTGTTCAGAATCGTCAAGGCACAAATTAACAAACTAATATCTTCCAAATCATTCATCATCAATGTAACTCATGACAATAAAGTATCAACAATCATATTGTGTTCCAACTAATTTATCAACACATAGAAGATATGTGATATGAAAGAATAGTTAAATAACCAGATTGAGTCAAATTACACAGGTTACCTTGAGTTGAGTGACTTTCAAACTCACTTGGAGTAGATTTAGCCAATCAGAATAATTCTAGGACATTTCTTTATTGAGGTTAAGGAACATTCGATAAAAAAGAAAACTTTCGATACGATCCTAAATCATCTTCCCATTCAGACCTTTATACGACTACAAATAACTATGTAAACGGATCCTATATCTACTTTAACAGCGCTCTTCATACTGTTGGCACACAACGTTGACTGTGATTTCAGTGGATATTTTTCTGTTGTACTTCACCTATTACACGGCATATTATTTTGTTACTTCTGATGGATCAACAGGAGTGTTGCCTTTGGTTCTCTATCAACAAGCACATTGGAAGTAACATGATTCGTCTGCATCTTAACTTCAAACAGAACAGAAGAACTGCTTCAGATTGACTTCTTCGCCTAGCTCACAATTGTCTGACTTTTCTTAGGAATGGTCTCAGAAAAAAGAAGTGAATTCCATCCTACTTTAACATAGTCAAGAAATACCTAAATTCTGAAGATATATATAACCAGTTCTCTTCCACGGATTCGCAAAGAAAATAATAACCCAAACCGTTCTAAAATGAACGAGGATTTATGGCTGTTACACACATGAGTGGCTATCTGAAGTCACTAGTTAAGTGGGTGACGCATCGAGTGTTTGAAGCAAAAGGGAATGGGTTCAGATGTCAAAGGGAACATCGAATTCATGTATGTGGAGATGATGAGTCCCAAATGGGACAAAATGCAGGTCCTGGCTATCACTACTAGCAACAATCTATCTATTCTATGTATATGTCAATCTTAGAAACATAACACGAAACACCTTGTTTGAATCGTTCTCTGTAAATTAGTTTGCTATTTTTTTTCATGTTTTGCAGACATTTCTGGGGACATTCAAGTTATGACGAGCAATGGTCGAGACAACCAGTCGGTAAGTGATTCATTCTAACCACAAAAAAATAAGGTTAGATCATCCAGTAATAAATAAAGATCTTTCTATTCCAGACTTTGATTCATGTCGATGCGTGATCGATATAATCTTTTACTGGATAATGATGTTATCGGTCTAACTTTTCAAAGTAATCTTATGTTACTTAACAATGTATATGAGAGGTGATATTTTAGTTGTTTACTTAAGCCTGTCACCCATTCTGGAGGAGCATAGGCCATCCATTAGCATTCTCCAACCAACATTGTTTATTTGATTTTCCTCTTTTCCGTTTATACCCAGGATTCCGAGTTAGCACTTGTCTCGTGATTCAGTTTGATGATTTCCTCAATGTATGTCCTATCCACTTCCAACATCTTTTCCAAGTTCCTCTTCAAATGAAAGTTGGTTTGTCCTCTTCTACAGTAGGTTGTTGCTGATCGTATCCAGTCAATGGACATTGAGTATTTTGTGTAGACAATTGTCTATAAATACTTGGACATTTTTGATGATGGTTGTCGTGGTCCTCAAAGTTTCAGCTCCGTACAGCAGAATTAACTGTCTTGACATTCATATTAAAGATTGTGACTTTGATATTGGTTAAGTTCTATATGTTCATCAACTGTAGGAATGTGGGCATCGCCTTTACGTCTGCATCCAATTCTCCTTGCTCATCGGTGATAGATCATAAGTATGTGTAATATTCCACATCTTCCAGAGCTTCTCCATCAAGTGTGATTGGTTTAGTGTTTTCCATGCAGTTCAGGAACTGATATCTGAATAATGTACATTAATTTCAATGCATATTGTCAGTGTTATATCCCGACGAGAATAATAAATGCCAACTTTTGGGATTTATTTCTGGACTAATACTACACATATATATTCTTCTGGTATAACTATTGAGTAACTGAACTATTCTTATTCGTGTTTCTCTTATCATAAGCTTTATCTTGATTTATAGGCTATTATTATACGATTTACCGTTCTTGATTTATGCCCAGTCTATTCATTACAGTTTCCTACGTTCACAATCGCTTTTGGCTGAATCTTGTACATATGTGTATTTTCGATTTTATATCACGATGTGGACTGTTTGGTTTGTATGTAAACCCAGTATGTTTGGGATACTTGATTTATATCTCGGAGGCTGAGATTGATGTTCTGGACTCTACGGGCAGGAAGAACAGTCGATAAGGACTTTAGACTGCTTGTACGGGTTTTGCGCGTCATTGGTCCGGTCAATAATCCACTGTTGTCTAATTGGTAATAACATTATGCCATATATTGATAGGGGCATAAGGCCCACAAGTTATAACAGTCGGCAACTACGTTGTCCCTGATTCGGCTTTTTTGTAACTTGTACAGTGAGAGGTCGAGAACTTTTGATAAATGCACCTGAATTGTTTATGAGGCTAATAGACATAATGCTGTGTTAAAACAAAAAGCAGGCAACTTGTTGAAATATATAGATGGCAGGGAACAGGTAGCCCAGAAGAGCCAGATCATCTGCGTAGTCTAGATCGTCCAGCTGCATCTTGACTGTCCATTGCACCTCGTGTTTCCTTTCAGATGTTGAAGTCTTTACGATTTTGTCGATCACCAGATGAATGAAAACGGGTGAGAGTAAGAAACCTTGCCTGACACCGGTAGCCTAGAATATAGCTGAAAAATAAACTACCGACATCACTGATGTCCATTCTTTAAACATGACTATTTCTTTCATATCCATAAAGTTTTTAATGTTTCTTTTTCGTTAGACAACCTCATCATTATCAAAGTGAAATTTGACAAACAATACAACTAGATGACAAGACAATTTTATTATTATTACAAATCTTAGTTAATAATTTCAAACCTTTGGCAAATACTCAGTCTCTTCAGTTGATTACTCAACCCCCTTTCTTTCTTTCTTTCTTTCTCTCCTTCTTTCTTTCTTTTTTCTTTCTTTCTTCCTTTTGTCTCCCTTTCGATTTCATTCATTATAATAACAGACAATGAAAAATTCATCTTTAGAAATTATACTACTTATTTAAGCCCATTTTCAATTCATTGTCAAAAGATGACAACCATTCGAAAAATATCAAACCTTTTAATCATTGAATTTCCGCTTATTTGAATTTATCTTATTATCTGAATGATTATTTAAAACTATGTTCAATGTTATTGTCAATGTCTATTCAATTGTATAACAATTACATGAAAGTTGAACATTGTACTATTGTGGTGTGAGCTACTTATACCTTAATAAGTAGTATATAATGAAGGCTCTCCCGGTCTCCCACATTGTACGAGTATTTCATGTACCTAAATAAATGGTTGCTCTGGTTGTCAGAAGGGGCATTGACCTCGTGACTTCCGAAGGAACTCGGCTTTCATCATGAGGTGTCATAACTCTCTAAATGAGGGCTTTCTGACTCCCAGGGCTGAGTTTAAAAGGTTTGAATAATTTTTTCTGGTTAGCGTTTTTTTAGCGAGTTAGTTTTCTACGGCATGGGGACGCTAACCCCATGCCCAACCCTCCCTCTTTATCCGGGCTTGGGACCGGCAGTAGCCCCCGGAGGGACTCCATGTGGAGTTAGTATGTAATGATGGTCAGGAATAAAGTGTATTTCAGTATAAAAAAAATCGATAAGAAAAAGACAGAAACGGAAAGTAATTGGTATGAAAATGCACGAACAATGAAATCTGAGACAATGAATTGATATTTGCAAAAGAAACAGTCAAGTTTGAGACAATCGATTGATATTTTGCAAATTAACGATTTACTGTATGGTTCTCAGATTTTATTGAAATGTTCACTAGTAGGATTCGGTCAGCTGCAATCACTGTACTGTGTTGTTCTATACTACTGAGTAGAATAAGGCCTTGAGATTGGATAAGATTACTAGTTCTCTCGAAACTTTCTGATTCATCTTACTGTTGATGAGCCTGGATTTAACACGAAATTCAGATCCTGGTGTTTCAAACAGTCGCCTTTCATGATCTCGAATCAGGATGTATGTTTGGAATCGTTTTAAAACTATAGAAAACGATAAGATTATGTGAATAAATTTCAAAAGTTTGTTTCCTGTTTTTATACATTTTAGCCGATGGACCTACAATTGATCGATCCTCGTGTACTAGTCCAGTACAAACACATTCTGGTCGTTTACTTCGATCACCAGTTAGTCCACCGTCTAGAGAATATATTCGACGTCCATCAGAAATGATTGATGGAGGTAGTCAATCGGATACAGCGATTATGGCTGGTTTTAGTAGTCGGGTATGTTATCCCGGTACTTCATATTCTGCACATGATCAACCTGTTAGACGGCCATATAGAGCGATGCGTGGTAAAACTTCTGAAACTACGAAAAGAAATAGACCTACACAAGTCCCAGTATATCGAAGTCCAGAAGATCACAAACCGCAAAGACAAAAACAACCAATTTCAAGTGGTTTAGGTATGATAATATCTTGATTTTGTTAATTTTGATTATCAGTTGTAATCGTGACAACTAAATAGGTCCCTAGTTGATTTTAGTTTACGCAATAAGAATCTTTTATCCTTTCAATGAAAGCGCCATATTAAATATTCACAAAATCGATAATGTCACTCAATTCGAATACTTTAAGGAGTTTTAGTGTCATGTCTCCAAACCTGTTGTTCAGTATCACGTGCCAGGTCACCAGTCAGAATCGTTTTTCTAATTTGGTTTGTTATTTGCCGTATATAGCTTAGTATCTCTGATTTGGTCAGTTACACTATCAATCAGCAGCACTATTGGCATTGAGCCGGCTATTAAGTCCTTATCGATCTACTATTCACAAGCTCCTTTCTATACCCCTGACTTGAGTCCAGGAGTAGTAACTAGCCTCTACTATTCTTATATTTCAAACAGACATTGTTTATATACACTCGACGTGGACCACATTGTATCATAAGATGTAAAATAACAAATATACAAAAACAAACCAAGAGTTGTTGTGATTAGGAAAGAGTGGAAGTAATCCACTGCCAACAAAGTAGGAATAGTAAGTTGCACAACAATGTTTATTGCGTCAATTCTTCAGAGCGTCTTTATAGTAACATGTTTGTTTAATTGATATGGATAGCCATCTTAATGAAAGTCAGGCATGAGATGATTTTCTTCAACTTTTAGCTGATTGAAGGTCTTGCAACCAGTTTTTAGTTATTTTGAATAGTGTCTGAATTCACCTACTATTAATTGCTACTGAATTGTTTTCGTAGTAATTTTCGATTTGACAGAGAAATTAAAAACGCTCATTTCTACTTTAGTTAATTACAGATGATTTTCTCCAGATGAATTCTCTAAGATCATGAACCGATCGTTAAAAACCTAGAAGCACTGGACTTACGTGTCGTACTAGTATGCGACCCCTCAGCAGTGTGCAAACACTATCGTGCACTCAAGACACGAACTATGGACCTTCAGTCCCTCGCGTGAACGCCTAAACTCTAGACCACTGAGCAGACAACCAACGGTATTTTCGCCTCACTTCAATCCACGAATTTGCACAACGGTATTCTATTTTTCTCAATGGGTAACTGCCTCACATATGACACGGATTAGGTCCACTGGTCATGGCTTTTTACTGGTACTCAGAAGATTTTCTCTCGAAGCGAGCCTCTGGTGACCACATGATAATTATCAGTATAGAGTTATGGCGATTGTTGACTTTAACTGAAATCAAGGTTTGATTAGAGTTTTGCATAAAGACTGTTGGATTCTAGTTCAGTGATCCTGCGATCAGGATCGTGGATGCACACTGCTGAGGAGTCCCACAATAGGATCAAACGGCCGTTCATTGCTTCCAGGTTTTCAATAGTGGTCTAACATCAATCAATTCATGATCTCAATCAAAAGCCTTATAATCTTCACAATCCTACACTCATAATTACCATGTGCTCACTAGTGACTAGCTTCATGAGGGAACTCTCAAAGTTCTTGTGAGAAGCCGTGACTAGTGGAGCTAATCTGTGTCCGCTAGAGGCAGTTATCTACTTCAACAAAATGGAAGATAGTCACGCATTTTCGTGGATTGGTTGATGTTTATACTAATACCATTGGATGCCGGCCAGCCCGATGGTTTAGGGATTAAGCGTCCACGCGATCCCACTCGCAGGTTCGTGGATGCGCACTGCTGATGAGTCCCACAATGGTATGCAACTATTCAGTAGTATATTTTCACAACCCCACAGGTGATCGAATCCAGGACCCTCAAATTCTTTTTTTGATTAAAAAACGAACTTCACACCTAAACTAACTTATTATAATGTCTTTTCTTGTCATTTATTACAGAACGTATACCGGATAATGCTTTAGTTGTGTTAAGCCGAATATCAGCATCCACTCATATATGGTATCGTCCTGAAATGTCACGGAATGACGGTAAGTATGAATGAGGAACTTAGAAAACTTTCTTTTATAACCAAATCACTTTTCTCAAATCTGTCCAACTTATAACATAAACTTCCTAACTGTTCAAATCATGCCTAAAGCAAAGGCAGTGAAAAGAATGAATCACTATGTACAATAACATAAACATCAATATAGTACAATTTATTTGGATGGAGAAATGCCAAATCTTCAATGATAGTGATATCAAGTGTTTGCATCATGAACTAATTTCAAATGTTGTTTATTCATTTATTTGAGCACATAAATATTGGTACAAATAGGTGCCGAATACACATGCACTACACAAATCAGTGATTTGTGTGGGCTGTGATACTGCCCGGGTGCCAAAACCAAAGCAGGTGGTTCTCTTAGGGGACACTGCCAGAGCCTTCAACCTTAAGGTTTGATCCAAAGGCATCGGAGCAACGTACGAAGATGCAGTCCCATGGTAGCCAGTGACCAATAATTGGTTCATACGCCATTTGTTCCTTCAGGATACTGGAGCCCATGTGCACCACTGGTTTGGAATCAGGGTTCTCCAACCCCCCTAGGTGGACCCTCTGCGCCCACCGACCCGGTTAAAGTGCCGGACATTCGCTTTTCATCCTCTCAATTTCTAAAACAACACCCGTAGTGCGAGAAGACAGTGAGTAGGTCTTCACTGGCCGTGGTTGTATACGCGTGAGCATGTGAGAGCATTTTGAGGAAGAGAGCTGACTCATCTCACCCTCGGTCGTACCTGGGCATTTGAGGGCAACCGTACTACGGCAAATTGAATAACCATTGAAGAAAATTATAAAGCAATAAACGGTTGTTTCCTCAGTAGTAAAGTTCTGCGACCTCAGTAAACAGAATCGAATCCAGAACTTTCCATCCTGATAGTGAGATGTTCATTGCTTCAGATTGTGGTGTAAATTATGACACTGGATAATCTTCATAAAATACTTACACTAATTGACCGAATTTGTTCATTCGTTGGTTATTTATAAGTAATCTGTGTAAAATATATCGATTGATATATCGATTTTCCGACCGTTATTATTCATCAGGAGTGTTCTATTGATAAACATTGAACATAATACAGATTGTGAAAAAGCTAATGTAAGATTTACTTCAATAATTGATTTGCGTAAGTAGAATGAGAATATTTTGAGTATACTTTGTGACCTAGTTACTCCAGGACCTTTAGAAATCTATACTGAATCGGCAACAAAATCATTAGCACACTTGAAATAAGGAAAGTACAATCAGCCCCCAAATGCCCTGATATGGCCGGGAGTAGGATGAGCTCGCCCTCCCTCTCGAAATGCTCTCATACGGCCACGAGTACACAACCTCTCCCAGGGAAGTCCTACTCACTACCTTCTCGCACTGCGGGTGTTGAGAGAACGAAAAGCGAACGTCCGGAGCTTTAACCAGGTTGGTGGACATGAAGAGTCTACCTAGGGGAGTTGTAAAACTCTAATTCCAAACCAGTGGTGCACATGGACTGCAGTATTTTGCAAGAACAAATGGCTTATGAACCAATCGTTGGTCACCGGCTATCATGGGACTGCATCTCCTCACGATGCTCCACTGCCTTGTGGATCAGACCTTTAGATCAAAGGCTCTGGGTCTGGCCCCCTAAGAAAACCACCTCCTTCGATTGGGCACTCGGTCAGTATCACAGCCCACACACACAAATATGGCGTGACTCACATATATTTGGTGCCCTCTTGTACCAATATTTATGTGTTCAAATAAATGAATAAATAAATAATAACATCATCAAGATCCCTCTTGAGAGTTTTTAGAATAACATTAATTGATCAAGGTATTTTCCTGACTTTAGTAAGTTATCCTGAAGAATTGTCGAGGGTTTATAATGAAACGCCAAGTTTTAGAAAAGTATGAAGCATGAAAATGTTTGCAATCTTACGCACAATATCACAAGTATTGATTACGATTATGAAATAAACTCTAATGAGAATGTTCAACAGTCATTGACAACATGACTTGGTGTAATGATTCATTACAAAAGACTTTGACCTTACAACGTAAGGTCAAGCAGTTGATGACTTGGAATATGTACTATGATTTATTCTTGAAACGCATCACGGATAACTAGATGAGATTTATTCTTTGGCTAGACATAGAGTTCGTAAATTGAAGGTTTAAAATTGGGCTTACGGAGACTAGGGATAACATTGCTCAAGCACAACTCTTTCTCACGGATCGAATATATATGTTACAAAACATAACTGAAAAAGATTTAGTAGCAAGAATGAAGAAATGTTAGGAAATTTAGAAAAGGTTTCATTGCAATTTAAGTAAACTAGAGTATTGTCAGAAGTATAGCGATAGTGTAAACTTGTTAAGTTTTTACATCTAGGAAGGAGAGTTTTTCTTATGAAATCTGATAAAGAAATCGAATTGATTTCAGAATATATCACAGAAATGACTGAATGATAACTGTGCTGTGAATGAGAACACAAATGAGGATAGTCGGATGTAGTTGAATACAAAATTACATTATCTCTTACTAGAATCTGAGAACCATACATTTGTAGGGTGGCGTCGAGTCGCAATTGACTATGATCATCACTACAGGAAAGTTGCGTACCAAATATCAGAAGGCAATTGAAGGTTGTAGCGATAGATATTTGTTGGTGATCTCGTGGTATCGAAAGAATACCGAGATCGTACCAAAGAACTACAAGCGGATTTACTGAGCAAACGTAAGTTCGTGCGAGGTCACAATCAACGGAAGGAAGAATGGGAGAATAATGGATGTCTTTAGTACAATTAAACAAGCAAGTACAGTAAAACAATCACTGGTACAATTGGTTATAATAATAATTGTTTCCATTAAACCAATCACGTTCTCTTGATAAAAGTAGGTCACTACACATTAAATACTTCATTTGTAAAATGCCAATCAATCGGCTAATACTTCATGTTCCTTCGCTTCCACACCAATCATTCTCTGTTCTCGTTTTCTTTTCTTCGATCTTCTTAACCTTCTGCCTCCAGACATTTCATTTTCTATTGATGATATATACTAATTGTATCTGTCGACATCGGTAGCACACACCACAGTTGCATTCATATCACGAATCGACTGAAATTGGAAATGTATACCACTAAATTTCAAGTAGGTAGTCAAGATGATCTGTACTCACGACGAGCAATGAAAGTCAACTTCAAACCGAATAACTCAACCTTCTTTTTAGAAAAGGAGTCCTGTTATTACGTACAAAATTTAACTATAGTTTGATTTTCACTGAATATGTTTTGTGCTGATGGTTTATATAAGCTTTCATCATGAGGCGTCATAATTCTTCTAAATGAAGACCTTCTGACTCCCAGGGCAGAGTTTAAAAGGTTTGAATAATTTTTTCTGGTTAGCGTTTTTTTAGCGAGTTAGTTTTCTACGAGATGGGGATGCCCAACCCTCCCTCTTTATCCGGGCTTGGGACCGGCAGTAGCCCCCGGAGGACTCCAGGCGGAGCTGTATGTGACATTTATCACCTACTGATATCAGTTTGAGTAGGACTGAAAATTAGGAATTTCGTGCATAACATTGCCATATTGACTTTTTCTATCAATAATATCAGATAATAGTTGTGATGTATTTCGAATTGCAGTAAGCAGTGTGTAATACCGAATGCTAACCCCTTAAGTAAATGGTTAGGTGTTCGATACAAGATATACAGATGATGGTTTCGGCTTTTGGCATGATTGTAAGTTCATACTGAAGACGATTTCTGTGGTAGGAGAAAACTGCTATACAATTTACATCACTTTTTGTTGATAACCTCAATGATAATGATTGATATAGAAAAATACTAACAAATCTCTTCTATATATTTCATTAGTTATATATTCAATTTATTGTTTACAGCAATGGACTTAATCAGATCAGAAGCTCCTGGAACATTTGTAGTTCGTAATAGTGGAAGCTTTCCACATTCATTTGGACTGGTAGTTAAAGTCCACAGACATCATACTCATGGTTAGTTTATTATTTTAAATTATTCAATAAATTATAACCAAAATGATTTTTATTCATCGATTGAGAAAACTGGTTAGAAATCGCAGAGTCTACATTTTGATCAAGATAGTTTAGCGTGGCGTCGAGTCACAATTGACTATGATCATCACTACAGGAAAGTTGCGTACCAAATATCAGAAGGCAATTGAAGGTTGTAGCGATATGTATTTGTTGGTGATCTCGTGATATAGAAAGAATACCGAGATCGTACCAAAGAACTACAAGCGGATTTACTGAGCAAACGTAAGTTCGTGCGAGGTCACAATCAACAGAAGGAAGAATGGGAGAATAATGGATGTCTTTAGTACAATTAAACAAACAAATACAGTAAAACAATCACTGGTACAATTTGTTATAATAATAATTGTTTCCATTAAACCAATCACGTTCTCTTGATAAAAGTAGGTCACTACAATAGAAAACTGAGACAAACACACTAACTTGTGCAATGAGGTCAAGTGGAAATCCATTTTGTATTGTTTGTTTGGATCTTCCCATTGACTACAATTAATCAAACTCTTACTGAAAGATGTGAATCATTTGTGGATTGCCTCAATATTGCCTTAATTTACAAGCATTATAAGCAAAGATAGATGGATAGTGGTTAGCATTGGAATACAGGACGTGTGTTTCGTCCTGTTCGGGACTCGTCAGTTGTATGTATCTGAATCCCGGAATTGATGTTCACTTCGACAATCAAACTCATTACCATCCGCTTTAAAAGCCATCACGCTATAGGCTTAGCTAGTGAGTCCTGATGGACTATAGAAAACACATATTATGAACATAAATGTTTCAATACCATCCTTCTAGAAATTCTCCTCTACTCAGAATTAGTAAGTTTCTACAATCAAATTTTCCATGTAGATTGTTATCACTGATAAAATATCATGCCTCCTCATTGCTATTTTATGTTATGTGTTAATCAATGTGTCCACTTTGTCCAATATGATGTTTCTCGCTGACGATGTTATTCGTTCAATAAATGACATCTTCATTTGTCTTCAATCACTGTTATCTTACTTGCGTTGATTTCAAAGTGTTTCACAATGTTATTCTTCATGTATGGTAGAATAATCTGTTTTTTTCCTATTTAATGGTATGTTGAATCGCTAGACACTTTTTAATCAGATTGCTAGAGTAGCCATTCTAATGAAGCCAGGAAGAAAATGAGTGTTTCTTATATACTTCTTATAGTAAACGGTTGAAGATGATCGATAGGAAACTGTGGATTGAGGTTTCGTGCTATTTGACACTCGTCAGTGGGGTTTACATGTAATCTTGAGAGAACTGATGCTCCTAGGGGAACTCGTGTGATCTAGCTTCACAGTTTGAGTTGTCACTAAGTTACTTGAGCAGCGAGTGACTTTATTATGATAATTAGGAGTATTTAAATTATAGTACAAAGTAGGAATCCCAGAAATAACTCAATTGGATCAAGAAGTACTAGATAAGCATGAACGAATGTACTGTATTTGGAATTCAAAATCAAGCAATTAACAAGTACAAAGGAATCGTTAGATCATACAAACACCATACTTATGTAAGACTGAAATGCTTGGAGTTATTTAATCACCAAGTGGCTAATACTTACCCAGTACCTCACAAAAGATTGGACGGACCTAAGTAACATAAAGTCATTATACTGACTGAATGACTTGCAAATCATAGGTTCGAGACAATAGGTGCGGGTAGGTGAATGTATATCATTAAAGGGTTTCAAGTTAGAACGAAACAGTTGTATAGTACCTTCTACTCTCTATTGGTTCACCTAAATACTCATCTAAGTAATTAATAATCAACATTGTTTCTATAAGGTAGCCATATTTGAATTCTAAGAGAAAAATACTTACTTACACTATATCCACTACTGACTGATTTCGAGAGTGAGTCCCTTAAGTATTAAGGTGAAAGTCGTGACCAATGGAAGATCGACCATGGTGAGTGTGAACTAATTACTCATCAGTGGTATCGAAAGTTGTTTACACAATATAACAGGTTGATTGAAGTTAAACATGTAAATTATTGAATGTTGTCTCATTTATCTAATGCTTAAACTCTCACTACCGAACCGATAATCTTGTGTAGTTGATCACTGTTGGAGCATACCATACAAAGTCAACATAGCTGTTCAGTGTTCCCTAGTTTTCAGTAATAATATATTGTTTAATATGTTTAATTAATCTTACTCTATTTTCTTACTATTTCAAACAGGTGAAGAATCCGATTCTATACGACATTATTTAATTGAAGGTTTACAATCTACAACGTCAGCTGTATATCATGCAATTGGTGTATCTGGTACATTATTACCTCCATCTAATATTCCAATGGATTCATCAGCTTTAAGTGTAATCCATGAACCTGTTCGACTTCGTGGATCTTCAAATGAACCAATATTTACTAATTTAGTTAGTTTATTATATGAACATACAATTCAACCATTAGCATTACCTTGTATATTAAGATTACCTTTTAAATTACCTACTTCAATCAATAGTCTTCCTTCATTAATAGTATTAACAAGAAATTCACAATCTGATCATATATCACCAACTTCAATAGTACCAAAATATTCTTCACAAGTTGGATCCTATCATACAGGTATGTTTACTCATTAATATCAGTAGTTATATAATTATCAGAAAAGGGTTTTGTGAAGATTGTAGTAATTTAATAGTTAAGTTCATGAGTCATGTGAAACTAGATCATCATGGAAACCTGAAAGCAACGGACGGTCGATTCGTTATAGTATACGACTTCTCAGGAGTGCACATCGATGATCTCACTTCGTGAGATATGCTCACTAGTGACTGGCTTCAAGAGGTATTTCTCAAAGTTGTAGTGAGAGGCAGTGACCAGTGGAGTTCAACCAGGTCTGTTGTGAGATAGTAGCTCACCGAGGATAATGGTGGATATGTCACTTGATTTCTTACATCAGTTTCAAGTTAGACATTAACACCAATGGATGCCGGTCAGCTTAATGGTCTAGTGGTTAAGCACTCGTGAGCGAGACTGGTAGGCCCTAGGTTCGAATCTCGCGGGACGGGACCGTGGATGCGCACTGCTGAGAAGTCCAATACTAGAACGAAACAGGGCTTCAAGGTTTTCCATAGTCATCTAACTTCCATTGGTTCATGAATTCAACTATTAAGAAGTTAATTAATTTCCATCCTTCTTAACATCAACCATGGGAATATTCAAACTCTTACAAGTGAATTATACTAAGGTGTATCTTTCAAGACATTTTCCTAATCAATAGTAGTAGTTCCTTAGTAGTTGTGTTTCTATTAAAACCCATCAATATTCTCTATAATCATGTTCAATCTTGTGAAAAAGGTTTCATGAAGATTGAAAAGATGAATTGCTAACTACCTTCAGACCTATTGTAAGTCAAGAAGCATTGAACAACTCTTCAGTATTGACTTGTGATTCTATCTGGGAAAAACTTTCAGAACCAATTATCCCATGATGATTATAATAGTTAAAGACTAGTTTAGTGGCCCGAGATTTGACTTCAAATAGATTGTTGGCTGATTGCTATCGAAATATAAATGCCAGCAAACCTCGTATATAATCATTGACTTAACTCGTGCCAGTGATTAATGGAATTAATGAACTCAGATACGAGAATGGAGTTTGAATACGTATACTTCATACACTCAGTGATTTGGATAGATAATCGGAGGAACGAAGCGAGGGAAGCGAAGAGGAGAGAGCGAAGCAAAATGGAATGATGCGCAATGGAGAAGACACGTGATGCAACTCCGTTTACCCTATCGTGAAACAAATATTTATAGTCAAATGAAAGTAAGCTTTTGATTGAGATCATAAACCGACTGGTGTTAGACCACCTTTGGAAACCTGGAAGCACTGGACGGCCGTTTCGTTCCATTGCGGGACTCCTCAGAGGTGCGCGTCCACGACCCCGTTTGCGGGATTCGAACCCACGGCCCTAGGTCTCGCGGACGAACGCTTAACCTACTGGACCACTGAGCCGGCATCCAATGGTGATAGTGTCTAACATCAACCAATCCACGAAATAAGTTACAGACACATGATGAATAGGGTAAGTATTGAATAAACATACACTCAAATAAAAACAGTCAGGGTTAATAGGCAATTAAGTGATAAGGTAAAAATGTGGCTTGAGAAGAATGGATAGATTGATTTGTGCAGAAGCTAGAATAACCTATGCAGGTTTGACATAATACCATCCCTTACACTAGTGATCAGTATTTTCAGCTTCAGTTAATCCTCTATGTTACTTGATCAACATTTAATGGTATTGATAATATTTGTCACAATCACTGAAATAACTGTATTTTATCAGTCATAACTTTGAAAAGCTAGTTATGGATTTCTAGTCATTATGAACATGGTTAACTGAAGTTTGTGCACACATATCGACTTGTTGGGAGTATTGTAAAATAACGAAGAAATCAGTCGTTGTTTCGTATTTTTGCAAGTCATAAACAATTCAATATAATTGAAATCATGAACCGATCTTTGTTAGACCACCATTGAAAAGCTGGAAGCACTGGACTGCCGTTTTGTCCTAGTATGGGATTCCTCATCAGTAGTCATTCACGGTCCCGTATGCTCTACGCGAACCCAGGACCTTCAATCCCACGCGTGAATGTCTAACCTATAGATAACTGATCTAGTATTCATCGTTCCCAATGTCTAACTTCAATCAATCCAGGATATTGCATTGTTTTTGGTAAATAACTGCCTCACACCTAATACGGTTGAACTCCACTACTGAGAAGTCCCATGCTAAGAATAAACGGCGGTCCAGTGCTTCCATGTTTCCAATGGTCTACTAACATTGATCGTTTCATGATCTCAAATAAAGCTCAACAATCTTCACAACACTATACTGATGATTCAGTATAACTAGTATGTAGTTAGTAATGGAATCCAGCAAACGCGTCGTTTTCTTCTATTTATGACTTATCAACTGGATGTGGTTGTATCCTAGTGTTTATGTGTACATTCCTACACTTTTCACTTCAAACGCCTGAGATGTTATCCACTGAGCTACTTAGTGTACTTTTACTCAGATGAAAACAATCTTTTTTTTCAAATGGAGCACATGAGATCACGTTGACTACTTAATGTCAAATAGATTGATTAGATACAACTCCTCATCTCTCTTCGTTACACAACGAATTAAGTTCGTACAAATTTACTAGAATCAATTAGCCTGTAGTGGCTGTGCTTCGTTAACCAATCACCCTCGTGATCGTTATCATATAATCCTCAACGGTGTACGAAACCAGAAGGCAAAGAGAAGCAGCGTGTACAGATTTTTATTAGCAGACAACTCAGACCACCAAGCAGGGAGGCAAATGAATGAGTCAGCGAACCGAGAGTGTACAGTGTGTCGAGTGTAAATGTACATGTATATATATATGGAGATGAATGGATCATCGAATCAACTAAGCCGTTAATAATAAAGCTAGCAGAATGAATACATGCGTAGGCGGTAAGCAATGTTCAAGCATACATATTTCATACAAGCACAACAATAATAAAGGTAAAATAAGTTGTTATATAGTACGGATGGACTTTGTCCACTAAATAAGTTAACTAAATGGCTTAACTCTGAGTTAAATGATTACAAACTCAATTGCACGTGAGTTGCTATAAGCCAATATTAGTAATTTTACAGCCAGTAGGAAACATTCAAACAATCAGATTGAGATGCATCCCGTTCCACATTTTTAATCCAGTTAATTCATGTTTAAACAACAGAGACATTATCAATGTGCACATGTTTGAAACCTACTAGTTAGGATCTTTCTGTGGAAGGTCTGAGTCATTTTTATTTATAATCACTGATGTCGATTTCTCGCTGGTTTTAACTGAATCCATAAATGATGTCACTCAGATATGAAATTTGTCCTCGTGTTATGCTAATTTATCTAAATCTATATCTGATAGTAATTTTTTTGTATATATGTAGGCTGTGAAAGTCCTCATGACTTTCATAGAACGGACAGATCCCAAGGAGTTTCAGTACGACATCCTACAGAATCTGTACCTACTGACTTAGGTTCATATGAAATGGAATCATCATATAATCCAATACAACAACACCAACAATCAGGAACACATCCCTCACAACCGAGTATACATCATTCAACTAGACAAGATTCTTTTCTTACACCATTTAGCGGTTCCAAGTCTAGATCGAATAGATCTCCTCCTGCTGTATATGAAGGTGAACTAGGACCGATAGGTCCTCCAGATTCAGGAAGAAGTGAGTATATTTAGTTTAATATTTAACAAATAACAATTAGTCTATTGTATAGTTTATTTCCAATATCTTCTACAATAAAACAATTATCAAGTAGTACTAATAGTAGTATGAGTATACAATTAAACTAATCGTTTGTGTTTACACAGCTCTTTTTAGAAGTGTTTTTACTATTGAATATTTCGATGATACTCTCCTCTATCTTCCTTCCCTCTGAACATGTTGGAATAGAAATAAATGTCATCGACAATCTTGACCATCTGTTATTATGGTCGATGTGACAGTGACTGGGTTTTTTTGTATAAAAAAATATATTTACAAAGCGAAGAAATAGATTTTCTATCATGTAAACCCGAGTATTTGCATTTCAAAAAGTTTTGTTTCTACGATCAATTATCTGATAAGCAAAGATGGATGGTGGCTAGCACTGGAATCCAGGATGCGCGCTTCGTTCTATTTGGGACTCTACTAGGGAGTTGATGTTCACTTTGGGACTCGAACCCAGAATCCTATCAGGACTCAGTAGCTAAGTGGATAACTCGGTAGCGTTTGAAAGAGAACGGTACTGTGTTCGGGTCCCAAAGTAAACACTAACTCTGGGATGCAGGTACATCCAGCCGATGAGTCGCAAAGAGGACGAAATCCGCATTCTGGATTCCACTGCTAGCCACTATCCATTTTTGCTTATAAAGCACTTACTTTCCGGTTATTTACATTCTGAAAACACTGAATTTTCATTTTTTTTTAGTTTTTCAAGAACTGTCTTACTATACTTCATTTCCATAGTGTTTAATGATAACATACTGATGATACCATTAGCTGTAAAAATTGAGGAATTTAGTTTAAATCCTACTTCACGTATCAGTGTTGCCATGAAATTATAACCATTCTTCATCACTTGTGTGTATTAACTTATACACAAATTAGTGGCTATCTGCCTTCGGTAACTTAAAGGATAACACGTTAGACATCTGAAACGAAAGGTATAAGGTTTGAGTCTCGATGTGAAAACTGATCTAGATACATCCAACTGATGTGTTGTAAATAAGACAAAACTATGCAGGTCCTAGATTCATCTAGTAGCCCCCATGTATCTTTACTTGAAATAGCGATAATGAAGCAATCAGATCAACTGATCAGAACTCAATCCTTATCATTAAGAATGATATTGATCAACCTATGCTCACTAGTGACTGGCTTCAAGAGTTATATCGTGGAGTTCTAGTGAGAAGTAGTGACTAGTGGAGTCCAACCAGGTCTGTTGTGAGATAGTAGCTCACTGAAGACAATGGTGGATGTGTCGCTCAATTTCGTGGATTAGTTGAAGTTAGACATTAACACCGTCAGATGCCGGCTCATTGGTCTAGTGGTTAAGAGTTCGCGGGGGAGACTGATAGGTCCTGGGTTCGAATCTCTCAGTGGGCGAGGTCGTGGATGCGCACTGCTGAGGAGTCACGCAGTAGGACGAAACCACCGTGTAGTGCTTCCAGGTTCCGCATAGTGGTCTAGCTTCAAGTGACTGATGATCTTAACCATTGAAATTACTATAATATCCACAAAATCCATCTGACTTACAAATATATAATAAGATGTTCGTTGAGACTATAACTTATGGACGAACCAAACAGGTGTATAAGATAACAGATCTCGGAATTTGGCGCGAAATTCATTCATCCGTTTGGGTAAACAGAGTTTTGGCATTATAGGTGATGTTGATTCGTAATGAATCGTAATTTCTCACATTGGTTTATAACCATCATTTGGTCCTAGTTATAAGGTGAACGCTCTCAAGGTCAGTTTAGTGTCCCTCAAAGGTCGTCTTACCAACTATTCTTTATTGATATTTTCACATGTTTAATAATTATTACTGAATATGACTATTTTATCCAATTTGAAGAACCTGAAATCTACTTTTTTTTTTTCGGGGGGGGGGCATTTTACACAGCATTTACATCGATTTATTTAGGAAGTATTGACACTGAGAATCTTACAGGTTCTTCAGCAATTCGTAAAGCAGTTGATGTCCTTTTGGAAAATGCAGCTCAGGTAAAGTTAATTTCTTGTAATGACTATATCATTTATTATTATTACTATTATTATTAATGTGACTTTATTCAACATTATATGCTTGGTACAAGATAGAATTCTAGCGAGTTTCCATTCCGTATTTCTTGATTAATCCTGACTAGATAAGTATTGAGTGATCACCAGTTAGATGTTAGCAGTTCAGAAATCAACATCTGAATAGTATTGATTCTTTTCAATACATACTGACAGCCATCATGATGTCTCTGATTGAACTCTTTTGTTAATTTGTACACCGAAAAGTTGTACACTTTCTAGAAACTCACCTGAATAGTATATGTGATTAATAGACATAATGATGTATCGAAACAAACATAAAATGGGAGTAAACTTGATGAAATATCTAGATGACAGGAACAGGCAGTCCAGATATTCAAGCAGTCAGTCAGCTACAACGTAGGACCAGGCACATATATTCATTCATCCAAGTTTTCACACCTCATTAGCACAATAAGATGAACACCGGATTCATAGAAGTAGATAATTCAATGATGGTAATATATAAAAGAAAGATTGCATGTAAGGATATAGTACAGGAAGAAAGAATTAGTTCGTAGAAATAAAGGTATAAAGCAACTTCAATCTCACGATTTAAGACAAAGAGTGTATACACCTACATCATTGTGATCGATTCTGAACCATGTCGTACAAAATCTCCAACCATTGGTTACGATGGTCACGCGGACCCCAACCGAGTAGTCTGCATCTACCAACGTGGCTCAAACAAGAATTTAGTGATTTTGTGGACTGGTGCCACGTTTTGGTTTGACCACCCCTAACTTTTATCCAACTATCCCTAACACTAGTAAGCATTGCGCGTCGTGATGATCGTGTTCAGGCGTACGCAACACGTGGCCCAACCATATCATTCTAAAATACCTGCTTGAACTCCGACCATGCTCTTATACGCGTACACATCTACTTGCGCCTCACTGGACGCAAAAAAGCCACATAAAATGACCCATTAGGATTGAATTGAGTAATGAGAAAACCAAAAGTAGGTTCCAGAAAAAACTGAGGTCACACTTAGGTACTCCTCAAAACGAGGTTGACCCAGATGTTTTTTGGAAAAATATACAAACAGCTGTGGAAACAGCAGTGACATCTGTTAGTGATTTAAACCAAAGAGTTACAAAAAACTAATGAATTTCTTCTAAGTCTATTAAACTGCTGGATTCTTGTAAACTCATCCCATCAGGCTCTGAAGACGATGAAGAGAGAAAATAAATCAGATCTAGGTTAAGAAACGACCGTGAGCAGTGATGGGCAACGAAAGCAAAAGAGATGGAAAAGGCGACGGATGTAGGTAAGGCAAAAAAGCTCTACAGACTACTAAAAGAAATTGGAATTAATAAGTGTAAGTGAGACTATTTCGGAAAGAGACGACACTCTTATCTGCTCCCAGTCCAGTATTTTTTGTTATTGTTACTGGCATTGTTACTACATCCACGATGCTGGGAGTTATCTCTATACTTTTTTTTATATACTAACTTGGTACAGTGACTTGAACTAATGCAGATTTGTATCAATTTCGTATAACTAATTGACTAGATAAAGATGATCATGAACTTATGATAACTGACTATAATCAATAGGAAGAAGATTCGGATTAAGAGTTTAAAGTTAAGGTTTAGGAACTAGAGTTAAGGTTTTCATCATGAACTGACATTAGTTAATTTAATCACATGGATGAATGGATCTCGTTACGAAATCCAAAACCTACTATCTTAAGTCTGATTGATTCGTTCACAAATTATGATCATGTCCCTGTCAGTAATTAAACAATCTTAATTGAATCGGCTATCTGTGACATTGATTAAGTCATTGGATGATTTATGACAGTTAACTTAAAAAGAGTGATGGGGAACGATCTTTTTCCAGTTGAATACAATGAACAACTTTATGTCTATGACATGATTTATCTATCAAGACAATCATTGAACAGGTTTTTTACTTGACCTTAAATTATACTATTAGATCATTCATCTTAGACAGGATCAAACTGACTATTTCATTGGTTGTTTCTAAGCATAGTCCCTTCCCCCGTCGTGAACTTGGGTTGGATACTTTCAATTCTAAAGATGACAATCATTTCCTACATTGTGGAATTACGATAATGGGTCATAATTGTTCTATATGGATCCTAGTCCTAAGTCTGAAATGTTAATCCCAAACTATAATTCTGACATTAAACTTTCATTCTAAACTTCTATTAGTGCTTTATTCATTAGAAACTGTTATATCTTTAACTTATACGATTATGGCAAAATACAACTGCCAGTTTTGGGTACGCTGACTTATACAACCAACTAATGATGTATACATCTGTATGAGCGGCCTAGGTATCCAACTGCACTTTTTCCCCCACCTTGCCCTGCCCGTTGATTCCAGAACACCAATCTTAGCCTCCACGATATAAATCATCTATTTCAAACATACTGGGTTTATATACAAACCAAACAGACCACATCGTACCATAAAATAGGAAACAACATTTGTACAAGATCTAACCAAAAGTGTCTGTGAATGTGGGGGACTGTAATGAACAGACTGGGGCATAACTGAGGAGCAGTAAATTGTTTCATAATAGTCTATGTGTCAAAATAAAGCTTATAATAAGAGGAATAAGAATATGAATAGTTTAGCTACTTAACAATCATACAACAAGAACACATCTTATCGGTTCACACATAGATTATTAGGTCATTCAGTTGTATGAAACGTAGAATGTGGTACATATGACACATTGGTTTAAGTTGTCATATCCTATCAGCACAAAATGATGATAACAAAACAGTTGAAGTAGTAGCAGTATCAATAGTCACAGAAACGACTAGACTTAGACGATATGATTCGACAATGAAATGTGAGATCATGAGTCAATCGAAACTAGATCACCATGGAAAACCTGGAAACACTGGACGGCCGTTTCGTCCTATCGTGGAAATTACGTCCAGTGCTTCCAGGTTTTCCATGGTGGTCTAGTTTCAATTGACTCATGATCTCAACTGTTGAAATTACTACAATCTCTACAAAACCCCTTCTGAATGAAATGTGAATCTGTGAGATAAAGTGCTTGTGAACACAGGATCTTAAAGAAAACCACCTGAACTTCATGACCAATGATTAAACATGAATTCATTGATAAGTAATCAACATGTTTAATGATAGATATTGTTTAGAAAACTACAATTCATGTTCAAAAACGCACTTATTTCTGAACATGACAATTGTTGAAATTAGACTTAATATTCTTCAATATCACCATTCTTCATTAAAAGGGGGTTACATTAGAAAACATTGAAACCTATGCATTATTTATTAGATGTTTCACTCCCCAACCGTCAACAGTCACCATAAGAGTTCTTCAATATTCCTTATTTCTCAATCCTACTATCGTCAAAATGAATGATAATCTAGGAACCTCCTTGTGAAATTTAATTGTTCTATTTATATTACTTATGAGTAACAAAGATTTATTGTAGGATTTCTTAGTTGTCTCCTTTAGGGTTGGCTTAAACTGGCTGAACTTTTCGTTCAGCTATATTAAATTTATCTTTTTCAGTTGACTATTGTTTCTGGACTTACCATCTTGTGTGTAAGTCCGAAACCGGAACTTAAAGGTGTGAGAGAGAAGAACTGGTTGATGTGATATGGGAAAACATTCTCAAATGAAATTGATCTCCATAAGCATAATCTAAACAGTGATTAGCTTCCAGGTGATTTTGTGAATATTTAGTAGGAATTCGTGATTGGTTGAGTTTATCCATTTTGGAAATATAACACTCGTCATCAAGACTATTGAATAACAGTCACACTATCTCACAAATTAACTGAGGCTGAACTTCTGAAGCATTGGATCTCAACTTAGTAGTGATGTACAAGTTAAACTACTTGTTATAACTTGTGACGTTGTGTCTAATTAATATCTAACGTAATGATACCATCATTTAGAGAACAGTGAAATATCGACCGGACCAATGACATTTAAACCCGTACAAACAGTTTAGAGTCCTTATAGGTCCTTCTCCCTGCCTAGCCCTCCTGTTAATTCCACAACACCAAAAACAGCCTCTGCGATATGAATCATGTATATCAAACATACTGGATTTATATTACAAACCAAACAGATCACATCGTACCATAGCATAGAAAATACACATTTGTAAAAGATCTAGCCAAAAGAATGGCTATGAATGAGGCAAATAGTAATTGATAGACTTGGTACAACTCAAGAACGGTAAATCGTATCATAGTAGTCTGTATGTCAAAATAAAGCTTATAATAAGAGGAATATGATATGCATAGTTTATCTAGTTGGTCCATAAATAGGTCCCAACAATTACCATTCACTGTTTTCGTCTGGATATAACATCGTTTACTGCTAGATATGAGAAGGCCATAGGTTAAGTTCAAGACAAGGCATGGGTTACACACTGCTGAGGATTTTAAACTAGGATGAATCACTCATTTCCATAGCAACATATGTCATATATATAGTCTTTTAACCGTGCCCAGCTGAGGTTTGATTGATTGATTGATTGATTAGTATTGTTTATCATTAAAATAGGTTAGACAAACCGAAGTAACAATACGTGTTTCACAAGATGGATTAACAGTTACAGATAATTGGAGAAAATTATTTTTTCGACGGAATTATCCATTTCATTCTGTATCATTTTGTGCAATTGATCCTTGTCAAAGATGGTAAGTGTAGGTAGTTTCTTTGTCAAAGTTATAAAAATCGAAATTATTGATCATTGAAATCATTTTACAGGTTCTACGTTGTTGTAGGTCCTTCTTAGTGCAAATCATATCCTATTGATCAGTTCAATGTGGCTACTAGTCTAGGTAACTCAACGTTGTACTAAGAAGGACCTGACATACATGACATTGATCATCATCCAGTGATCAATCAATTGTAAATACATCTCAGTCCTACAGGAGGTTGGTCGCGGCCCAGATAGCTTAGTGATGACATCTGTGACTGTGAAGCTGGATGACACAGAATCGAATCCGTCAGTGCCTATAGTTATTCGGTTGAATCTATATAAGTGATAAGATACTGTATTGTTTCACTACTGTTCTGTGTCTATGGATAGTTACATGAGAGCAATGTTCACTTTGTCCAATATTAATGCTTCTCAAAGTTAGCACAATGAGCGTAATGGATGAGTAATCATTTTTGTCCTTTGTTGTTGCATTCCTCAGATTGCATAGAATGGAACAAAATGCTTATGTTGATTTGTAAGAGATATTAATTCCAAAGGGTCTTAGATTCCTTGCAGTAATATCTAAAATGGAATACATCAATGACAAAGCTAATTTATCCCTGCTCCACATAAAAACACACTATACTGTTCCGCAGTCGTCTTAGCCTGCTGCTAATTCTTATACTTCCTTGAATGAGAAAATCAAGAGTAATTGGCTGATCCAATCGAAAATATATACAAAACTCATAAATAAATATTGTTACATGTCCCTTAGGGAATTATACGGTACTTTTAGCATTTGGTTTGTGCCTATTTCCTCAGAAAGTTAGGCTAAATCTTTACCTATAGCATGTACCCATTAGTATCATTCATTTATCATTTGGTCCAAAGTATGACCTTTCCCTTAGGATAATAAGAGAATCCAATGATTGGTTGAGCATAGATAGCTGTTTTATTAACCTGGAAGCACTGGACGACCGTTTCGTCCTAGTATGGGAATCCTCATCAGTATGTATCCACAATCCCGCCTCGCGGGACTCGAACACAGGACCTATCAGTCTCGCGTGCGAGTGCTTAACCATGAGACCACTGAGCCGGCATCCAACGGTGTTAATGTCTAACTTCAACTAATCCACGAAACTGCTCCACCATCCACCATTGTCATCAGTGAGTTACTGCTGAGGAGTCCCGTACTATATGACGAATAAGCCGTCTAGTGCTCCCAAGTTTTCCATAGTCGTCTAGCTTCAAATGACTCATGAATTCAACTATTAAAATTACTATAATATCCACAAAACCCCTCTCTGATTACTCATTTCTGTATGTGAAACTCACACTCATCAATCAATCATAAACATTTATTTATTTACAAACAAACAAAAACTAAAAGTTTATTATGTGAATCAATATTTTTTGTTTTATAGTTGGGAATCACCTGAACTCAGATCAATGGGCTTCAAATCTTCATTGTAAGTTAGTATACATAAATATTACATAATATTCATATTCAACAAATGGTATCCACTTTGAATTGACCAAGGTAGATATTCTAATGCTTATTACTTACTTACGCCTGTTACACCATGTGGAGGAGCAAAGACCACTCACCAGGATTCTCTATCCAACTATGTTCTGGGCAATCCTTTCCAGTTGTTTCTAGTTGCTATTCATCCATTTGATGTCTGTTTCCGATTCCCGACATAGCGTGTTCTTTGGCCTTCCTCTTTTCCGTTTCCCTTTAGGATTCCAAGTTGGCGCTTGTCTCGTGATCCATTTCTAACGTCTTTTCCGAATTTCTTCTTCAGCTGGTTTGTTCTCTTTCACAGTAGGTTTTTGCTGATGGTATTCGGTCAACAGACATTGAATATCTTACGTCGACAACTGTTTATAAAGACTTGTACCTTTTTTGATGATGGTTGTGGTAGTTCCTCAATTTTCAACTTCGTACAGCAGAGCTGTCTTGGCATTCGCATTGAAGATTCTGACTTTGATGTTGGTTGACATTTGTTTTGAGTTCTATATATTCTTCAACTGCAGAAATGTTGTCTTTGCTTTGCCAACTCTTGCCTTCACATCTGTATCAGATCCTCTTTGTTCATCGGTGATTCTGTCTATATATGTGAAAGTTTCTACAACTTCCAGAGTTTCTTCATCAAGTGTGGTTTAGTTGGTGTTTTCCGTGTTGTATTTGAGGACCTTGCTTGTTCCTTTGCGTATGTTGTGGCCTACTGATGCAGAGACTGCTGCTACACTGACTGTTTGACCTGCATTTGTTGATGTGTATAGGATAGAAGAGCCAGGTCCAAGTCTTCTAATTGATTCCGAGTTATCTATGGTATTCCGTGTTTCCTCTCAGATGTGGAGGTCTTCATAATCCAGTCGACCACCAAAGAAAGAGGAAGATGGAGAGTAAGAAGACTTATCTGACTCTAGTCCTTATTTGGAATATATCTGTCTGCTGTCCTTAACGCCGTGTAGTCCTTCCTATGAGTTTCATATGATATTGACGATCTTCTCAAGTTCATCATAGTGTCAATGAAGTTTTCATAAAGTCCTCCTATCCATACTGTCAAATACTTTCTCTTCAACTAACCCTACATCATAGAACACGAGAACAATCAAACTACTCAATATGTATTTTGTTTTCAATGAATGATATTGTATAACTTCAAAGTCACATGATCATATGCATCAATAAACAAGATCATAAGGTGTGCACAATTAAGAAATTATAATCTATGCATAATTAGGTCATTTATTGTATAGAACTAAATGACAAATACATAATTAATTAAGTATAATACATACATATATGAACCATTAAAACTATAAATCAACAGTTACTTGGTTAGTGTGTTTTTTCTTAACGAGTTAGTTTTCTACGGAATGGAGTCGCTAACTTCATGCTCAACCTCCTCTTTTATCCGGGCTTGAGATCGACAGTAGCTCAAGAAAGTTTCCAGGAGGAGTTAGATCAACAATTAATATAGAACGATCATTAACATAAAGTATATTTAAGAATTGCACAGCAAATATATGTATGATATTTAACCATAGAATATAGATATTCAGATTACCATTTTACTGTACTTCAACCGGAGGGAAGGGCGGGATCATGGATGTGCACTGTCATTGAGAAGTCCCATACTAGGACGAAACGGCCGTCCAGTACTTCCAGGTCTTTCATGATCGTCTAGCTTTAAGTAACTCATGATCTCAAATTGTGAAATTGAAACCAATTCAAATATATGTATGATATTTAACCATAGAATATAGTTCTTCAGATTATCATTAAACTGCACTTCAAGTCTAAAATTTATGAATGCTAGACTACCATCACAAAAAAAGTGTTCAAAACTTTGATTTTGTCAGCTAATTAAACTAATAAAGAACACAAGGGGTTTTTGTGGATATTATAGTAATTTCAATAGTTGAGATCATGAGTCAATTGAACCATTTATTTGGAACGAGGGTTTTCAACTCCCCCTACGTTAGTCCTCCGTGTCCATCAACTCGGTTAAAGTACCTGTCAGATATTCACTTTTCGTCCTCTCAAAGAACACATTACGCCGAGAAATCTAGATAGACATGAGAAGAATGAAGAACAATTGGATAGAACTGGAAAGGAAGGCCGAGGAAAGAGTAAGTTGGAAAATGTTGGTTGGCAGCCTATGCTCCATTGGGAGTAACAGGCGTAAGTAAGTACGTTATGTTACTAGATAGCTTTGACATTCATGAGTTCATCTGAACTATGCCATCAGTGAAAACTTTGAAGCACTGGATAATCATTATATTCTAATGTGGTATCCCTCATCATCGCTCATCCGCAATCTTATCTGGAACTCAATCGTCTGGAGGTTAAACATTCCCATATGTGATCAAAAGGTTTTAAATTCGAATCTTTACAAAAATTATCCATTAATATTGATTGTTTCATTATAACATTCTCGTTTTTCTTTTTTTTTCATTTTTTTTTTTAGAATTTTTGGTTTTGTTGCTAGAAAACAAAATACAAGAGAAAATATGTGTCATGTATTATGTGATACACCAGAATGTAATGCAAATATAATTACAGATTATATTATGCATCGATTAAATGAATATTAAAAATTAAAAAAAAAGCAAACTTTTATTGATTTATTATTAGTAGTAATATTATGTAATCAAATCAATATTTCCAACTTGACTACTAATGTACATATATATATATATATACATATGTGTATACCATTTACTATATATTTATTATCCCTTAATTTATGAGTGCCCAGGATAAGGTTGGATGAAGGGTGTTATTGGGTGGAGGTCGATGCTCCTCCACGAGAAGTAACAAGCGTAAGGAAGGAAGGAATTAATGTATGGGCATCATCATCATAATAATAATATTACCATTATCAGTGAAGACTTTCTTCTTTATTTTCAATCAAAAAAGCATTCCTATCAGTAACAAGAGAGAGAGAGAGAAACACACCAAAAAATACAGAACAAAACTGTATACATCCTGATTAAAGATTTTTTTCTATTGTAGATCAATTGTAAATTGTTCTTTCTTTTTCTTCTTTGTTTTTCTCTTTTTTTTCGTTTTTCTTTTTTGTTTCTCTTTTTCTAAAGAGAATAAATCATTCTTGTTTATACATGTCATTGTTTCCTTTTGTTGTTAATGTGATTGTTGAGTCTTCCATTTAATAATTTCTTTCTTTCTTTCTTTTTTTTTACAAAAAAAGTTATATTTATTAAGTGAGTAACCACGCACACACACACACACTAAAGTAAAAGACAAAAATAAAATCCAGATCATATGTATATATGAATGAATGAAATAGATCTACATGATAGAAAAAAGAAACAGAGGTAAACTAGAACTCATTATTACACTACTCCTCCTCCTCCTCCTCCTCCTCCTACTACTACTACTACTTCATCAATACAATTAATATTATTGATTATTAATTATTTATATATGATCTCTTCATATACATTTGCATTTATTATTGATTAATTGATGGATAAATGGATAGATTAGTTATTATGTGACAACATAAATAGGTATGGATATTTATCATTCTGTTGATGACACTTTTTTTTCTATTTTGTATGTGCCAATAGGTTCTTTATTATTATTATCATCATTATCCAATCAGAATAAAGATATACATTAATATATCTATGTGCGCGTGTGTGTGTTCATGTGTATGTAATACTTACATGTATGTATGTATGTATTTGACGTGTGCATTTGTAACTGAGTACACAAAATATATCCAATCAGAATAAAGAAATACATATGTGTGTATATATATGTATATAACTACATGTATGTATGTATGTGTAACTGATTATATATATATATGCATATACAGTAATATTATTATACCATACATGTTACAATGTATTGTATGATATAAAGTAGAATACCATAGTGATATATAGTTTGGTCTGTTTTTTGTTTGTTTGTTTTTCTCTATTTCTCTTCTTATTTTTTTTTCAATTCAATAAATAATTGTACTAATTTCCAACTGTGATAACAGCACTTTCCAGTACTTTTAAATAGAATCACTTCTATCTCCTCCCTCCCTCCCTCCCTCTCTCTCTCTCTCGCTATATATATATATATACATAGATACTTCAATCTCTATAATATTGAACAGATAAATGAAAAAAATTTTTTTCTTTTTCTTTTTGTTTGTTTGTTTCTTTATTCATTTTCACAAATATCTCCATTATAGATTTATTTCATGTAACTAAATTGAACTGAACTAAACTAAATTCAATGAATGATAGATATATATTTAATATGCATAGCAACTATGTATGTACAGGTTACATAATATAAATAAGCATTAAATTGAACAGAAATGACATCATTATTATTTTTCAATCAATAAATTGTAACTTTGATTACATTCAATACTCTTCATTATTATTACTTATATACAAATGGATATATTTGTAATGGAACACATTGAAGTTGTTGACTTATTACTAAAATGTATTGCAATATATATATGGATATAGATATTGAATCCAAGATACTAAGCCGTCTATCTAATCAATCTATCTAATCTATAGTTCAATTTTGAAGATGGATTTCACATTGTTGTCTTCTTCTACTTTTATTTTATATCTTTTTCATTTCTTTATCCAAAAAAAAAGAAGTGATTTATAGCTTAGTTTATACGCACAATTGAATTGATTCTATCTAGCGCTTTTTCAAATTCATATACTGTGTATGTTGAAAGGAACCAATTATATATATAATCCTATTATATATATATATGAATATATGAATATACAAAAATGAAACATTTAGACTTATGTTTATGATGAACATGTTTAGTGGTACGTTATTTTGACGTCAATCTTATTGTCCATGGGATTATCATTTTAGTAGGCCTGGGATTGAATTCCAAGTAGATGATTGGGGCCCTTTTATTTGCCGTCATTCAGATTGGATAATATTCGTTGAAGGGTTCACCATTTTAGTGGCCTATGGATCTGACTCCTATTTAGATCGTATAAATGATTGGGCGAGACTCTAATTTAAGGACGACCTTTGAACGAATCTTAAGTGATCTTGACAATTATTAGCCAATCAGAAGAAAGTTAGTATAAAGTGGAAATATATTATATGAAAGTAATGAATTACAGTGGATATTCTCCTTTTACATGATTTAAAAACTTGTTAAAGTTTGATTAAGGTTCAGAGGTCCTGAATTCATAATGCATATGGCATAGAAACTCGTCCATAGGGTTAGGGTTAGGTTAGGGTTTAGGGTTAGGATTAGGGTGCTAACATACGGTTAGGGTTAGGGTTAAGGTTAGGGTTAGGTGACTAACATGAGATCGGTTTACAACGGATTTTAGAGGTTAGGGTTAGGGTTGTAGCCTCTCAATAAACACTTCTTCTCTAAAATCCGATGTAAACCGATCTCATGTTAGCAGCCTGACCGTAACCCTAACCCTAACCTTACCCCTAAACTCTAACCCTATGCACGAGTTTCTATACCGTATGCATTAGGAATTCAGAACTCTTGAGCCTTTATCAAATCTTAACAAGTTTTTTAATCATGTAAAAAAAGAATATCCACTGTAATTTATTACTTTCTCTTAACATATTTTTACTTTATGCTGTCTTCTGATTGGCTAATAATTGAAATTGTTCAAACGCTTCTGATTGGCTCGTCCCTCAATTAGAGTCTCGCCGTCCCATCTGTTGTAACCTCTCATTAATCACCTACTCTCTAAAATCCGCTGTGAACCGATAGTATGTTAGCATCGTGTGTTGAACTTGGCTCCGTGACCTTGAAGTTGCTCAAACGCTTCTGATTGGCTCGTCCCTAAATTAGGGTCTCGCCATTGATTTGTGAATACATATATTTTGTATATGAAGCGAATGAAACATAGCAAAGCAAAATGATACACAGGGAAGATGGCTGGGAAGCCAACTCCATTTCAGTCAAGCGTTACTCAATATTTATAGTCAGACAAAATAAAGATATAGACATGTGATTAATGGGATAAGAAGGGCACACACCTATACGCTCATATAAAAACAGTCTAGACTGATAAGCGAATAATTGACCAGGTCAAAATATGGCTCAAGTAGAATGAATAGAATGAAATGTCTGAAAGCTAGGATAAGGTATATGGGCTTAAAATAATGACTGACACTACAAGATTGTATATATGATTGACATTGAAATATTCATGTCGTTTAGCCTACTACAGAATTACCAACTTCAATCGCATTGATGTATAATGGAATTAAATAAGTTATATACGAGAATGGATATTTTGAATATGTATATTTTGTACATTCGTGAATTGGAACAGACAATCAGAGAATCATAGTGAATGAAGCGAAGAAGAGAGAGCGAAGCTGTGCTATTAGAGGTATGAAGGCGGTTATCACTTCCCAGTTATCCACACCATGGAAGGGTTTCTCTGGAGGCATCTGAAAAAAATTGGATTAAAGGTGGTCTTAGTGACCTGTGACCGTGATCACAGTGCCCAAGGGACAACTGATTGGGGTTAGTCCCACACACATTTTTTTTACAGGTAGTTTTCGTGTTAGCTCTGTACTTGTTGAGACCTTACCGCCGAAGACGGATATCCATGGGAAAAGGCGTGGTGTGCATTTCCTAACCCCACTCCTTCTTTAAGGAATGCAGCATTGCTATTATGCTGGAAATATCTTACTGACCCCATGCTCGCTGTATTAATTGACTCGTGAATTCAACTAAGTATTCGATACAATATACCAAAAACTAAATGATGAGGAGAGAAGAGAGTGTTGAAAACTAAAATGTGATGGATAATTTCCGGAGTTTTAGTAAGAAGATGTGATCAATGGAGTTACTCATTAACAACGTTGGAAGATTGGCCGAGCAATATTTCGAACACATTAAAGTTACACATGTAAACCATTGTATATCTACTCACCAGATTTAGAGTGGATCGCTAATTAAGAGGCCTGAATCCTCTGGGTTTAACCTCCCATGGGGTTATAGGCACACGGTGCTGAGGAGTTCCGTACTAATACTAAGGATCTGTCTAATCCTTTCTGGATTTCAATTCCGGTGAGACTATAATTTATGGACGACCTTTGAATGAATCTTAAGTGACCCTGAGAAATACTAGCCAATCAGAAGACAGCTAGTACAAAGTAAAAATATATTATACAAAACCAAAGACTTAAAGTAGATACACTTCTTTTACATGGTTCCAAAACTTATCAAGGTTTGAAAGAGGTTCAGAGGTTCTGAAATCGTAGTTCATACGATAGAGAAAGTCATTTATATGGCTCCATAATAGTTGACCTCTCGAGCAATAATTAGATTGTAAAAACTCCTTCAGCTCGATCACATAGCTTCAATAATGTTTGTGTGCACTCCGATTGTAGGGTCTAGAAAATGGAGCTTGTGGACAAAGACATGATGCACATAACTAAGTGTATGCGGGTATCTGTACGCTCTCGAATCATCTGTATAGATTGTTGTGCCTGGCTGCACATACTCTTGTATAATTGGTATTATTGTCGTCGCCTATTGGTTTCTGACCCTTTGGAAGTGTCCCTTTTGGGCTGACTTGTCGTAAAGTCCAAGGACCTGTGAGGTATATTTATGGAGTTGCCTCTTACCCAGCCTTCCTTAAATACTAAGTACTCTGTTAAATTTTCGCTTCCTGACTACTGTTTTGTCTATTTCAACGATTCTTCCAACTCCTCCAAACGACTCGTATAAACTTGTCATTTTTTTGCACATATATCTCTACAATACTCATACCACTGAACGGCTAAAGCTTCAGTAACGTGTTACTGGTGCTTTTATTATCAAATTTGCAAAGATTATCATGATTTGTCCCAGTCTCAATCAGGGATCGAGCGAAGAAAGTTCTTGATCTAGCAGATTTCTTCCTCCAAAATAGATAACATCATCGCGGTAGTCTGCACACTGTACAGCAATTACTTTATTACCTCAGTCACAAATAAAGGAACTTCTTAGTAATCCCATCTGTTGTAGCCTCTAAATTATCACATCTCCAAAATCCGCTATAAACCGAACGTACGTGAGTATCAGGTATTGAAATTAGCACCGTAACCTTTAAATCTATCAAACGCTTCTGGTTGACTCATCCATAAATTATAGTCTCGCCGAAGTAATCTCCAATTTCATCGCAACAACTTATAAGAAACTATAATTAGTATTTGAACGCTTTGACCATTAAGATATTCGTGTTCAGTCATATAAATTTGAATCTTTAAGAAATTATAGACTTTTGTGAAGTTGAACAAAAGTTTGAATGCTATGTGGTCGGGAATAATCATCAGGAAACCTTAGACACGGAATTTGAATAAACGTATCAGTCTAGGGCATTACTATTGAGCTACTCTAAATGCGATTGATTTTCTTTGAAATTGATTGATCTTGAGTAATAACCGAGATCAACAAAACTTGATCAACAATTTAGGATTAAGCGAATGTGACACCATTCACTAATCATTGTACAAGTCTAAATCGTCAATACGGTCAAGTATGGAATAGAAGGTCACTACTAATCAGATTTTCCTCCTAAATGAAGAACAGTCCATTTTTAGCGTACTGATTCAATAGAACTCATTTATTGTTTATTTGTCTAAACACTGGTACAAAGGGGTATTGAAGAATATATGAACCGCACCAGTAATCACTAAATTTGAGCCCCAAAATGCTCTGCTACGACCGATAGTCAGGGGAGTCAGCTCTGTCTCTCCAAATGCTCTCACATGGTTAAGTGCATACAACCACTGCCAGGGAAGTCCTACTCACTGCCTTCTCGCGAAGTAGGTGTTGTTTACGAAATCGAGAGGACGGAAAGTGAACATCCGGCAGGTATTTTAACCGAATTGATGGACCCGGGGGATCCACATAGGGGAGTTGGAAAACTCTCATTCCAAATCGATGGTGTACATGAGCTCCAAAATCCTGAAGGAACAAATGGTGTATCAACCAATTATTGGTCACCGTCTACCATGGGACCGCATCTACTGACGTTTCTTCACTTCATTGTGGATTAGGTCTTCAAGTCAAAGGCTCGAATGGTGGCCTCCTAAGGAAACCACCTGTTTGTCTGAGCACCCGGGTTGTATCATAGCCCACACGCAAATAAAATGTCTTGCGTGACGCATATGTATTCGGTGCTCCTTTGTACCAATATTTATGTGTTTAAATAAATAAAATAAAATTTGTGTATGGGCTGATATATTCCCCGGGTGCCAACATCGAAGCAGGTTATTCTCTTAGACAATCATTCCCCCAACCTTTGACTCAGAGGTCTTATCCACAAGGCCGTGAAGGATCGTCAAGAGATGCGTTCCTATGTTAGCTAATGACCCATATTGACTATTGACTGGAATCAGGGTTTCCAGACTTCTCTAATTGAGTCCTCCATGCCCCACAACCCAATTTAAACTCCAACCGGTTATCCTTCTTTAGTCCTTTAAATTTAGTAAACAACACCCTAACTAAGAGGTGAGTATGAATCACAATATATCCGTGACCCCATATGAGAGCATTCGAAGAGGAGGAGGAGGAGGGGAGTAAACTGTATTCACCTTCAACTATACCATGATATTTGGGGACGATGAAAGAACTAAGAAAGAATACTAGTTAAGTTGAAAATGTATATTGTATATGTATATTTATTTGCATAATTACGTGTAATTCCCATCAAAATTTAAGGTTCTAAATATAAGGAAATCTAGGAATAGGTTGATTTATTCAAAGAAAAGAAAAATCATCACATCATAATTAAATGTTACCATCATTTGGATCATTGTGACATAAGTAAAATGAATGAAAAGAATTTGACAAAGTTGATTGATCTTAGTTTTTTTTTTTTTGATCCAATAAAACATCCCACATATATATATGGGATATAATCAATATTTGGGGGGGGGGAGGAGGAGAAAATGAATTCGAGAAATGATAATCAAAGACTAATTGATCATTGGTTTTTTTGATTTATGATAAGACATTAATAAGATACAAATTAATTGTATATCATATAAGCAGAATATATTGAATGAATTAAGGTGCCAGTTGGGTAAGGATCGAAAAAAACACTTAGTAACAGTTTAGAGAATATAAAGAGAAACGAGAGAGAGAGAGAGAGGAGGATACAGGATAGAAGTCATGTGATAATTAGTTTCCAGTAAGTTCTGCAAAGGTTGAATCCAATTCTTCACTGAGTGCTTTGTATTTCTCTTTCTCAGTGACCAATTCATCTATGAGTAAACAAAAGAAAAAATTAAGAATGGAATGTATGTTATGTTATAAACAAAGAGTGACTGTATTCTATGCAGTTGTGATTGATCTCTAACTACTGATCGTGGTTAATGTAAAGTTCTAAACTAGGTAGTATGCACCTAACTACAATCGTCATCCGGATAGTTGGTGACTTATATGAACTGATGTCATGATTTTTTGTTTGTTTTGGTTTAGCTCTATTTCAACCCACTTTTACACCAGTTAACATTGAGCGTCTAAGTAGATGGTGATTGGATATGAACAATGTAAGATTCACATTTTTATCAATCAACATACCATTTTTACCTGATATTTTGAGTCCATTCTCAGAATTGTTTAGTTGATCTCAAAATTACATGACGTACTAGTAATAAACGAATGGCCTCCTACTATCAAACGCTGTTTCGTAACCAAAAAGTAAGTCTGACCTTAGTGTTGCACAGTATACTCTGCCCTCTATTGCCAGATGAACATCTCGCCTACACTACAAGTGATATAAAGTTTGACAAAAAAGAAATCAAGTTTCTAAACTCAAGCCAAGGTTTCATAAAATCATCAACTCACCGTGACTGGTGAGACATACAAGATCAGTCAAGTGGTCAAAACTTTCTCTATAAATAATTTTCAATTACAATACCCGATAACAGGAAATCTACCTTGTCAACCAATATCAAGGTCAGCATTTTCAACACAAATGTCAACACAGTCCTACTGTATGGAGCGGAAACCTGGAGAACTACGAAAGCCATCATCCAGAAGATCCAAGTGTTTATTAACAGCTGTCTATGCAAAATACTTCGGATCCGTTGGTCAGACACTATTAGCAAAAACCTACTGTGGGAGAGAACAAACCAGATCCCAGTGGAGGAAGAAATCAGGAAGCGCTGGGAGTGGATGGGACACACATTGAGGAAATCACCCAACTGTGTCATAAGGCAAGCCCTCACTTGGGATCCTCAAGGCCAGAGGAGAAGAGGAAGACCAAAGAACACATTACACCGGGAAATGGAGACAGATATGAGAAGAATGAACAAGAATTGGATGGAACTAGAAAAGGCCGATGACAGAATGGGTTGGAAATGGTGGTCGGCGGCCTGTTCTCCATTGGGAGTAACAGGCGTAAGTAAGTACTTTAACCGGGTTTGTAGACACAGAGAGTCCACCTAGAGAAGTTGGAAAACTCTCGTCCCAAATCAATGATGTACACGGGATCCAGAAGGAACAGATGACGTATGAACCAATTATTGGTCACCCGCTAACATGGGACTGCATCTACTGACGTTGCTCCACTGTCTTGTGGTTCAGACCTTTAAGTTGAAGGCTCGGGTAGTGGCCCCCTAGGAAAACCACCTACTTTGGTTTGTGCACCCGAACAGTATCACAACCCACACACAAATCAAGTGACTTATGTGGCGCATATGTATTCGGCACCCGTTTGTACCAATATTTATGTGTTCAAATAAATAACTTCATTGAATACCCAGTCTGTTAACTAGAGTATTACATCTTATTCTGTACCAGAGATTAAATTATTTTCATTTTTACCATTACATCATCATCATCATCGAATACATTTTATGCAGAGAAATTGTGTACACTATATGGTTTTACCTTTAGATCAATATTTCGTTTATATTAAAATTGTAATTCATGTTTTACAGTACATAATACTATTTTACTCAATACAATCAATGATAATGAACCATCTTTAAAGAATCTCATATGGACAAGTCTTTATACCTTAACTACACTAAAAAAACTAAGATAACTTGATTGTTAATAACATAATTGAATATAAATACATCAGGCTCAGTTTAACGAAAGATATCTACCTAATCTAAGCCTAACTTTAATATTGATGGTTGGTTATCCATTGTTTAAGTTTCACGTTTTAACACGTTTAACAAATCTGTCAACGTAGAGCTAACTGGGGACATGACTGATTAACTACCATTACATTGAATTCATGATAATTTATTTATTTGAACACATTACTATTAGTACAAAGGGACATCGGATACATATGCGCTACACAAGTCACTTGATTTGTGTGTGGGATATGATACTGACCGAGTGCCCAGATCGAATCAAGTGGTTTCCTATGGAAACCACTACCTGAGACTTCAACTTAAAAGTATGATCCACAAGGAAGTGAAGCAAAGTCAGTAGATGCAGTCACATGGTAGACGGTGACCAATAATTGGTTCATACACCAATTGTTCCTTCATGATCCTGTAGGCCATATGCACCATTGATTTGGAATGAGGTTTTTCCAACTCCCCTGTGTGGATTCTCCGTGTCTAGCAAACCGGTTAAAGCACTAGACATTCGCTTTTCGTCCTCTCAATTTCGTAAACAACATCTACTTCGCGAGAAGGCAGTGAATAGGACTTCCCTTGGAGTGGCCATGTGAAAGCTAACTCTCCCCACCTTCGGTCGTATCAGGGCATCTGTACAAGATATGTACATCATAGTCTAGCATAGTTCCCTCTCAATGGTACATGCATGGTAACAGTAAATAAAGTATAGTTGAAACACTTAACAATCTAACTAAAACTGACTAAATTCTCTATATCGACTAATATAATATAAAAAAGTATTTACTTCAGTTAAATAATAGTTAGTAAGTGAATAGAGCCCCCAAATGCCCTGGTACGGCCGAGAGTGGGGAGAGTCCGCTCTCACATGGCCACGCGTATATAGCCTCTGCCAGGGAAGTCCTACTCACTGCCTTCTCGTGGCGGGGGTGTTGTTTACAAAAATGAGAGGACGAAAAGCGAATGTCCGGCGCTTTAACCGGATTCCAAATCAATGGTGCACATGGGCTCCAGTATCCTGCGGGAACGAATGGCGTATGAACCAATCGTTGGTCACCGGCTACAATGGGACTGCATCTCCTTACGATGCTCCACTGCCTTGTGGATCAGACCTTCAGGTCGAAGGCTCTAAGTGTGGCTCCCTAAGAAAACTACCTGATTCGGTTTTGGCACCCGGGCAGTATCACAGCCCCCACACATATCGAATCAGATTTGTGTGGCGCATATGTATTTGGTGCCTCCTTGTACCAATATCTATGTGTTAAGATAAATAAATAAAGTGAATAGAACACAAGTTTGTGTACTTGATTACAAATTGTTTACTATATTAACAATTAATGTTCAGATTACATAAGGCTAATTATGACACTATGCAAAAGCTCAAACACATTCACATTCACACACACACACACCATGTAAATAAACGAGCATGGAAACAAATGAAAAACATAATGCACGTATAAACAATGGAAATCATTCGGGTAAAAACAGGCACTATTTGTATATGAGGATGGTAGACAAACAGAGAATAGAAGGGGAGTTAGTATAGAAAAAAAAGTACTGATATTATGGAACCAAAAACAACGAGAGTAGCCTATGAGAAAGTATAAACAGGCGCTGTTTTACCAAAACAGAATAGCATAACATCCTACAAGATCAAAATCTTCACCAATAAGACCATACACAATAATAACAAAAACACAAGGCGAAAACAAAGCACACAATTGAAGTAATACTGATAAGAAATAATAGTAACAACACAGTAGTATTTCCAAGAGGAAATCTTCAAGACACATTCTCAAGAGTGTGGGAATGAGGAGGAGGCAGGGGTTGGAAAAAGAAAGGAGCATTATTCATTAGACAATAGAAGTTAGGCATAAAACAAACCAAAAGATATCATGCTGTAAATTTTTCATAGCATTATCTAACTGATCATCTCATGCTTATGTATATGTATACAGTTGTATAACTATACGATCTGTTTTGTATGTAACTGGGGCATTATCATGATTAGTTCCTTTGAAAAGTATTCAAATAACAAAATATTTCTGTCAATAGTAAACTATTGATTAGATATTTTCTACTTCAGTAAACATTGTTTCCATTTCACGACGTAGATTCGTATGATTTAATTGTTCAGCTTCCAATGTTTCTACAAATGAATGAATGAATGAATGATTAATTAAATATAAAGTATAATCAATTATTCAATTTTGTACTGTTTACTTTAGTCTTCAGATTGATGTTTAGGATTGGAATTGATCAGTCTCTTATTGGCATATGTACATCCTGTGTGGATTGCCTCGATATTACCTTAGATCACAAGCAGAGATGACTGATGGGTAATAGCGGGATTCAAGATGCGCGCTTCGTCCTATTTTGGGACTTGTCAGCTGGATGTGTTTGTATCCAAGAGTTGATATTCACTCCGAAACTCCAACTTAGTAGCGTTCGACTTCAAACCCTATCGCGTTATCCACTTAGCTACTGAGTTAACTCTCGGATACAGGTACATTCAGTTCATAAATCCCAAAATAGGACGTGCCTACTAGGTTCCACTGCTAGCCACCATCCATCTTTGATTATGATCAACTGTGTTTACAGTGAATTCTTCTTATTTGCGTGATAAATACAAAGATAAAATGTATGTTTCATGAATTCGTACGTGAGTAACGTAGGAGGAGGAGGAGGAGAACGAATCAGACTACATTCTTTTTATTTGACTAAATTCTATGAGAAAAATCTCATCAATTTAGTAGTCAGACTTAAGACAGGGAGAGGGTTAGTAATAGAAAACGTAAAACAAATTGAAATAGCGATATTGTGGTAGTGATTAGGCTCGCCCATTGTGATGATCCAATTAAGCTGCATTAGCTGAAATAATTATTTCCTTAGGTCCTGTCATGACAAACAGAACGATTAGAGGACAATAGGATAGAAGGAAAGTTACATAGTTGACTGTACTAAAGTTTGACGGCTGTTAGTTATTTCCGTCAGACATCCATAATTTGAAGTGGTGACGCCTTTCCACAAACAAATGAACGCGTTCGAAAAGATTGACCCTGAAGAAAGCAGCTAATTTATTGGAAACCACTAACAAAAGGCTGAGTGTGACCAGCTTCAAGCAGTTATCCTGCCTCACTCATGTCATCAAGACCAGTTTCCATTTCAGATCGCCCAATAAAAGGAAGTGACAAACGCCTACATACTTTTAATAGCCCTCAAACGAATTAAGAAGCTTTACAGGATAAGATTTTTTGCAAAATCAACAATATTAATCAAGCTAAATAGGAAACTTAATGCTATTAAATTGACTACTACCAGAATAACGATGATGACAGTGATATCGTCATATGAAGTAACGGTTTAGATAGTTAATGTACATATCATTAGCCTTCTTCTCTGACACATGAAACAGTAGAGTTCCGAGTTGAGTATACACTGAATTATAAATAATTCAAAAAACAAATATTCTCAGAATACACACTACTCACCTTCTAATTTGCACAATTCTATTTGTTTCATCTCCTCTTGATGACTTGCTTCTTTAACACGTCGTTCAGCCTGGAATATAGTTCCAGTTTAATGTTTTGGAAGAAAGATTATATGCCGAATAAAATGAAAAAAAACAGGCAAGCATTCACTCATGCACAAAATAAGATAGAAATGTATATACATACATTATTTAGGGCAATATACTAGGATATAAATCCAAATCTCTAAACAACACGATGCAAATGAAAACCTATTTAAATGCTGAAATACAATATTTCGATGTAGGGGTATATATGTATGTCTATGTGTATTTTACCTTCAAGACGATCGGCATCAGCTTGTAAAGTATTGACAAGTCGTTCAGATTCTTGAGCTCGATCCTCAGCCTAATAATAACGATAATAATTATAAATAAAATAAACGATGTGAAATACACCTTCCTTTTCATGGAAATCAGACCATCTATTGAAGTATCTTCTATGCATGCTTCAATCAAAAAGACTTGGTTACTCTACCAATAATGCAATAACTAATAAAGAGTTTTACAAAGTTAAGAATTAACTAAACGAGAAATAAAATACCAATACTATTTATACCATAGACAATGAATTAGAATACGCAGATGATATAGTTCTGTTTGATCAAAACGCTGATAAAATGCAGTCTTCTAACCACTTTAAGCAACAATGTAAGGAGATTTGAAATGCGGTTCTCTCCCACCAAATGTCAAATTTCACTTTAGGATTAACCTGAGTTAGTGCCTGAATTAATGGCAATGAGTGAAGTAGTTGGACGTATCGACCACTCCACTTATCTTGGGAGTCTTACTAGTCCTGACAGTTTGGTGTCTGAGGAAACCTCAGCACGGATACAGGATTGATTGACTTTCGCCAACTTGCGTAACTTGTGGCGTATGCGAGATATCCGTCTGCCAACCAAAGGATAAGTTTAATGTGCAGCACTTTACTTCGTTCTACTTAATTAATATGAAACATGGACATTAAAAATAAAGCATATACTGGGGTTACTAGCATTTAATCATAGGTGTCTTCAAAACACTCCTCATGAATTTTTGGATCACGGAGTAAACAATGCCTGGGTTAGGGAAAGGGTACTAAGGGTGGCAAGTCGATTGATGAAGTAGTAAATCTTCATTAACTGAGATGGTTGGAACATATGTTACGTATGACTAACCACATCCTACCTCGATGAGTGATATTGTCCGGTATAGGAGTAGGCTGGAAGAAAGCTCAGTCAATCAGTCAGCTACAACGTAGGATCAGGCATATATATGCATCGGTCCAAGTTGCCACACCTCATCAGCACAACAAGATGAACACCAAATTCATAGAAGTAGAAAGAAAGCTAATGGTGGCCAAACCGAATCATTTCACTACATATAGAACAGTCGAGACATCCATGTATATTTCTATCAAACGGATAGTTAACTTCACAATAGTCAGTGATAATCATCCAGCGATCAAGAATGGATATACATTAGCCAAAGCTGCCATACCATATAGTCTGACAAGTTCAAAATAAGCATAGTTTGCTAGTATTTGAACATAAATTTCTTCGAAGCATCGTTGTATGATGGAACCACCAAATGAGCCATATTAAGATTAAGTGTAAGGTTACATTAGTAAGAGATGGTAAATCGGTAGACTTCCACCTAATCAAATGACTAAGACATGTGCTTATACCCATTTATATACAACATACCCCAACATGCAACGCTAATAAACACATTAATAATTTGGGAAATAATGTTTGTTCAAAAAGTGACTGAATCATGTGCTTAAATGTTAAAATATTTTGGTTGGAGGTCTGTGAGATAACCACACTTAACGATTAGATACCTTAAATTATCTAATTAGAATTTGATCATGCATCAAGTTCATTTCCACTTGCACAATGGCCTCCAAATGCCCTGGTACGACCAAGAGTAAGGAGAGTCCGCTCTCCCTCTCAAAATGCTCTCACATAGACACGCGTACACAGTCACTCCAAGGGAAGTCCTACTCACTGCCTTCTCGTGCTATTAATGTTGCTTACGAAATTGAAAGGACGAAAAGCGAACGTCCGGAGCTTTAACCGGGTTGGTGGACATGGAGAGTCCACCTAGGGGAGTTGGAAAACCCTTATTCCAAACCAATGGTGCACATGGACTCCATTATCCTGAAGGAACAAATGGCGTATGAACCAATTGTTGGTCACCGGCTACAATGGGACTGCATCTACTGACGTTGCTCCACAGCTTTGTGGATCAGACCTTCAGGTCGAAGGCTCTGGGTGTGGCCCCCTAAGAAAACCACCTGCTTCGGTTTTGGCACCCGGGCAGTATCACAGACCTCATGCATATCATATGAGATCTGTGTGGCGCATATGTATTTGATGCCTCCTTGTACCAATATCTATGTGTTAAAATAAATAAATAAATAAATACACAATTATGCAAGATTCTACGACACTGTTAGCAACTGGCTAGTTAATCAACTATGTTAGCACCAACTATATAATTATAACACAGTAACGAGTATTTTTAAGCACAATTCAATAGTAACTAATAGTGGAAGTCAGGATACATATTCCGTCCTATTTAGGATTCATCAATTGGAAGTACTTGTAGTTCTTAACAGCAACCACTGGAAAAATTCAATCACTTTACAAATAAAATAAAACAAGAAAATAGAAAAAAAACTAAAATACCTCAATCAATTGTTTTGATAAAGAGGCAAGTTGAGATTGATGAAGACTACGTTGTTTATTTAACTAAATGGAATGTATCCCACCCCATCCCCCCCAAAAAAACAGTATTTGAGAACATGCGAAGTCAATATCCAATCCAAGAAAACATGCATTTAACACAAAAAAACATGGGGAAAAACAGATATTAGAATAAACATGATTATTTAAATAATAACAATAATATTTCAAGTGTCAAGTTCCCCATGCAACTTTTACACACAAACACAGGTTGGGTATTAGAAAAAAATGGGAGTGTCTGAGCATGCTTAGCTTACAGCTTTTAAGCGCTCAGTTAAATCACGAATATTCTCTTCATATGCCTCTTCACGTTGGGCTGCCTAGAATATAAATATGACCAGTCCAATGTAGGCAAATACAATATTAGACTAAAATAAGGGAATACAATGGCGTGTAACATAACTGACGTCTCATTGATCTTAAGTGTCCACAATTTAGGTATATCATTTTTAACATTACCATTGATGTCACATGATTTTTGACCCTTATTTTAGGTACAAAAACAGAGGATATCCAGTAAAGTGATAGTTGTTAGTGTTGAATAACACATTAAACCTATTGAGTTTTAGTGTAGGCGTTCGAGCAACAACTACTCACCACCACCCCCCACGTCGGATGTATGACACCTGATGGAGTAATAGCAACCAATATTTGGCATGAATCTATCCACAGATGTAATCAGTACTAATTTTTCTAAGAAATTTTGAATGTTAACATTTTCATTTTCTAATGTACTTAATAACTTCGCCTGGAGTTCCTCTGGGGCTACTGCCGGTCCCAAGCCCGGATAAGGGAGAAGGGTTGGGCATGAGGTTAGGGACCCCATCCCGTAGAAAAATAACTCGCCAAAAAATTATTCGAACGTACTTAGTTGGTAAATAAAAAAGTTTCATAATAATAATGATGTATAAGTAAGCACACATATAGTTAATATTCAAAATTATTCAGTTAAAATACATCTAAAGCATGATGGTTAACTGTGGGCTTCTAGATATGGTGAAAGTGAACAGTTTAAAATAGATTAGATGTATGTGTGTGTGGTGAGCTATTTGCATAGACAGATATCTAGACTTGTAAATCTACATATTCTGATAATTAGTATAGGGTTGTGGAGATAGTTGAATTTCATTGAAATCACAAACTGATCCAAGTTAGACAATCATTGTAACGCTGAAAGCACTGGACAGTTGTTCCACCGTTTTATATGAACCTCCTCGCTAGTGAGTCATCCACAACCCCACGACCATGAGTCAGGCCTACAACCTTCAATTTCGTGAGTGAATGCACAAAACTGGCTTGTCAATGGCTAAGAAAACTGAACGATGGTAAAGAATGATTTCGTCAGTTGTATTTTTCTTTTCGGAAAGCTATCCATCTTTTTTTTAGCTTGATAGTATATAAAAGTTGTGCATTAGAATGAAACTGCGAAAGTGATACTTTACCTCCAACCACTTAACATGGTGCAAGTAATGTCGATTCACTTAGAATAGTGATCACATTGTAACTTTGATCAGCAATAAAAAGACTACACAAACAAGATATTGATCACTACACATTGGTTGATCAGTTGCATATATGATATGCAAATATATATAAATATAGAATCTACAAAATAATAGAAATACCTCTTGTTCAGATATCTCCAAAGATTTTACATTATTACCAACAATGCGTAACTCTTCTTCGAGTTCTGTAATTTTACTATAAACAGATTATAATAAATTAACTTAGAAACACTATGCAGTTTTTCATTTTGTAGACACACAACGAAGTGGTATAAAGCATTCAGGGATAGCAGGAAATAAACAGGCAGTAAGTGATATATCATGCAATCCTGATAGTAGAAATTAGATGAAGAGAAAAGACTACATGATAATATTCACGAATTAGATCATGCGACAAACCTTCATAACCATGCATAAGTTACAACAATACGAATTGTTGTTATTATCATGGTCTATGTGTTAGTTACTAGTTGTTATCTCATCATTTCAGTTTACTCTCCATTAAATTCCTTAATATAGTCACTGTAAGTACCTTAGCATTATTACTATTGATGAGATCGAAGAAATATACCCTGTATTACTCAATATTACATGTATTTTATATAAATAATGCTTAGTTTACAAACCTGAGATTCTTGATGCTCTAAAGATTTTAACTGACCCATTGTACCGTGAATAATTGATTGAAGCTCCTTTAAACGACTATAATTAGAAATGCATGCAAAATGATGCAGTGAAATGATTTGATAACACCATAGCACATCATGTTAAAATCATGCATGAATAAGAGAAATCAAAGGAAGAAAAGTAGATCAGAGTTACTCAAAAAAAATCTAATGTATAATCACTATGGTTAATCTTAAATAGTCAAAGTAAACCTATAGTAAATTTGGGAACACTTTCTAGAGATAATTTAAGAGATAAAGAGAGTTGTTCAAAATTAAAAGTTCCCGTCTGTAATACAATACTTTAGTCAACGGACTAATCATTGTTGTTTTCTAGCAGAATGAGTGTATAATTCTTATGAACAACCTTACTCTATCAAATATTCCCTAAAATAAGGAGCGGTAACTTAATACTCAACTTTCAGTCACCAAGTATTCCGGGTTCGAGATCTGCCCTATCTATATCGATGGCTGATATTAAAGTATGTAGTGGATGAGTTGATTGTATATTACACTAGACTACTATAATGACGGCTACATACTAGTGAGTAGGATGGGGAGTATATACTATATAAAATAAAATCAATTCAAGCAATAAGTAATGCAGTAAACTGAACAAAATAACACAATGCGATTACAATATTGACTGTTGTAATACACATTCAATGAACTAATTAGATAGTTAAAAGCTTGTGCAACTGTCACACAACACAAACCAACTGACTAATATAGTAAGTGACCAGTAAGAAACTAATTACTCCCATTTTTTTCTCTATTTCACAAAATTACTATTCATACGATGAGAATTGAAGTTTTCAAAGAGACAACATGCATAACCGACATATCTACCAGGTCTTTCCATAACATGAAAAACACTAATGGTAATGGTAAAACTATTTAGTAATTTAAGTGCAGTTTCGTTTAATGTTGTTCTTGAGGATAAATGGCTAGTTTGTTTTAGTGGGAAAAAAAGATCCCACATTTAACATCACATACAATCGAACTAGACTACAGATATGGTGCAATACCGGATGTAAATCACCAGTTTCACCAGTAAATCTAAGAAGAAGTACCTTTCTGCAGCTTCAATCCGATCTTCCGCGTGAGACAGTGCGACTTCGGCAACGGCAAGTTTTCGAGTGGCCTGCGAATGACAGCCGAACATATAGGTCAAGCAAACGAATTAACACAGCAATAGATAGAAGAGATGCACGACAATCAGCGAAAAACATATCCAAGCCATGTAAATTTAAAAGCACGAAAATAATGTTCAGTTTTGCACTTGTACATGCCTTGAATCAATTATAATAAAATGTATACAACACCAAAACAGACAGAATTGAGAGAAAATTATAAAACAAGTGGGCATCAAGTGGAAATTAACATGCTACATATACACACACAAAGAACATACGATCAACATTGGTGCATAATCAAATGTAATAGTAGTATTAATAGTAGCAGTAGGAAGGAATTACTACCTTTCGGCAGCTTCCAATCGAGACTCAGCCCGTTCGAGTTCCACTTCCGTGATAGCCAGCTTACGAGCCGCCTACATATACAACAAGTTAGGTTTATGCATTTTAATTTTTTTTGCTATAAAATCATATATAATATTAAGTTACCACAACACGATAAGATGACGTGATATATAAGTAATAATTAAAGGTTTTATAGGACTGTAAAAATAAAACAAAACAAAAGGGACTGACAATTTCACAAGTTAACGACTATAAAACCATATGATGCGACATTTCACTCTTGGCCTCAAAATCTGGATGCGGTTGTGTTACAGACACTGACTCATAGTATGTATACACACTAGATATACGTAGCCGACTATGTGTTAGATGTTAACTGATTGAATAACACATTTTCATCATATCTCGACAATGTACTTTGACAATCCACTGATGAAGTTGAGTTTTCGTTAACAATCGATTGAAAATTGAATGATATCACGCAAACTAAACGTTATCAAGTATTGAAATATGTAGTTTCATTAGAAGGAGGGGGAAGTGTAGAACCAGCAAACCGCATAATCACCAATTGTACAACCTCATGATACAATTTATACAATTGTACAAATGAGATAAACAATGCATTTAGCGAATAACGGTTACTTAAAGCAGTATGTAAAATACAACATGCAGTTGTAATACATCAAATGAACCTGATGGAGTGGATTCACAAATTCTACTACCAAAATGGCAAGACTATAATTTATGAACGAACCAATCGGATTTAAGACAGTAACTCCTGGATTTTGTTGTGTAATTTATTTATCCATATGGCTAAATAGCATTTCGGCGTTATAGCTCATGTCAGTTCGTCATGAAAAACTCCTAATCCTAGTTCCTTACACTAATGTATAACCCTATTTTGAACCAATGAAGTAATTGAAATTTCCTAAGGTCACTTTAGAATAGGTCAAAGGTTGTCCATAAACCATAGTCTTGCCATATTGACTACTATAGTTGTCTTTGTAAATGCTTGAAAAATTTTCTAAATGTACCATGTTTTGAGTTCCATCTAAACTTATTTTAATAGCAAGGCATGCAAAATTGGTAGAAATAAGAATCAATCACTATCTAAACTATTCTAACAGTTTTTGTAAACACAGATACAATACGGCATGCACTGAAACTCATTTCATACGACATTGAATGCATTAGTTTTAGTTAGAAATGCACCTCATCGTATTTTCGATCAGCATCTTCAGCCATAAATGTAGATTCCTTTAATTGTTCTTCTAACTGATTGATACGTTCTTCATCTGCGAAAGTACGATTCTCCAATACTTTACGACCACTATGAAACATATATAAAGGGATTAAATGTTTTCATAATACTTTGTTATTGATACAAAGTTTGAGAAAGTTTCCTCTGAATTGGTTTTAGAAAGAATACAACCAAACAGTCAATATGTATTAATGTTTATTAAAAAAAATATTTTTTTAATGTAATACAATACCTCCTCGTATTTTGTTTCTGCATCTCTCACAGATTTCGCAGTTTCTTGTACCACAGATTCCAAATGTAAAATCCGCTCGTCTTCCGCAGTCTGGCGGGCCTCAAGCACCCGACGAGCACTAAGATTATGAATATATAGTGTCAATGACAAAACATAATCAAACAAAATCGATCAAAATGGGGAACAATGTTGTCATCCATAAATCAATTCATTTGAATAAAGAGGTGTTGACTACTTTAAGACTGAGAGTGTGACGACGCTTGCTTAGTAGTATGAATTTGACGTAGTTAAGTAAAACACTGATTCATCCCTTTAGTTGTCACACTAAACGGGAAGTATAAAATTCAGATATTTCTAATAAATGATTTTCAATGAGTGTTCGATTGGTTGAACACTCGAATCTGTGAGATCCCCGAGCTAAATACTGAATGAACTACTTTCAAGACCCTCATATTCGAAACATCAGCATGTTTTGTGGAGGAAATAAAAAAGGCTTAAATGAATTCAGCTTTTTTATGTTTGTTATGTAACTAAATGTTATTCCTAAGTAAGCGATAACTGTTAAGGTTATCCACCTACATTATATCACCGAGTGAGATATCAATCGACTGTAATTAAGGCAGAGCCTAAGACAAGCGTGTCATTCTAAGTTGCTTTAGTGGCACGAGATGAAAGAAGTCGAAATAATTTAATAGTAATGAGAATCAGGATGATCTAGCGTTGCTATTTTCCGAAAAGACAGAATAAAAAAGTATGTTTGAAAAGATATTGAGAATCAATACCTAGACTGAGAAAACGAATGAATGCAGTTGTGTTATGATGTTGATTATGAGCTATTTCATTTAACGTCTATGACCAAGCAGGATTTCTGAACCTGTTTTGAAGTCAAACACTAACTCACTAGGGCTGATAAGACCTTCGAGGTAAATAGACTGGTCAATGCATTTAACTTCGCTCTACGATCAATCAAAGCGATAAAGTAGACTAGTTTTGAATTAGCATTCGCAATTTAGACAGAAAAACGCATCTTAAACTTGATGACATTATTAGATAAGAAATACGATGGCTATTTGTAAACCCATAGGAATAGCACTAATGCGGAGCTTTACATTCATACCAACAGACTAACGAAATACAATTGGACGAATAATCAGTCTGCAACCTACAGTCACCAATATTATGTGATTAGGATCTCCATTGGAAATATAATTTTGAGTCAAATAAGCCCACCGGCTTCAATTTCCAAACAGGGAAAATAGGAATTTTTCAAACACTGTTTTAGTCTCCACAAAGTGAGCCATACTAACAGTAAACCCTATTAACAAGCAAAACTATAAGAGCATACATGAAGATAGTTGATTGTATTAAGACTGTATTAACACCTACGATCACAAAATGTTTTAGTATTGGAAACCAAAGAATTTGATACAAAATACACTGGACGGTACCGATGCAGGTTCTAAAAACGTTAGATTTATCAGATGCCAGTAGACAGAACGACCTTTTCGATTGCTCAGTAACAAGTACAATTGTCCACCCAGATGCTTTCAAGTTGAACCTAAAAGTCAATATCAGTTCTAATTCGAGCGATGCACATTGAGGGTCTTCTAAACTAGTAGGCTGTCAGTGATGTTTTAATTTAATTTCCGAGTATACATAATTTGGTGAAACTGGAGCCACTAATCCCTAGGTTTACGGAGTTAAGAATAGTTTATCCAGTCTTGCCATAGTTTTATGTTCCACAAACATTTTCCTGCTCTTAAGCCTGGTTTTGAATCCGTTAAAAGACTAAGGAAAGACTGTATGTCCGCATTGTGTGAGGATACCGAAAATGTGTTAAAATATGCTTTCGATTCTTAACGAAAACCAATTTGTGTAAGAGATTACGCTACCACACTAGAAATCTGGATTGCACTAAATACTTGGTCATGAAATATGACAATCAGAAACAAAGCTCAAGAAATTCGTGAAGATATGTTTCCGAGTTACGAGCAATTTCACAATTCACCAGATGTTTTAACGGAACAACAATCTCTGGAACCACCAAACTGACCAGTTCATAATAAGCATTTATAAACAAGAGTGCAGGGGTAAACACAACGAAGGGCACGTTATTATGATTGATTAAAAGGTTATTTTTAAGTATTATAAACTAACCGATCACTTTCATCAGCAGCTTTACTCGCTTCTTCGAGCTTAACAGTAGCTTCTTGAAGACGAGTCTCGGTAGATTCCAATTCATCTTCAAGCTGTCGAATTCTCTTCTGTAGTGAGGCGACTTCAGCTTCGGCCTGAAATCAATAAACAAAACAAATAAAGAAGTTGTTCGACTCCATGTAAATATAGTGGGTCCTAAAAACTATATACCTTGGTTTTATTTTCTTCCTCCTTCCTTAAAATAGCTTGTTTAGTAGATAACTCTTGTTTAAGCTGGTCAATTTGAAGCTTCATTCCTTGCATTTTAGACTTAACAGCACCGATAACAGGACTGGACATTCTTAAATTAAAATATTCCGAATATATCTTATGACCAAAATGTGCAACAAAAACCAAACACGGCGGTTAAAATATCGGTGTAAATAAAGTATCCTCACCTTTCGTAAGGAAACTTTGATAACATTTTGCAGCTCAACACCAATGATTGCCATCTTTATGAGTGTTCCGGAATTAAGATAGACGGCTGATAAAGCTTCTTCCATAGCAGAGTTGTCGTCGATGAACTTCGAGCTGCGTCTCCGTTTAATGTATTCGTCTTCATCGTCACTTTCGCTCCCATAATCGGAAAATAACGGATCATCTGTACCTTCGTATGGTAAATTCCTGCACTCTGAATACCTCTCTAAAGTCACCTGGTCTTCACCCTCAGGTTCTAACCTTGGTCCGAGTAATTCCACTGGATGAACTCCAGATTCTATCACATCCGACAACCGATTCTGGTAGCCGAATCTCCAGTCATAAGAAAGTAACGTTAAAAAAGTTTTGATTCTTTTTGGCTCCTCCTTTATTCTTGAGTTGTCTTGATTCCTTCTTCTTACTCCTTTGTGTGTCAAGTGCTTAATCTTATGAACCTGATTCTTCACAATTGAGCCGTCCAAGGTGTGCCCATTAGACTCTCGAGATGTATCGTAAAATGAGACTCGTGGGGTGAATTTGGTGGATTGAATTACATCCGAAACATTCTCTGTATGATTTCGATTGTTCTACATTGGTGAGATATGCGAGAAAGTGTTATAATCAGTCGTTTTGTTACTGTGATAATAAGGTACTATAGTACTGTAACAACCATATATATCCGGAATTATTTGACCTTGGCTTTCTGTAAACAAGTTTAAAAATCGTTTTCAAGCAATTCCAGAAGCACTCGAAATTTACGTTACCCAGAAAAGAATGAAGCTTCGAGTGCTACTCGCATTAAATATTACCAATCAAAGTGGAATGGCAAAATGTATTGTCATAGTCTGAGGCTCGCGTCATTGCTGATTGCTGTCTATTGCGTCTTCATTAAATGTAAGTGCATTTTGTGTACTTGATGGGTTATCAGCTCTCCTCACTCACTCCACACTCCAAGCTCTCCTATTACACAAAGTTACATCTGGCTAAACGTTGTAGCTGTAAATAACTACCCGAAATAAATATTCCTGTAGGTCTTTGACAATAGTTTTGCTGAACACAACCTAGCTGAAGGCGTTCGGTTACGCATTCACACTAGATCACGAGTGGGTACGTCGCGCTACCCATCCCTCCCAACTGCTGGCTAGCTTAGATGAAACACTTCTCAACATAACGACAACTGTACTAAAATATCTTCGAAGTCATTCAACCCTAACTTCTGATCTGGCTGGTCTGATACCCTTGAAGTATAATTGTGTGACGGACAAAAGCGTTATCAAATGTAGGATATCTGTGGCGTCTTTAACGTGGACCGCTACATACCACCTCAAATACCAGCGGTTTGCAATGTAGTTCTTGATCTACGATCTGATTAGTTCACTCAGCCGTTTAAAAATATGCAGATGATGACATTATGATCATGTATTATCACAGGTCATGGTTATACCACTTATCGTTTTACCCAAATATATTTAGTTGTTGTAAATTAACTTCGTCACTTGTATGAACACTTTAATGACAAACAATCTGGCTTACATCCGGAAATACGGCAAAAGCGGCGCAGAAACGCATACCTAACCTTACTTTATTTGTTTTTGGGACAGACCAACATGTCTAGATCCCTTAATGGGCTCATGTGTTAGCTTCAAAGTAAGTGGCAAAAGCTCGTCCGGACATACTCATTGAAAACGAAATTTCTTGTTTGGCATGATAGCAGTGTCTAAAGTACTATAAGTTGTTCTCATTTATATAAATAGCCTTTCAACCCATAGTGCAGATCTAGGGATATCCATGTAAATGGCATGTTATCGTAACAACAATTAGAAGCGACCACTCGGTATTTTTCCAGGTGGGTGCTGCAGAAGGCGAAAAATCATGGACTGTTTCATATGTATTTTCAACTGGCAGAGATTTTACATTTTTAACCTTAGAAATATAGAGCTTTGGTAGTAAGTCAGTTGACTAAGGCTGCAAAAGAACTGAATCACCAAACATTTGTGGGATCTGAGTTGTTACACATGGAAAATAGCGACAGTATGGAAGTAAGCATATAAAGTTGTTTTTTTCTTCAGAAAAATACGTTCCAATTTTGTTGACGAACATAGCGCTTGGTGAATATATGATGTTAATAAGTAGGTTTAACATCAAAATGTGAGAATAAAAAAGGGTTTCTTGAATCAGAGATTGTCATAAGCATCGAGGTGAACCCTAAGTCACGCATTTATTTGTAGTACGAGAGGGAGCATATATAAAAGAGCTCGTGTTGTTGTCTTGACAAACTTCAAGCCTTCAGTTCATGCCCTGACAAAAAATATGGGTAAAATCCTCTCTTTTATGTCAAACAGCAGGGTTTACATAATATGTTAGAAAAATCCCTCATGAGACAAAAAGTTCATTCACAAAGGCTTATCTTGTTTTACAATCATTATGTTAGTAGCACACAGTGAAATATTCTTCTGGGGTTAGAAAGCGACTGTCCATTAGTTATCTTGCGTTCTTTCCAAGGCTTTCAACGCAGTACAGCACATTGTCTAACTGGCAAAGAGATTGCTGATGTATTCCACAGACTAACCCCATTCCTAACTACGTGACTGGCAGAGAGGAGAAATCGGCGTCAAAGATAACTCAGTGGACTTACGTAAAACAGTGTAGGTGCTTGTAGTATTCTAAGAAAAAACCATTGTTTCCTGTTTTAAGTGGTGACGATGAAGATCATAACCGGTCTCTATCTTTGTTGGCGTTAAACATATGACTTTTTTAAACAAAGTATCTGTCGAATACATAGAACAAGATGTTATAAAACCCTTACCATCCCTGTATTTCGTAGTATCTCCTATTTTCTCGCTCCTCAACTTCACTTACACAGTTTCTGCTCACTTTCCTGTCTGTGTTTGTTTACTTTAAATCTTGTATGCTCTACGCTACTCTACACATAGAGCTATGGTTGCTGCTTCTAAGTACTTTATAGCTCGTTTAAGCAATTTAGCCTCAAAATAGGTGCTAAATATATGAACGTTCTTATAGTGTATTGGCAGAGATAAGGTCAGTGAACTCTACTGATGGCCTAGAACCGTTAAATGAAATCAAGACTCGTCTGAAAAGATTGGCTTTCCTTTATGGCGTCTTACATGACCACAATTCTGGGGCGTAACCTTTAGTTACTCTAGCCGTTATTTCTTTTGACAAACAATAAGGATCTAGTTACCTGATAACATACGCAGGGTGTCCGTAATAAAATGTTTTCAGACCAAAGGTGTGTTATTTCAGTTCTGCAGGGGATCCAGATAGACTTGTTGAATGTACACCGATAATAAGTGACTATATATATATTAGGAATGGATGACATTTCAGATTCATACCAAAAACATAAAAAGACGTGGAGAAGTGATCCGAAGATATTTAGACAGGAGTTTACTAAAAAACGTCTAGCCTCATTGGAGATTTGAAATTGGTTGTTATCTACTTAGTACTTACGCCACTATTTATTGAGTTAAAATTTTATAGCATCAATCCCACCTCAGAAGTTATGACACAGAATAGCCTCTAGTTTGAGCGTTTAAAAATAAGCAAGTACTAACAGCAGAAGGTAAAAGTAAACTTGTTCAGTTGAATGGTATAAATGAACTCTAGAAACTGAAAGTTTTTCTTTCGAATCATTCGGAGGTGCATTCAATTGTTTTATCTCTATAACATGACGACTCTGAGTTAGCGACTGGCATGAAACACCACAGTATTTATTTATTCAAGTATATACTAGTTATTCAGGAAGATACCTTGGTATAATAATTGGAAATGACTGCTAAAAATGCAAATCATCTCTACTAAGACTTGTCTACTGTAAAGACGTTAACAAGCAATAATGGATGAAATATTCTCGTGTTGCCCACCGATTCTAAAAAATCTGTTACTTTTAATCCTTTTGAGCACTACATCATGCATATTCATGATATTGCGAATGTCACATTTATTCAAAGAGTACTGTTCACTTTCAAATCGCTATCAGCAAGAATACCAAAGGATATCTATTTAGGACTCTTACTACACACGTTAACTATAAATAACGAATCAACTGACCATGAAGCGTAAAAATATTTTGAGAGTCCCTGTTCATGGATCAACTAGATGAAGAAAAATTTCGAAGTAAAGACGCTAAAGAATTTCCCATGTCAAGTTAAAGAGATAAATATCCGTTCATATGGGCGACACTATGATTTATGGACGAACCAACAAAATTAGAGATAGCGTATACTGGATTTTCGCATGAAATTCACTCATCATTGTGATTAAACAGCCTTTGTGCCAATTAAGCTGACCATGATAAGTAGGTGAACTCTCCCGAAATCATTTCGTCGTCGCTAAAAGGACATTCACAAATTACTGTCTTCCTCCTCAGCAAAAAGACAATTATCTCTAAATTGTAAACAGCCCTTAGAAACCTCCAAACCAAAAAGCAATCCTGTCCACTCTACCAACCAGCTTGAAGCGTGATTACCAATATTCTAATGGAAAATCGTGACTAATGGACTTTGAACTTGTCGGGAGTGAAATAGCCTTCCATAATGTTATAATGACAGTTGTAGTTGTTGTTATCATTGCAATCCTTCTGTTTTTAGCAGTAGGGCTGGAATATGAAACTAGGACTTAGTCAAGCTGATGAAATATGAATAGCTCGTATAACAATAAAACCATTGGACTTTGGTTAAAAACTTCATATAAGCCACTTCATTTAAACAAACTCAGATAAATGGCGGTGTTTTTTCAATAGGTGGATTGTTGACTTGGTATTAACGATAAAAGAAGGATCCATAGTGACTTACCTCAGTTGCTCGTTTGTCTGTTTCCTCCAATTTAGTGTTAGTTTCAGCTAACTGAGTTTGTGCAGTTTCTTTGTCAGTGTCAACCTGTTGAATTTTTTTGATAACTTCTGCAGCCTCTTCATCTTTAGTTTGCATTTCTAATTCTTTTTCACGTAGTTTTGCTTCTAGCTGATCAGCCCTGTTATAAACATTATCAAAAAATGATAAAGGTAGTCTGATTGAAGAAAACAACAAACAATAATTTTTTTAGAATGAAGGCATAGTGGATGACCATTTCATTGAACTTTAAGATCATTCAAACGTCTATATCCCTAATCATACATAGGACTTACTCATGGATCACTAAGTTCCGAGGTTAGCTTAAGAGCATTATAGGATCTCAGTCAGTCTGATAACAATACAACGTAATCAGTAGATAACTAAACATTAATGAGACTACAATTTATGAACGACCCTTGAGTGACGCTAAAGTGACCTTGGGAACATCCGCCTGCTTACTAGGGTTAGATGATGGTTATAAAACATTATGAAGGGTAAGGATTATGATTTATAGTTGATGGTTAAGATTGAGAATTAGATTTATGGTTTTCATCACATCAGCTAAAATGCCAGGACGTTATTTTTTACAACTGTGTGAATGAATTTCGCGCCGAAATCCGAGACCTGTCATCCTAAATCTGATTGGTTCATTCATAAATTATAGTCTCACCTAAATACTTTAACCTTAATGTGGTTGAATTCCACAGGTTATGATTAAACTTCAAAATGAGTATTTTTCAAACAACTACAATATTTCACAAGCAAGTGGCTATCAGGACTCAGTAGCTGAGTGGTAAACGCGATAGTATTTGAAGCGAATGGTACTGGGTTCGAGCCCCAGAGTGAACATCAACTCTGAGATGCAGGTACATCTAGCTGACGAGTCCCAATAGAACGAAACGCGCACCCTGGATTCACTTTTAGCCACTGTCCATCATTGCTTACAAAAGAATGATAAGTTAGCTAACAATTAATCGAACACAACTAAACAAACGAAGATTAATTATTCTCTTATGATTTTTACCGAGGTCTGAAGTTGTCACTATGAGGTATCAGTCAAGTGAAATAGCCAATATTAAAGTTAAATACATTGTTTAAAATTAAATAAAGCAAACAATAGAGACTTCCTTGTTAAAGTCAATGAGATAATAGAAATCGGTGATTGAAGACTTTATGTGTTAATATAGTATGGATTATTATGTTAAGCCCATATACCTTACTCTGGCTTTCGGGCAGCCCATTCTATTCATTCTACTTGAGTCACATTCTGACCTTGTTATTTATTCGCTTATCAATCTTGACTGTTTTTATATGAGAGCATATGTGTGTGTACATTTCTTATCCCATCACTCATCACATGTCTGTAACTTATTTTTGTGTAACTATAAATATTGATTAACGCTTGGTCAAACGGGAGTTGGCCTACCCGCCATCTCCACTCTGCGTCGTTTCTCTTCTCTCTATTCCATTAGCTTTATATACAAAATATATGTATTCACAAGTCCATTCTCGTTATTCGATTTATTTAATTCCGTTATTGACTAACGCAATTTAAGTCGATGATTATATGCGAGGATAGGCGACATATATATTTCAACAACAATCATCATTACAATCTACTTGGAGTCAGATCTTGGGCCACTAAAATAACACGGTTGAAAATCACCCACAATGTGGTGTGTACTACTGATGTTGACAGATATAAGTAGTATGTATAATCATTCGAAAGTGAAATTACCTGGCGACATAAGGTTAAGAAAATCGAAGAGAAGAGAACGAGAACAGAGAATGATTGATGTATGAATGAAAGAACAATGAAGTCTGAGACGATTGATTGACAGTTTGCAAATGAAGTATTTCCTCTATGCTTCTCAAATTTTACTAAGACATTCTTTAATGTTCAAATCCAATCACAACTGACGGAGAAGATTTGGAAGATGTAAAAACCCTTACATATTTGGGCAGCATCATTGATGAAGATGGTGGATCTGATCTGGGACTCAAAACAACTGTCAACGAACAGCGAATTCAGCATTTTCAATACAAATGTCAAGACATTTCTACTGTATGTGACGGAAACTAGGAGAACTACGAAAGCAATCATCCGGAAGATACAGGTGTTTCTTAACAGTTGTCTATGCAAAATACTTCGGATACGTTTACCAGACACTATCACCAACAACGTACTGTGGAAGAGAACAAACCAGATCCCAGTGGGGGAAGAAATCAGGAAGGAATGTTGGAAGTGGATAGGACACACATTGAGGAAAGCACCCAACTGCGTCACAAGACAAGCCCTCACATGGAATCCTCAAGGCCAAAGGAGAAGAGGACGACCGAAGAACACGTTACGCCGAGAAATGGAGACAGACATGAGAAAAATGAACAAGAATTGGATGGAATCAGAAAGAAGGCCCAGGACAGAGTGGGTTGGAGAATGGTGGTCGGCGGCCTATTCTCCATTGGGAGTAACAGGCGTAAGTAAGTAAGTAAGTTCTTTAATGTTGTCTTCAAATACATTCGAGTGTCCACAACTTTATCCTCGTTTACTACAAAAACACCGTAGATACATTTATTCCTCATTTTATTACAAACATTGAGTATTTTTATTCCTTTTTTAGGGATTCCGATGTTTTTTCGCATTGTCGTTGATACTACTATTATTTTGACTCGTTTGACATTTGTCTTGTCAGTTTCCCTACTCGTTATGTTGATATAAAACAAAGCAACTTAGATCAATATAGATTTGTGTTAAGTCATGAGGGAAAGTACAATTTACTCACTGAACATTTTTAAACAGCTAATATTAAGTAATAACGTAAGATGGTGAAGATTTGTTGTTCAGGTGAATGATTTTGATGAAGTTTTGTTCACGATTAAACCATCCAGCTCAGAGAACAAAACTCTAAAAAAGTGATAACTTGAAATGGAATTCTTATTTGAATATAGTTGAATTCATGAGTCAGTTGGAAAACCTGGAGGTACTGGACAACCGTTTCGTCCTATTATGGGTCTCATCAGCGGTGAGTATCCACAATCTCGCCTCGCGAGATCCTTACGCAGGACATCCAGTTTCGCGCGCTAACTATTAACCTCCAGACAATTGAGCCGGCACTCAACGGTGTTAATGTCTAAATTTAACCAATCCATAATATTACGCCACCGTCCACCATTGTCTTCAGTGAGCTACTATCTCAAAACAGACCCGGTTGAACTCAACTGGTCACTAAGACTCCAGGAAATACCTCTTGAAGCCAGTCACTAGTGAGCGTATGATGTTGTGAGATAGTAACTCACTGAAGACAATGGTGAACGTTGGCACAATTTCGTGGATTGGTTAGGTTTAGACATTAACACCGTTCGGTGCCGGCTCAACGGTCCAGAGGTTAAGAGTCAGTGCGCATTAGACTGAAGGTCCTAGGTTCGATTACCGTATGCGGAGTTGTGAATGCGCACTTCTGAGGAGTCAGATGCTAGGAAGAAACGGTAACGTTTATAAAAATGGGTTGATAATACTGATTTGTTATCACTTTGTAAAATTAGATCTAGTCAACTCTTAATCCATCATTAAATTATCATCTTTATACGGTGTTTGCTACTTACACGGATAGATATAAGTAGTATGTATCAGGAATTAAGGAGATAGGATTCTTATTGACAAGAGAAGAGAAAAGTTAAAAGCAATCTAAGTAGTAACGGGAATGCAAGAACGATAGGACTTGTTATAGACAAATCAAAGAAGATGTGCAAACGGTGTATTAAGCGAATTGTCACATAGATAACAAATACAGTGTGGGATTTTTCTAAATATACGGGTTGATTTATTCTACCCAAGTCTTCGTTCATTACACTAGCAACATTTGATTTATAACCACCTATCTTTGGATTTCAAGCCTACTCCATTTTAAACATCAAAATGGTACCCATTATCTGTTAATTTGATAGAGTTATTTAAAGATAAATCTACACTCTTCAGATGGACTACACGCAGATTATATGAATTAATTACTTTGATTTCATAGAGGGATACGATACAAGGAGAAAGAGTTAGTTGGTAGAAAGTAAAATAGGGTGTATATACCTGCGCCAGAGTCTCCAAACATTGGTTACGTAGTCACATGGACTCCAACCAAATAATCTGCATATACCAACATGGCTCAAACCAGAATTTAGTGACTTTATGGGCTGATGCCATGTTATTGTTTGTCCACCCCTAACTTTCTTCTATCCATCTCCAGCACTATTTATCATTGAGCGTCGTGGTAATCGGTGGTTGAGCATGCGTATTACATGACCCAACCATCTCAACCGATGAAGATTTACAACCATATAACTGATTTGCAACATTATTCCCTAATACCCTGTGTCTAACCTCACTATTATTTAACCGGTGATCCCAGCAGATACGAGCATTATTTTTAAGACATCTGTGATCACATACTAGTAGATTACGAATATCTTCTAACCCTAATGGCCAAGCTTCGCATCCGTAAAATATAACACAACGAGTATAAATATTTCATTCAATCAACACTTCTCGGATAAATCATTGATCGTAAAATGTAAATCACTCCGAGATAAGTGATTTATTCGTTTATTTACTGTTCACACTTCAACTGTAGGAACATCTCAACAACATACTTTTCTTAAGCTGTTCATTGCATTACTTCATTTGTGTAGAATCTCTTATTAAGCTATTTTTATGACTGATAATGCATAGATATGATTAATATTGATGAATGCTAACTTGGAATCTTGAATGAAAACGAAAAAGAGGAAGGCCAAAGAGCACACTGTGCCGAGAATCGGAAGCGGACATAAAAAGGATGAATAGCAACTGGAAACAATTAAAATGTTTTGTCCAGGACAGAATTTGATCGTGAATGTTGGTGGCCAGCCTATGCTCCTCCACGGAATATAACAGGTACACGTAATTAAGTAAGTAAGTAATATTGATGAATAGTTAGTTATGAGATGATGGAAAAGATTTGTAGCTCAGGTGGATGATTTTGATAGGGTTTTGTTTTCTGAGCTGGATAGTTTGGCTGTAGAGCTTTTATTGTTCTTCTGAACAACATCATGAGAAAAAACTTCTATCTGACTACAAACTTCTACCTGAAGACTCACTACCTATCCTTATGTGAAATTAATTCATCTATACAGACTACAAAATCTTCAATACCATACTATCAAGATATTTATGATGAGAAGTTAGACATATAAGTCTATGGATGCCAATTCAATAGTGTAAAGATTCGACACTAGTGATCAGATCAGTAAAACTTCGATTCAATTTCCTTTGGGTTCGTGGATGTGTAGTTTGACTGAGCATTGCCATGTTAGGGTGAAATAACTGTTCATCGTTTCCTGGTTTTCAGTGATTGTCTAACAATGTTAGTCAGTGATATAAACTATGAAATTATACAAGAGTACGGTTGACAATATGAACATCATTAGTGATATGGTCAGTTAAATGATCTTTCTGTACAGTCATGTGTTTTTATAGAATATAAGAAAACATCAATCACTATTCTCAACTACATATATACTTATTGATATTCTACATGTTCAGATCTGAATGACTTCAAAGTCATCATTATGGTCTTCCACATCTATCCACTCTCATACAGGCTACTGCCAGTAAACAGTTCATATAAATGATTAACATCAATTAGACATATAATACTAGACAGTCGTTTTGTTATTGCATGAGATTCTTCAAAGATGAACACATGCATACAACCATTGTCAAGGAAGTCCTATTCACTGCCTTCTCCCACCACATATGTTGTTTACGAAATTAAGAGGAAAAAAAGCGAATGTTTGGCGCTTTAACCGGATTGGTGGATAAGAAGGATTCACATAGGGGAGTTGAAAAACTCTCATTCCAAACCAATCGTGCATATGGGCTCCAGTATCCTGATTGAACAAATGGTTTATGAACCTATTATCGGTGATCGGCTACAATGGGACTGTATCTTCTTACGTTGCTCCACTACCTTGTGGTTTAAACCTCTAGGTTCAAGGCTCGAGGAGTGGCTCCCTAAGAAAAACACCTGCGTCGGTTGGAGAACACGAGTAGTATCAAATGATTTATGTGGCGGATATCTATTTGGTACCTCCTTGTACCGATAATTATGTGTTTAAATAAGTAAAATAAATAACTGTTACATTAAGAATAAGACTAAAGGCTTTTAGATTATTATACTACCATTGAAATAGTTACCAATTATAATCAATTCATGATATTATATGAATAGTAATTGATTTGAAATCATCCTATTCATGTGCCTATAAACATGACATTACCCGATCCGTTGAACCAAAATGAATGAAACAAAATTACTCCAAATGAACACTACCGTTCAAATATCCATATTTAACTAATCATCAATATAAAATTGTTACTATTTTGATTGAGATCATAAACTGATTGATGTTAGACCATCATTAAAAATCTAAAAGCACTGAACAACCATTTTGTTCTAGTATGTGACTCAGAAGTGAATATCCACAACTCTACACACAGGACTCGAACTCAAGACCTTTGGTCTCATGCAATAAAACGCTTAACATCTAGACCATTGAACTTTCATCAATCTCAATCAAAAACTTTACAACCTTCACAAAAAAGAGAGAAAATAAAATAAAAACAACCCTCCCCTGCCTCGAAACTTACTCATCTACAGCATTCTCTTTGTCTAATTTCATTGCCAACATTTTCTTTTTAATATGCTCCATGTTAATAAATGTTAATAATTTATGTTTTTAATCTCTATGATATGATGATCAAGAAAATGACTGAAACGAAATAACAATAATGTTTAATTAGGGTTTTCTTTTTTTTTTTATCTCCCATAGTGATTATTATATTCATTTATATTTTTATCCACCCACTCATTATGTGTAGCACATTCCTTTAATTTATGATTGAATAGGTTCATTGAAATTAACCAATCATAATAAAGAATTTAAAAAAAAAATTTCTTTTCCCTAATTCTTATTAACCATACATAGATAGGTATTTGATAGAAGGGGATAATGATACCTTACTTTCTTTTTATTCTTAATTATATTGATTTTATAATTTTTTAAATAATAGATAATGAACTAGTATAATATAATAGAAGATATATTTCTGTTGCTATGCTGATTACTGATATTAAGATATGTGAATGTGGAATGAGAATAAACCAGTTTATATAACAATGGAAAACCTGGAAGCACTGGACGGCCGTTTCATCCTAGTATGGGACTCCTCAGCAGTGTGCATCCACTATCCCGCACCCTGCGAGACTCGAATCCAGGACCTACCAGTCCCACGCCAAGCGCTTAACCAACTAGACCAATGAGCCGGCATCCAATAGTGTTAATGTCTAACTTCAACCAATCCACGAAGTTGCGCCACCGTATACCATTGTCTTCAGTGACTTGATATTTCAAAACAGACCTAGTTGAACTTCACCGGTAACGGCTTCTCACTAGAACTCCAGGAGTATCTCTTGAAGTCAATCACTAGTGAACAGATGATTATTATCAGAAAAAAACGAATAAGATTTACAAATGTATTTCGTACTAGTTTGATATTCGTCAGTAATGTGAATATGTAACTATTAAGCATCAGAAAACAATTTTCACAACTCCACATAGTAACGATTAAGAATAAGTAAAAAAAAAGAATAAGTCATCGGGGGGGGAATTGTATACGATTACGTAATGCTAGTTCATTGTTCTTTATATGGCATAGAAATCAACCTTGAGAATATTTTCCCCAAACTATAGTGAAGTTATAGTGTGTGCGTTGTTAAAATTTTTTGATCTTTCCAATATGTTCAACCTAGTAACAAACAAATATTATTACTTACTTATTTAAGCCTGTTACCCCTCTATGAAGGAGCATAGGCTGAACAACAGCATTCTTAATCCAATTCTGTCTTGGGTAAACCGTTCTGGTTGTTTCCCATTAAATTTTTTATTATTTTCATGTCTGCTTCCAATATCAACACAGTGTATTCTTTGACCTTCCTTTTTTTTGTTTCCCTTCAGGATTTCAAGTTACGGCTTGCTTCGTGATGCAGTTTGGTGATATCTGTATTGTGAGTCCTATCTGTTTCCAACGTCTTTTTTAATTTCCATCTCAGCGGGTAGTTGGTTTGTTCTCACTCATACTGTTGCTGATGGTATCCGATCAGCTGATATTGAGTATCTTTTGTAGACAATAATTTATAAATACTTGTACCTTCTTGATGATTGTTGTAATAAATCTCCAAGTTTCAGCTCCGTACAGTAGAACTGCCTTGACGTTCGTACTGAACCATCGATCTTATGTGACAGCTAAAATAAGGCTTAGATTTAAGAGGTTTCCGCTGATAACTATCAATGATATAACAATAAGTATCCAACTGAATATCAGATATAATTCGTTCCATAAGATAAACGTGCTTTTAAATAAAATATAGGATGTTGAAACAGTTTGATAAGGATTCAATATCAGTTCAAAGATACCATTAAAATTCAAAAGTAGTTAAATGATATTATCGTCTTTCTTGCCCTCTTTCATAACGAATTTTGATCTATCCAGAAGCAGTGGATTGCTTATTCATCCTAGTACAGAACCTTTAGTCTCTCGAGTGTCAGTTAGAGGCAAGTATCTGCCTCAGACAATGGAAGATGGTCGCTCAATTTCGTGGGTTGGTCAAAGTTAAACATCAACACCGTTGGATGCCGGCTCAATGGAATGGAGCTTAAGCGTTAGCGCACGAGACCGATAGATCCTGGGTCCGAATCCTGCGCGAAGGACTGTGGATGCGCACTGCTGAGGGGCCCTATGCTAGGACGAAACGGTTGTTCTGTGCTTTCAGATTTTCCATGGCTGTCTAACATCAACTGATCAATGATCTCAGCCAAAAACGAAATAATATGTTCTTAACTGCGATCAAAGAACCATAGGTATTCCTTTCATGTCGCCATCAACTGAATACATAAATTTATATGTACCTACTAAAGCAGTTACATTAGTGGAACAGAAAGAAAGGCCTATGTTTGATTCCAAATGCATATTTCCAAAAGTCTTAGACCAATGAAATTAAAAGCTTTCGGCAACGCTACTTCAAAACATCTCTTTGACACTGAGTATCAGGTTGATATACTGAAATCTCTCAGGGTTATTAACCAAAAGTGAAACTCTATTCTTCTCTGATTCGCCAAATCCATAACTAGTAAAGCGCCTCATTAGTTTAATACATCATTCTTGCAACTCTTCTCATCTCATTGATTTTGATTTCATCACTCCTTTCGAAATCATAGATTAATTTTTAATTGTAATAGTTGAGATCATGAGTTAATTAAAGCTAGATAACCATGGAAAACCTTGAAGCATTGAACGACTGTTTCGTCCTCTTATGGGACTCCTCAGCAGTGAGCACTAGAACGAAACGGTCGTCCAGTACTTCCAGGTTTCCAACGGTGGACTAACATCAATCGGTTCATGATCTCAATCAAACACCAAGTGAATTTCAACTTCACTCCATTGCACAAGCAAGTGGCTATCAGGACTCAATAGCTAAGTGGATAATGAGATGGCGTTTGAAGCAAACGGTATTGGGTTTGAGTCCCAAAATGAACAACAACAACAACAAGTCTGAGATGAAGGTATATCCAGCTGACGAGTCCCAAATAGGATGAAACTCGCCTCTTGTATTCTACTGCTAGCTACTATCCATCTTTGCTTATAAACGGTTAATTTGTATTAAGATATTTACACCATAAATAAAATCAATCAATTATCTATCTTCCCCATCTTTCATTTTATAATTGGTTTAGAAAGTAATCAATATTCAGTAGGGTGAACACAAAAAGATCACACATAACTGTGCATATCTACACACACACATACACATCAATAGACTGAAAGTGTCTATGTGTTTCCACTTTAAATCGATTAACAATCAAACCTATTGAACATGGAAACTATTTTCATGTCTGTGTGTGTGTGTGCGCGCGCGCTTTTCACTTCTGCTTTTACTATTTATAAAATTGTTTTAATGTTTATGTAAATATACAAGGACATTGTTTGAAAAGAAACCAATTTCAAGGTCAATATTTAACAAGAGAAAGTGCTAACTGAAAATTGATAATAATAATAATAATAAGTTTGGGACATAAAATGAACATTAATCAGATTACGTCACCACATTACAAGACTGATTATTAGCTAGTTGGCCAGGGTAAAAGAAGTGGCTGAACATACTTCTTTTGGATACAAAGCTCTGGCTTTTTGATTCGAATAGCAATTGCTTCAGTCGTCTGTAGGATTCGCAGTTTGACGGAATTAGGTAGACTGCTGTTGACACGATAGATGATTGCAAAAGATTACTCCATGTTTGCTGTATGTCCTGTTTGGACTAAATGGTCTAAATGGAGCTGTTAACAGTTTTGACAACACCTTGCTTAACCACACGAGTAGGTGCTCACGAGCCCGAATGTACAAATTCTTAGAACATCTGCCAATATAACTTGCTCCACAGGAGCAGTTGAATTGATAGATACAGAAGGAGGTGGCTAGTCTAGGTAATTTATCTTCAACCTCGAAGTGATTATTGGTCGTGTGGAGAATACTAGTTGTAGTTTAGCTGCATTAAAAGTCCTTTGAATTGATCTATTTAACTTAAGTCTTAACATTTCACTCGATGTGTAGCCTCTGAATTGTAAGCGTATATATAGAGGCTTTTTATTTACCGTTGGGCATTCTATACGCTGTCTGTGATTGGCTAAGTTTTTATTTATAAATTTCTCCGGATATCCATTTTCCTTTAGGGTTGTAAACAATGTCTTTGTATCATCTTCAATCGTATCCATAGTGCATATAGTGATGATTCTATGACGTAGTGTCTTAATAAGGTTCCTTTTTTTATTGTAGAGGAACGAAACTGAAAAAGTTAGTATATTGACCCGTCCAGGTCATTTTCCTGTTTATGTTTCTTTTTAGCGATCCATCTTTTCTCCTTGTAAGGCTATTTACCCCATTTTCTTTCTCACATGTGAATTTTATGGACGGATGAGCTGTATTGAATTGCTCGAGTGTTCTTATCAAGTCCGTATGCTCGTTACAAAGGATAAATGTATAATCCATATATCGACAGTAGAACAGAAATTTATCGATCTCTTGTGCCAGTGGGCCGTTTTCTAGTTTAGAAAGAAAAATGTCTGCCAATCATATTTCATGAAGAAGCTCTGGAAGATGTGAAATATCTCACATACCTGGGAGGCATCATCGGTGAACAAGGAGAATCAGATGCAGATGTAATGGCGAAGATTGGCAAAGTACGGACCACATTCTTACAAGTGAAGAATATATTTGTGCATAATTTGCCATCTTTCACAAAAAAACACCTTTGTGAAATATGTAGATGATTTTTCTACCTCTTTACATCCCATAGTTTTTGTCTTGTATTGAATGATGATTCGTTGTTAATGGTTTCATACTTAATCTGTCTAAATGTCAAGCTGTTAACTTTAGTATGAGACATGAATAACACCTAAGCATCATGTTGGGATCCCATAATGATTGTGCCATTGGAGACTCTTTGATAAACACAGTGTCAAAGGTCAATTATCTTGGTGTTACATTTTCCTGTGATCCGTCTTTGTCTTCTCATGTTTTACTCATGTTTTACGAGAAGTGAGTGTCCGGCAGGGGCTTTAACTGGATATGTGGACACGAAGAGTCCTCCTTGAGGAGTTGTAAAACCTTCACTTCAAACCAATGGTGCACATGAGCTCCAGTACCCCGAGGGAACAAATGGTGTATGAACCAATTGCTGGTCACCTGTTACCATAGAAATGCATCTCCTGACGTTGCTCGACTGCCTTGTGGATCAGACCTCTAGGCCGAAGGTTTCGGGTGTGGCCTTTTGAGGAAACCACCTGCTTCGGTCTGGGCACCCGGCTTGTATCACAGCCCACACATAAATCAAGTGATTTGTGTGGTGCATATGCATTCGGTGGCCCTTTGTAACAATATTTATGTGTTCAAATAAACAAATAAATAGTTTTGTCTAAGAATGAGACTACTCAACAGGGCATTATCCACCATCGCTCTATGAAGGTTCTAACCCAGGACACTCAGTTTCGCCCGTGAACATTTAGACTTTAGGCTACTGACCTGGTATCCTGTAGTGAATATACCTAACTAGTACCAATTCATGATATTGCACGACCACATTCCATTGCCTGAGGCATCTGTCTATTTCATACTTAACATAATCCTACTCCACAGGTCACAGATTCTCATTAGAACTTCATGAATCGCAACTTGAAGCTAATTATTAATGAGTAGATGGTAATTATCAGTATGGAATTTGCTGAGATTATAGAGTGATCAACTGATTTCTGAATACTAGCTAAGTATTCAATGAACAGATGAATGATTGTAAGACTCTAATAGAGAAATCTTATACTACTATACTTTGAGTAACAACAAACTATGACGACGATAGCGATCAACGACAACTTTAACATACTATGGTGGAACATATAGAAATAGGTTTCATTTGTGAATTTCTGATTTAGTATTATAAAAAGTGGAATCCAGAACGCCCATCTCGTCTTATTTGGGAATCCATAGCTGAATGTACCTGCATCCCGGATTTGTTGATGTTCACACTGGGGTTCGAACCCAGTACAGTTCGCTTCAAACGTCATCGCATTATCCACTTAGCTACTGAATTGAAGTGTGTTTCTACCTGCCTTTGTATGTCATAGTTTATGATCCAGTTCAAGTACTAATACATCCTTGAACTGATTTAAATTTGTACCAAATTCAACGTTATTTATAACTGATTAATTGAATTATTTACAATTGATTGATCACTAGGTAGTGATTAATGTCATATGTATCAGATCCTTCTTGATGCAGATCGAATCCTATCGACCAACCCTAGTTGTAACTGTTAAATCCTAGTGAAGATTAAACATTACGGGTAACTTCGGAGAACTATTAGTGGACTAATGTTATGCAGTACATTCTTATTGTATAACTATTCAGTAACTAGATTATATATATCTACATTCCCTTTATTATAAGCTTCATTTTGATCTATAGATTATTACTATAATACGATTATGTTCAGTTCATGGATTGCAGTGTCCCTTGTTCACAGCCACTTTTGGCTTGATTTTGTATGAATGTTATTTCCTATTTTATGGTGTGATGCGATCTGTTTGGCTAGTTTATAAACCAATTATGTTTGAAATAAATGATTCGCATAATGAGAGCTGTTATAGACGTTCTGGACTCAACTGAATGGACTAGGCGAACGAAGGACCAATGGGGACGGTAGGCTGCTCATACCGGTCGAACATCAGTGGTTTGGCACAGTACTAAGATTGTATAAGTCGTATTTCGATTGGTGAATAAATCACGTGTAACTAGCAGTCAGTTAGTCAGCTACAATGTACGACCAGGCACATATATGCATCGATCCAAGTTGCCACACCTCATTAGCACAACAAGATGAACACCAGATTCATAAAAGTAGTTAATTCAATGGTGGTAATATATAAAAGAAAGATTACTAATACGGACGTAGTACAGTAGGAAAGAATTGGTTCGTAGAAAGAAAGATATGAAGCGATTTTAATCTCATAGTTTAAGTGAATACAGAAAGTGTATACACCTATGCCATTGTGATCGATTCTGAGCCATGTCATCCAGAGTCTCCAACCATTGGTTACGGTGGTCACGCGGACCCCAACCGAGTAGTCTGCATCTCCCAACATGGTTCAAACAAGAAGTTAGTGACTTCAATGACTGATGCCACGTTTTATTTTGGCCACCCCTAACTTTCTCACAATCATCCCCAACACTAGTCAACATTGCGTGTCGTGGTAATCGGTGTTCACGCATACACAATACATGGCACTCAACACCACATGTAACTTACAGCCCGATAAAAGTCGTCACAACAGTAACATCTTTGACTATGAAGCTAGTTGATACATGGTCGAAATTGTCAAGCAGCATGAAATACCCTTAAAATAACAAGTACATCTTGTGAATGAATGCCAAAAGTCTAGGTATTCCTATTAACTACCTGCAATCACCATCAATATATCCCATGAAACACTTTTAATCAAGGTATAAACTATATAATTGTAAAATGTATATTTCACTAATGATCACTTTACATATCATGTCTATTGATAATATGGTAAACCATAATGTATTGGTTGTGATATATTAGAAGTTATATCATTCGGATAAACATATGGATTAATTGTAGATAATGGATATGAATTCATTGATTGAATTGTTCTTGTAGAACATTGTGGAATAATCATTGGTATTGGGATATGTCTTATGATAAATCGTGGTTGTGTTATTATCATTGGTACATTGAAACTATACCATGATGGTATATTCATAGGATTAACAATGTTATTCATGAATGATGATTGTTGTATTCCATTCAATGAATTGAATGGTATATTAGAATGAGTCAGTTGATTCAGATTCATCAAAGAAGTATCATATTCTTTAGATGGTGAACATGATGTACTACATTGACAATATTCATTTTGATCATTTCGATTTAAATAATGTCGATCTTTAAATGGTAATCTATACTTTAATTCTTTCTTTAATAATTTTATCATTTGAGGAGATAAATATCGTTTAAGATATGAATATCGATATTTATTGAAATGGTCCTGTTTACAAGAGTTGCCATAGTAACATCCATATTGATGTTTCAATTGATTTGTATTCAATCTTTTTGATGGATTATTCCATTCATTATGTTTACAATAACATGAATATAATCGTGGAGATTTCGTCGAATCCCTAGGCATACATTTATGATGCATTGAATGATGATGATCATGATGATGATGATATGGTTGATTATGATAGCATTGTGTCGATTCACATTTATCATCATCATGATTTATTGATGAATAAGTTGGATATGATGAGAAGGTTTCACTAGATGAATCATGTTTTGATTGTTCACAATTTGTACAGTCTTTCTTTTGAATAGATCTATTCTGATCATTATGAATAGTTCTTAATTTATTCTTATAATTGCTATCAAGATAATCTCTTGTTATCTTTTCTATAGGATGAGTTTGTTTAGATGAGATCTCTTTTGAATGATCTACATTAGACATTGATATAACGTTAGATTCATGATCTGTTTGAATTCCATTCTCTTTTTTTGTGATTGGATAGACATTATGATCTAGATTGTTGTCATGGTTATCTTCTAGTTGCTTATCTTTGTTTTCTTTCTCTATGATATAATCTATTTGTTTATGATTATTATCTATTAAATCAATATAATGAAGAATATTATTATTTAATAGTTTTAAACCTTTGAAATCATTTTCAATATATTGATTTTTTGTTTCTAACGGAATATTTATATGATCAATTGTTGCCATGGTAATATTTATTGGATAATGAATTGATTCAATCGATTTGATTGGATCTAATAATTCAATTGTATTCTGTTCTTCATGAATATTTAGATCATTCTTTATTGATGTATCAATTGTTTCAATAGATAAGTCTTTATTGATTAGATCATCAGTTTGTTTTATTGTATTGTCTTTAACATTGATTGGATCTAATAGTTCAATGGTATTATGTTCTCTTTGAATAATTGGATCATTCTTATTTGATTTAATCATTGTTTTATCAATCAATTCGTTGTTTATTATTTGTTTATGTATATTCGATTGTTTCGTCTTTTTCGTTTCAATTTGTCTTCATCAATCTCTTTATGAGATTTATTGGATTTGTTTATTGAAGAGATTGTTTTCGTTGAGCTTTTATCTTTTTGTTGTTTATCATTATGTTTTGGTTTTAATTCTTTTTTGGATAGTTTCGTTATTGAATTCTCATTCAAAGAAGTACTAGTACAAGTACTACTACTACTACTAGTAGTAGCAGTAGTAGTAGTATTTTGTTGTTGTTGGGGTGTCGTCAAGTTCTCCATAGAGACTTCATTTGTTTTAACATTATCCATATGCTTTGGTTTTAAATCCTTCTTGGATAGTCCTTTTATTGATTCTCATTCAAAAAGTACTACTACTACTACTACTAGTATGTTGTTGTTGTTGGGCGTCGTCACGCTATTCAACTTCTCCATAGAGGCTTCATTTGTTTTAACATTATTCATATTTTTTGGTTTAGTTCCTTCTCGGATAATCCTTTTATTGATTTTTCATTCAAGGAAGTACTAGTACTAGTACTACTACTAGTAGTAGTATGTTGATGTTGAGGACGAGGAGGAGGAGGAGTCAAGTTATATAAGTTCTCCAAAGGGACCTCATTTACTTTAACATTATCCATATGCTTTGGTTTTAAATCCTTCTTGGATAGTCCTTTTATTGATTTCTCATTCAAAGAAGTACTAGTAGTACTAGTAGTAGTAGTATGTTGTTGTCGGGGCGTCGTCAAGTTATTCAATTTCTCCATAGATACTTCATTTGTTTTAGTATTATCCATTATATTTTTATTAGATAATTGTGGTATTTTTTGTTTAATCTTCTTTGTTAAATGATTCAACATAGTCTGAGGATCACCTAGAACATATTGAATTACATCATGTTTATTCTGATGTGAATTCAATGAATTATGTTGCATTCTTTGTGTTGGAATAGAAAAAATTGATGAGATTTCATTGTTATCATCATCTTCATCTTCATCATCACCATCATCCCCATCCATAGATCCTTCTTTATTGAATATACCATTTGGTAATGGACTAATCGAAGATATTCCATAAGGATGTTCTGAAACGAATTCATTTTCATTAAGATGATACTTCTTTCTATGGATTAAATGAAATACTTTGAGAAATTTATTGAAGCTCTCTTTTTCATTATTAATTTCTTAGTTTAGATCTAATCCATGGAACATTCTTTGGTTTGATTTTGTTCCAGAATCTTAATAGAATAGAATGATCCTCTATATAAAAAAAATTAACAATATCAAATTGTGTATAATGTGAATATAGTTTTGTAGTTTAGAGAATATTTTAAAATGAACCGATCAAATCACATGATATCTGATCTGTATAGATCAAATATATTGATTATTGAATTTGATAATGATCATTGAAGATAATTTGTAATAGTTCAACAGCTGTAGACAGTTTATATGAATTTTGATAGCTGAATTTATGAGTCAAATGAATTTAGATCACTATAGGAAACTTGGAAACATCAGATGGTCGTTTCATCCTAGTATGGGACACTTCAGTGTATTCGCAGGATTCAAATCTAGGACATTCAATCTCGCACGCGAACGCTTAATCTCCAGACCATTGAGCCAGCACATTGTGCAACTTCTCAACTCATTTTTGTGGATTAGTTGAGGTTAAATATTAATACCGTTCTCTCGCGAGACCGAAGGACCTGGGTTCGAGTCCTGTGGTGTGAGATTTTGGACGCGCTTTGCTGATAACAGGTCTTGAAGTTTGGCGCGAAATTCATTTATCCGTTTGGTTAAATAGAATTTTGGAATTATAGCTGATGTCAGATCGTGGTAAAAACCTTAAATCTAATTCCTAAGCTTAACTATCAACTATAAACCATTAGGTGGACGCTCCCATGATCTAAATAATATTCAAACATCGCCGTAAACCCCTAGCACCTATGTTGAAAAACTACAGTGTTCATTTCACAAATCTAGTATATATATATATATATATATATATATATATATATATATATATATATATATATTATATATATATATATATATATATATATACACTTACACCTGTTACCCTCAATGGAGCATAGACCACCGACCAGCATTCTACAAACCCCTTCTATCATGAGCCTTCGTTTCTAGTTTTATTCAATTGTTGTTCATTCTTCTCATGTCTGTCTCCATTTCTCGGCGGATTGTTTTCCTTGATCTTCCTTTCCTCCTTTGACCATGAGGATTCCAACTGAGGGCATACCTTGTAACACAGTTGGGTGATTTCCTCAATGTGTGTCCTATCCACTTCCAGAACTTCTTCCCGATTCATTCGTCCTTTAGAATATGGTTTGTTCGCTAACACAGTAGGTTGTTGCTAGTAGTGTCCGGCCAACGGATCCGAAGTATTTTGCGTAGACAACTGTGAATAAACACTTGTATCTCCTGGATGATGGCTTTCGCAGTTCTCCAAGTTTCCGCCCCATACAGTAGAACTGTCTTGATATTTGTATTGAAAATTCTGACTTTGGTGTTGTTTGACAGACAGTTGTTTTGAATTCCAGATGTTCTTCAGTTGTAGATATGCTTCTCTTGCTTTGCCAGAATCGCCCAAAGGTCATCTATAAATTAAAGTCTTATCAAAAACGATCATGCATTTTCGCCTTTATCATTCTGAAGATCTGTTAATAGTAATAGCATGTTATGGTCTAGTGCTGGTGGATGGCCTATGCTCCTCTGTGAGAAGTAACAGGCGTAAGTATGTTATAGTCTAGATATTTCTTTTGAAATTAACGCTTTGATAATTTCAGAAAAACGTTTTATGCTACTTACAATAATTTAAGTATTTACATTTATTTCTGTAAAACTTTAATCAACATTTATACACAGTAAACATTTTTAGAAATTAGACCACCATGGCAAACCTGAAAGCATTAGACGGCCACTTCGTCCTACTATGGGACTCCTCAGCAGTGCGCATCCACAATCCTGCCTCGCAGAACTTGAACTCAGGACCTTTGGACTTGCGAGAGAACTATCAACCTCTACACCACTGAGCTGACATCCAACGGTGTTAATATCTAACGTCAACCAACCCACGAAATTGAGCTGTGGAGGAATATGATGTATTCTAATTAAATCTGAACAGGGAAATAAACAATTTTTGAAATGACTTTACCATATTGAAGATAAGATAAACACTGAGTTCCACGTATAGATAGCTAATAAGTTTCGAGTTGAAGGAAACTCTTGTCCTTGATTAAACTGCCAACCATAACGCCGACATACACATATCTAGAATATTTATAATTTAGTCTGACCTTTATCACAATAAAGGAGATTTGAACAGAATAGGTTCATTACTTGACTCTACACATTATGATGGATAAATGGTGATCAGAAGTATTCATCCATGAGTTAATAATAATTTAAATCCATAGATCCTTCTTCTTTTGCATGAAGTATGAAACTTTACGAAAATGATGTAACATCCATTGGTTCACAAATTTTTCGCTTACTCACCTTCAAATGGTGGTTGGAGGTAGTCGACTGGAAACTCTGAAATCGATGTTTTCTCAAGATTACAGGTATACATTGTTGACGTGTACCAAGTAGCACGAAACCTGTGTCCAGGCTTGGCGCCGTGACCTTGAAATCTTTCAAACGCTTCTAATTGGCTCGTCCATAAATTAGAGTTTCGTCCTTCTTATTAGTTAGAAATGAGTTTAAAAATGCTTTATGATCACTATGGAACTTTCTCATTTCGATACTTTTGCTACACAAGCCATGTTATACTGGGTTTAGACTAGATTTGAATGATTAATTTACACTTGAATTCTCGCAAGTCATTTATTGTATAAATTTTGGTATTGTGGATGAAAAGTTCTAAGAAGTTCAAAATAAGTATAAAACATTTGTACAATGATCATTTATCCATGGTGTTATATCCTTATTAGAATAATGAATGGTAACTGTTGGGATACATTTATGAACTGATACTATGCATATATTCTTATTCTATAATTGTTAAGTAGCTACAATATGCATATTCTTGTTCCTATTATTATAAGCTTTATTTTGATATATAGACTATTATCAGAAGGGGTTTTGTGAGATTGTAGTAATTTCAACAGTTGAGATCATGAGTCAATTGAAGCTAGACCACCACAGAAAACCTGGAAGCACTAGACGGCCGTTTTGTCCAATTGTGGGACTCCTCAACAGTGCTCGTGTGGATGTGTCGCTCAATTTCGTGGATAAGTTGAAGTTAGATATTAACATCGTTGGGTGCCGATCAGCTCAGTGGTCTAGTTGGTTAAGCGCGTGTCGCGAGACTAACAGGTCCTGGGTTCGGATCTCGAGAGGTGCGGGGTCGCTGGTGCGCACTGCTGGGGAGTCCCATACTAGAACGAAACGGCCGTCCAGTGCTTCAAGGTTTCTCGTGGTGGTCTAGCTTCAATTGACTTATGATCCAACTGTTGGAACTGTGGACTATTATGATACGATTTACCATTCTTGCGTAATGCCCAGTCTATTTATGAGAGTCTCCATCATTTACAGACACTTTTGGCTAAATCTTGTGTAAATGTGTATTTTCTGTTTTATGGTTGTTATAACTTGTAACCGCCGATTAGGGAGCAGCGAATTATCGATCGGAACAAGAACACGTGCGAGCAGCCTAGAGTTCTGATTGGCCCTGCTTCCCGCCTAGGCCAACCAGTTGAGTCCAGGACATCAATCTCAGCCTCTGCAATATGAATCATTTATTTTCAAACATACGGGGTTTATATGCCAACGAGACAGACCACAACGTACCATAAAATTTGAAACAACATTTGTACAAGATCAAGCCAAAAGTGGCTATGAATGTGAGAGACTGTAATTAATAGATTGGGTATAATACAAGAATGGTAAATCGTATAATAATAGTTTATAGGTTAAAATGAAGCTTATGATAAGAGAGACATAAATATGAATAGTTTAGTTACATAACAATTACACGATAAAAATAAACGTTTAGTATTGGTCCATACTTAGATCCCAAAAATTACCATTCATTATTCTTATCGGGATATAACAGTGGTACGATGTGGTCTGTTTGGCTGGTGTATATATGCCTAGTATGTTTAAAATGCAAGATTGATATCACAGAGGCTGAGATTGGTGTTCTGGACTTGACAGGTAAGCAGGGCTAGTCAGAAAGAAGGACCGATAAAGACTATAGTGTGCTCATATAGGTTTATGTATCATTGATCCGATCGATAAGTGACTGTTCTCTAATTGGTAGCATCATTACATTATACATTGATAAGGGGCACAAAACCAAAAGTTATAACACATAGTATATCTTGAATAATTATAAAGAGGATCGATATTCGTAGATCTATTCAAAGTATACTTAAGTATTCATGAAGTAATCATTCAATGAACTATGAACTCATTTCAGTGAATTACATTGAGTATAATATAAATAAGTGATTATTATATAAAAGATCTGTAAATGAACATAAACATGACAGTCAACTGAACACAGATAGTTATGAGTAGTTTCATGACTAATACTTTGTTTTTTTTTCAAATAAGTGGTCTAACATCAATCGGTTCATGATTTCAATCAAAAACTGAATCATCTCCACAACTCTATACTGATAATTAACATGTGTTCACCAGTGACTAGCTTCGTGAGGGAATTCATGGAGTTCTAGTAACAAGCCGTGACTAGTGGAGCTAATCCGTGTCAGGTAGAGACAAGTATCTACCTCAGTACAATGGAAGATGGTCGCAAAATTTCGTGGATTGGTTGATGTTAGACACTATCACAATTGAATGACGGCTCAGTGGTCCAGTTTGTTAAGTGTTCGCACGCGAGACTGAAGGCCTGGGTTGGAACCCCCCGAGTGGGGGAGTGGATCGCACTTCTGGGGAGTCCCGCAATGGGACGAAACAGCCGTCCGGTGCTTCCAGGTTTCCAACGGTGGTCTAATATCAATCGGTTCATGATCTCAATCAAAAACATAATA